TTTTTACATAAAGAAAACAAAAAAAACTCCTACTTTTCCAAATACTCACTAGTCTGCATTTCCAAGTTGCAGCTAAAATTTACAAAAAAAAGAAGTTAAAAATGTTAATAAACGTTCTTACATAAAAAAAACCAAAAAAACCTCCTCCTGCTTTCCCCTTTAAAAACATTTATTGATCTTCATTTTCAAGTTCTCAGGCTGAAATCTACAAAAAGAAAAAAGTAAAAGAACGTTAATAAACATTCTTATATAAGAAATCCTAAAAAAAACTTGCTTTTTCCTTTAAAAATTCTCACCGATCTCCATTTCCAAGTTCTGGTCAAAATCTATAAAAAAAAAGAAGTTAAAAACATTAATAAACGTTCTTACATAAAAAAAACAAAAAAATTTTGGAGACACTTACTCGTCTCCATTTCCAAGAATAAAAAAAAAAAGAATTTTTTTTTTTTAAAAAAAAATTGCCGTAATTACATAGATCAGCCAATCAAGTGTGTGATATATCGAACAGCCGCACTCATGCGAATCGGCAATTAATTTATTTAAAAAAATGGTTTGTAACATTTTTTTGATAATTTAATAAAAATGTTGTGAAACGTTTTTAAACTGAACTGATAATAAATTGGTAAATCAGTTCAGTTTTCGGTAATTACTGGTCAGTAACGGTATTTATGATTACTGAAACTAATAACTGATCAGTTTCAGTAATTAGCAATACCATTACTGATCAATTCAGTTCAGTTTCAATTTTGGCAAAAACTGTACTGAACTGATCAGAGCCCTAATTGCTATATTAGTATTAAAAGTTGTTTTTTTGTAAATATATTAATAATAAATATTTTACGTATCTTAGTGTTTCTCACAAGTTGAGTCAAATCGAGTTATGAATCAATTTTTTATATGATAAAATTTGTTCTATACTAATTTTTATAATACTTTAACTATATTATTTATGTTATGCATGTCTATACGAGTTATTTAAAATTGTATATGTGGGACACTAACGTATCTTTAATATTACAAATGTTTACTCATTTTTAATCAAGAAACTTATTTTTCTATTCTATATATTGGTTATAAAAACCTATTAAAATAAATGAAATATGTGAAATTATATTATAACAAAAAAAAATAATAAAATAAATATTTATAATTATTTAATGGTAAAAGATAAAATGTGAAATAATACTTATTATTGGTATTGTAAGGAAAATTGTAGAGGCTGAATAACAATAATTTTACTTAATAGCTTACATTACTTTAAAAACTTTACTGAATATTACTACTCATCTTATTAAGTTAGTAATGTAAAGGTTGCAAAACTGTTACTCAAATTAAACAAAAATCTTGTGAAATAAGAAACAAATCTGCACAAATTATCAAAGATATTACTGCAAAGATGTCTTAAGTATACATGAAACCAAAATTGGTTAATTTTGACCTCCAAAATGGTCGAAATGGTCGAAATGATTTCAACTTGAGCCCCTCCAAAAGTTGAAATAGTCAAAATTATGTCATAGTCATATGATTTTATAGTAAACAATAATATTAAAATTCAAAGTTAACGAACTCCTCATCTAGTGATTTGATTTTTATGATCTTTATTCTGTTTTTTTTAGCTCATTGAGAGGATTCCAATGATATGTATTTCATATTTGTAGCATTAATATTGACGGAGTTATTCACGTTTAAAATTTGGTATTAAATAGTCTTATAATTTTTATAGTAAACAATAATTTTAAAATTCAAAGTTAACGAACTCCGCGTCCAGTGATTCGATTTTTATGATCGTTACGCGGTTGGATTCAGCTCATCGAGAGGATTCTAATGATATGTATATCATATCTGTAGCATCAATATTGACGGAGTTATTCACGTTTAAAATTTTATATTAAATTATAATTATAAAAATCACATGACTATGATGTAATTTCGACCATTTCGACTTTAATTTTGACTTTTGACCTTCTCAAGTCGAAATATTTCTACTTTTGGGCTTTAATTTCAACTTCATGTATAGTCTTAAGAGTATCATTCTTATATACCATTTACTATTGCTCTTTATGCAAATTTGTAAGAATTAAATGTATTAGAAAATTAAAAATACCTTCACAACCATAGACTCATAAAGAAATTAATATTTCAGATTTTTTTAGCAAAACTTTAAAAGGAAATTCTTTTTTAGTAAAAAATTTTATATTTGGTAAAAATCAGATTTTACTATTTATAACAAGAACAAATATTCAACATTTATTTCAAATTCTATTTTTAATAATGGATGGGACTTTTAATACAGTTCTAGTAATATTCTATCAGTTATATAGCATATATATACCTATTGGTAAAGAAAATTCAAGAGTTCTTTCACTTGTTTATTTATTAACAACTAGTAAAGTTACAAGAAATATATAAATGCTTATTTGAAAAATTGATTGATTTTGCAGCAAAAAATAGTATTGACTTATAACTATCAGTAGTTATACCTGATTTTGAACAAGTATTAATAAATGCATTACATTATGTATTTTCTAATAATTATAATAAAGGATGTTTTTTTTTACTTAAAATAATCAGGTTAGCAAAAAATACAATTATATAAACTTTCTACTAAATATAGTAATGATAACAGTTTAATTTAATGCTGCATTATTTGTTTGTTTTAATATTCTTACCATTTAATGTAATTTTAGAAGTATTTAATACATTAAACTTGAAATGCTTCTAAAAGCAAATAAAGTTGTAACTTAAAGAAAACTATGTGTATAGAAAGATATATTAGTATTTTAGAAATGGTAGTACTATTTGTGAAGCTCCTTTATTTTTTTAAAGTTGTAATTAATATATAATTAAATTGAAACAGAAGTTCTACCAATAGTAAAAGCCTGGAATAAATGTTGAAATATTTTAGTTAGTAAAAGTCATATTAGTGTTTATATAATAATTTAGAAGTTACAAAAAGAACAACAGAATGTTAAATTTTAAATTAAATGTATTATTTGTAATGAAAAAAAGCCATCAACAAAAAAGATATTAGTTAATAGAAAAAAAAGAATAATGACAATTATTAATGATAGAAAAAACTATTCATCAATAGATTTTTTCTGCAAAATTGTACATAACTTTTTATTGTTATTTTCTTACTAATGATTTAGATTTGGATATTGATTATTTTTATTTTATATTACTTTAATATTGCAAATTAATTTTATATATAATAAAATTTAGAAATAATGTATTTACCGCATCCTGCGTTACAAATTTATATATATTTTTATGTTTATCATTTGCCATTTTAAGGGGGGTGCGGTGTATAAACTAAAGATTGACATAAACAATTTACAAAAAAGGAAGGATAGTACGTTGTAACGCAGGTTGCGATAAATAAATTCACTCTAAAATTTATAGTAATATATTTTTATAAAATTAAATATTTCAATTAAATACTAATATTTTACAAAGTTAAACATATAGCATTAACATCTTTACTAAAATTTTGCAAGTTGATATAAAGATAATTTTGTAAAAAAATTTAGGATTTTGCACTAGTCAGGATTTTATGTTAATCAGGATTTTTTTATTTCAGAATTTTAATAGTTGAAATTATATGTGTCAGGATTATGTGTATCAGAATTTTGTACTAGACTTATTCATACTGTTTAATCTTCTATTTTGTTATTATTCTGCCTATATATTATACAAAATAGCATATGTTTATTTTAGCGAATCTAATATTATTACTGAAAATTTATATTCAAAGTAAAAGAGTCAATATTTTTTTAAAAAATCCAGGATTTTTTATAAATATTATAAATAAAGGGTCAAAAGTTTTATTTTTATAAGAAAAAATATATGTTTTTCAAGTAATTCAGTGACAAAAAATCACTTTGTAAAATTTTCTAAATATTTAAAATGTGGGCATAGAATTAACCGGAAAGAGTTTAATATAACTTTACTATTATTTATAATAATTAGCAATTATGATTAAATTTGTATTATAATATAAATTTTAATAAAAAATAAAACTAATTTTACTTTCTATATATTATATACAACTAATTTTATTATTACTAATTATTTTTATAAATGAAAATTTAACAATAGTTGTAATTATTAAAGTAAAATTACCTAATACTTATTATTATATTTATTTTTTTATATTTCAATTAAAATAATTAAAATTTAATTTCAGCCAAATTATATAAACTATATTTACAATCACTGATTTTAGCAGAATTGAAAAAGCAATTATATAAAAATTTGACTATATAAATTATTATAATTATTTTAATAATATAAGTTAATTTCAAAATTATAAAAATAGTTTTTATTAAATATAGTAAAAATAATAAATTTTATTTATAAATATAACTTATTTAAAATTATATAAATATAAAGTATTTTACTTTACAAATATATTATAAAATAGTAAATCAAATTATTATTAAAATAAATTTACTTAATATAAAAATAATTTAAAAGTATATAAAGCATTTAGATATATTACATATTTTAAATTTCTTAATAAAAAGGTAATATTAAAAATATATAATCTAATTTTTAAATAATTTATTTGCATCAAATAAAAAATATGTTTCTTTGATAAGATTTGATCATACTGGTTTATTAGTATGCTAATTGAACTTTTTTTTAAAAACACATACTATAATATTGGATACTATCAATATACTTCATATTTTTGATATTAAAATCAATTTTTTCATCTTTACCATATTTTCTTTTGTGAAGGAACTTGAATAAAAAAATGTTTTGTAAACCCAGAATTACCAAAAAAGGGAATTACAGAGTAATACAAGCCCTTTTATATAATCAAAACTTAAATGGTTTTAATTATGAAAAAAAGTTATAACTGATAATTTTCTTAATTTTTAAATACTATATACATTTCATTTATTATTATTATTTTATATACTATTTTTTTTTTTTTTTTGTTTACCTTTCTAAAATCCGTGTTCTATCAAAAAAAAACTTTAAAGAAATTAAAAATGGATATGGATATCGATGGAACAGACGGAAAGCCTTATGTACTTATAGAACCTCGTAAATTACCAGTCACTAAGGGGTCACGAAACAGAGTAAACTATACAAATGGAGAGTCTTCAAATTCTCTTTTGAACACTTTTTCAGAGCCTAAAACGGGGATAGTTTATGATAGAAGGATGCGTTACCATGGAAATATTCATGAAGACGAACACCACCCTGAAGATCCAAAGAGGATTACCGTTATTCAGGAAAAAATAAAAAATACTGGTTGCTTAAACAAAATGGTTTTAATAAAAGCTCGTGAAGTTTCGGCCGAGGAGGCCTGCCTTGTACATACTGAGGACCACTGGGACTTTGTTACAAAGACTGCGCGTAAATATAAACTTTTTTTATCAATGTTTAATTTTTTATTATCTCCTAATTAACAAATTTATGTTACAAATCTAGATATGAGTGATAATGAATTAATAAAAAATGCCGATGAATATAATTCTATTTACCTTAATAACGAGACAGCATTTTGTGCAAGATTGTCATGTGGTGGTGTAATCGAATTATGCAAAGCTGTTGTTGATGGAACTGTTACGAACGGTTTTGCAAATGTTCGCCCTCCGGGTCATCATGCGGAAATTAACGAGCCAATGGGATTTTGTATTTTTAATAATGTGGCAGTTGCGACCCAATGTTTAAGAAAACATTACAATGTAGAAAAAGTCTTCATACTTGATTGGTAAGGTAATTTTTATAGTGCCAATTTTTTTTAATTCAAACTAATCACGTTTCTTTCTATATTTGGTAATTTCAATTTGATAATTAAGGGATATTCATCACGGTATGATTTACAAATTAATAATAATTCGTAAATATTACATAAAACGTATTTATGATTTGTTTTTTAGGTAATGGTACGCAAAAGGCTTTTTATAACGACCCTAATGTTGTATATTGTTCGATACATCGATATGAGAATGGTCATTTTTATCCTGGTGATAAGGCATTAGCTAACTATACAGCAATAGGTGGAGGTGAGGCCAAAGGCAAGTCAGTAACTTTTAGTAAATGTATCTGGTTCAATTTTTTTCGATCTCCCAAATACCAAAACTGAAAAGAATACTTTCTTTCATTATCCAAATATCTTATAAAGAACGATAAATATACCGTGGCCCCGTGCGGGGATGACTGATAGTGATTATATATTCGCGTTCAATAAAGTAGTAATGCCCATAGCTTACGAATTTTCACCAGATATTGTAATTGTTTCAGCAGGTTTTGATGCTGCCGAAGGTAAATAATATTTTTAGTCGCGTCATTAAAGGTCCACTATTAAATATGTTACTATCTAGGCGATCCTATTGGCGAAAATCACGTGACACCGAGTGGATTCGGTCACATGACTCATATGTTGAAGACTCTGGCTAACGGCAAACTTATTTTGGCCTTAGAGGTAAATTACGCGTAAATTTAGAACGTGAATTTGCGTTTTATACGCGATATTTTAAATTAATGTTTTAAATAATAGGGAGGATATAATCTTGACTCTATATCAAAATCTGCTCTTGCTTGTGTAAAAGTTTTGCTTGGGGAGCCACCAAGTAAATTAGGTCCAATAAATCCCAACCAAGATTGTTTGGAGACAATTCACCAAGTAATTCGTACACAATCGAAATATTGGAATTGTCTTGCTCCGGTATATTATGCTACCGAAGGTAATACTGCTGTAAATTATCCGAGAATTCCCGGAGAATTTTCACTGACTCATTCATTTTATTATCTCAGATCGGTTACCTGGACAACTTCTTGTAGATATGGCAGGTAATGAATTATGCTTTCGGCTAAATTCCCGAAAAAATCCCATTCGTTAACGTTTATTCAACAATTGATATAGAGATGCTTAAAATGTACAGGACAAGAAATTTATATTCAAAATATAAATTAATTCCAGTACCATTATCCGATGGCAAGTTAGGACAGCGATTCACAAATTTGGCTTGTTGCAGGTAAGCAAAATTTAAATCATAATATTAATTATGAACTATTTATGTATTCAAATTATCTGTGTAGCGGAGATTTGTTTCGTAAAGAAGTAGTATTTTTTTTCGTTCATGATATGTAAGTTATTATATTTCTTATTATTGCAATTATGTTTTGATTAAATATTAATTTTCGTAATTTATATAAATTGTTTTTTCTCCCAGGGCGGATTTCAGGTAATTTATTATTTCTGTGCTGTATTCTTAATATTTAAATATTTAGTAAATAATTGTTTTTTAGGGCTGATACTCGTGCCACGTCGAATTCAATCAATGTTTCAAATTCGTATATGGTAATTAATAATATTTTATTCGGTTAAATTGCGATAATTATAAGCATTAGTTTTAAAATAATTATATTAATAGATAGACACGGTCTATTTATATATTGAGACAATATTGGGCAACAATCACGGGATCATTGACGTTGATGTACCTCCGGTAGTTGTAAGTTTTAATCCTAATCATTCTAATCGGTTTTCTTATTTCAAATTTTGAAATTTTTTTTTTTTTTTTCAATTGGCCGTATAGAATCAACCAAAAAATGAAAATCAAGACTTGAAAGACTTATTAATATTCTTATGGGACAATCTCATAGAGTGAGTAAAATTTTAGATCTTTGTTATAAGAATAAAGAAATCACAAAAAATCTAAATTATTTTATAGAGCAACAAATCCAAAGAAAGTTATTTTAATAGGTGCTGGTCGTGGCTGTCGAAGTTTAGCAGGACTTATTAATGAGAGAGGTACCTTTCTTAATTATTCTCAAACTTAGTTTTAGAGCTTATTTGATGATTCGTTATAATTCTCTAATTAGACTATAGTATCATGGAAAAAGTTGTATGCACAATCATGATACCTGGACCAAACGAAGTTCCTTCTGTATCCAAAAGGACGGATCTTTCAACTTGGTATCAAAGCGTAAGTCAGAATAAACTATTTAGCTTCAGAAGAAATAAATTTATTTAATTTTATATCTTATAGAACGCTAATGTGCTGTTGCCGGCAAATCATCCATTTTGGGAAAAGAAAATTAAGAGAGAACATGGAACATGTAGCAAAATTGAGGGTATTTCGCAATTTTGCTTTCATTTTTCATTTTTATGGTTTATCATACTAACCTTATTAACGCGGATTTTTTATGTTTAGATTTAAATAATATGCCAGTTCAAGATATGCTTGTACATTTACACAATGACATGTTTTCTCATATAAATCAAATATTGGTGAATGGCGGGCCTGCAAATTCCTCGAATGAAGAGAGGAATAATTAAATAATATATATGTAAAAAATAATGTGGACTTGTAATAACTATTTATAAAAAGTTGACAGGGGATCTAAATTTAGATGGATGTAATATTCACAATAAGAACAATTAATATGTCAATACTATAAGTATTACATTATTATCTTTCTTTTTTTATTTGATAAACAATGTAAACCGATAATAATATTCAGGAAAATAGATTTGGATAATTTTGCGACAACTTCACCAAAGAATTATAAAAGTCGAAGTCTTTTGAGATTCTGGTTAGAATTAATATACGATAATAATTCGAATTAAAAATAATTAAACTTTGAACTACTCACCAAAGTCATCATTTATGTCATATGTAACATACACTTTAATACCTAATTCGGTGGTAACGCGTCCAACAACTTCAACGTTTGAAAATGGCATTAATGTAGTATCCTTTGGTAAAGAAAACTTCAGTAAGCTGTTTAGTCTTTAATAAACCAAAATATTCGATAATATACCGGTTCCAAATGAACTGTAACTTGTCCCCGGTCACACGTTTCCAATGTCGCATCGGTTTTTGTTGTCTAGGAATAAAAAAAAACTAGTTAATAAAGTCTCAGTTATGTGTATTTTTTAAATAAGTATTACATTTAAAACACGCCCGATACAACGAACAGTTTGACCACGATACTTTGAAAGAAGTGAAAAGTTGATTCTTGGTGAAGAAGGTTCCGTTTTATTATTCATTTTATTACAAATATATTTTATGAGCGAAAAAAATTTTAAGTCGCGTTTTTGAACAAATGCACATGCAAATTGATGATATACGTAATACCATTTAGTCTTATACTATTAGCCGAGTAAAATTATCGCTTTTTTTTTTTTAATTATGTCATATACAAGACCAGCAGCTAATAGTTTTTTTGAAAAGATTCGTAGACTATTAACTGTGGTAAGTTCCAGTTAGAAATAATATTTCTCGAGAAATAAACGAAAGGAGTATATAATTGTATATTTCGATACTATTCTGAAAGAATCCGGAATCAAATACAGGTGTTCCAATTACAGGAACCTATCGTACACCTGCTCCTGGGTAAATATTCAAATGTTTCATAAATTACACATGCAAGAACTGAAAATTTAATTTTTTAGATCACAACCAAAAACCTATGTACATCCGTTGACCAAGCATTCTGACTTAGCACAAAATTATTATTTTGGTCGAGACGCTAGACGTAATTTTCCTCGTTTAGCAGTGTATACTCAAAATGATGTTGCAAAACTCATCGCTGTATCAAATTTGAAAAGGTTTATTGATTTGTTTCATTAAAATTATTGTAATATGAGATTGATTCCTAATTATATGAATTAGTATTTCAGCAGGAGAAGGAGGATCTAACGAATCAACTCAGGTGACAACTATTCCAGAAGATTTATCATTGACGGAAGCAATTGCTTTTGGGCCAGCGTTATATTCTCATGAGAAGTTGCCACCTACTCCAGGACGTCCTTCATATAAATGGAAGAAATCTGAGGATGTTGTTGAAACACAACCAGGTTTTAAATTTATTTTTAAAAAATTTGAAAAAAAAACATCTAATAATTTTTATTTATATTTTAGGAACTTATTGGCCAATATACAATATAACATAAAAAATTGCAGAATCGCTATTTCTTATTTATTTGGTCATTTTTTATTTGTTAGTTCGGCCCATTGTGCTGGTGTGTAAGTTTTCTTTTAAGAAAATAAAATTTAGTTTCAAATTTAAACTAAAATGTTCAAATTACAATCCATTATTCTTACCTGTGAAAAAGCATGTAATTGTGAAATCTCGGCTTTTGCAGCATCATTTACTAATCGATGTTTTTGCAAAAGAGTTTTACCTTCAAATACTGAAGAAACAATAACTACATCATAATTTTGTCCACACCCACCTTTTTTAAAAAAATTCTCATTTAATAATGTTATAATAAGACATTAAATAAATTTTAATTTATTGTATGCTAACCAGAAGTATCAATAACTTCTACATGGTCCGCCGAAAGTTTCTCTTTTAATGTTTGTTCCAGGTGTTCTTTTGAAATTCCAGCTGACATTTTGCTAAGAAAAAAAAATCGGAATTACAAAATTAAATATTTATAAATTGTTAAAACCAAAGGGTTGGTTTGGCTAACCCGACGCATTACTCTGAGACAGGGCTGGCATTACTTAATATAGAATATAATTCTGCCCATTGTGGAATCAATTTTACCGGTATAGCTATTTTGTGAAGATCCTGAATTCTGAATATCAGTTTATAGATATTATACAGTAGTTTACTTTAAACCTTTTTTTTAAAAAATATTTTTAATGACATTTTTTTATAAGATTCTTTAGTGAGATTATTTATTTATACAGTATTTTTATATGCAATTTTATGAGGAAAAAAAAGATTTTCTAAGTTTAAAAATGTTGTTACTTAGATAGTTTAGTTTTTGAGAAAAATGATTTTTACATATAATTTTAATAAATTTTGAGTTTTATAATTTTATAAGATTAAAAAGGGTTGATCATCCTTGGCTCATTGATTGGTCCGTGAGTCTCCTCATAAAGCCTGATTATGGTGAGGATGCAGGTTCAATTCTGGTTGATCACAGAATCTGCACTGAATTTTACTGCATACGAATATACCATATCATTGAAGTGGAGTTATAGGATTAGTGTAGACTGCATCATGGCGTATTGGTGTATACAGTTAGGCTGCACATTTTAACAGAGAGTTATGGTATCCTCTGTTCTGAGATTGAAGCAATGGTAAGCCAATTGTCCTGTCTAAGTAATCACTGCTTACATATTACTTGGATGAACTCTCTTTCAAATTTATGCATTAGATGTATTTTCATCTGTTTTATAAAATTCACTTATAAATGGAAGGAAGTTTTGGAAATAAATTTTGACTTTAGTATATAACAACCAATTTTATCGTCTTTGCTGATCATTTCCAAAATTAGATTTGTTGAAAAAACAGTTTTTGTTAAATAACTCAAAAATGGCTTTCTAAACCACCTATTTATTATCTAAGTAAATTTGCAGAGCGGACAAAAATACATCTAATGTAAAAATTTAAAGGTTTTATTTTAAATAAAAAAATTGTAATTTAATTTTTTTGGAAAAATCACTATATCACATTGTGACATCAACCTGGCACACATTTCAGACATGCTAATTTTAAAGGGTAAAGTTGTGCACTCAGATGAGTCAGATCTACACTTAAACCTTTTATCTGTTAGAAATAAAATTTCTTTTAAAGTTATAATTAGGCTTTAGAGAAGTGTATTTAAAAACACTAAAGAATATTTCATATGCACTAATTTCTAGAATTTGGCTTTTGCATCAAAAAAACCAACTTTATTGCGTAAGTACAAATCACCAGGTATACAAAAATAATAGATCAATATCAGCTGATGTGAATAAAATTGATCATTATATGATTTTTTATTTTTTTTAATATAACATCAATAAAATTTAAAAAATCAAAATAAAATTATTGTAATAAAATTTTAAATAACTTGACGTATATATTCATTTGAAAGAGAAAACAAAGGCCTATCTAATGAATCTAAAATTACATGAATTGAATCACTGGTTGTTGAGTAAATGCATTCAGTATAATTATTTTTAATTTTTAACTTTGATCGTTAATATCTCTACATCTAGTGATTCAATCTGAAATCTGAATGATCTTTAATTACTAAGATAGAGTACGTTCCCACCTTTTAAATGAATATAAAATTATTTGATTAGCATATATGGATGCTGAGATATCAATGAACATGTAAATTGCATAAAACCCAATATAAATAAATTTTTAAAGTTACATTTTCTCACCAAAAAATTATTTTCACAAGAGATCTTGAATAATTGTTGCCTTATTTAACAATAATTATTCGTTATTTAACGTTTTAATTGAATAAAACTATTAAAATAAATATCAAAAAATAGAAGACAATTAGTATAAAATTAGTTTAATAAAAAATAAAAAAAAAACTTTCAAAAATCCTATATCATAGTTTATATTTTAATTCAATATATATTTTACAGAAAAAAAGAGAGGAACTAAAGTTAAAAATAAATAAAAAATCATTTTTCTTATAAATAAAAAATATTTATTTATTTTTTCTTTTACTTATTGTTTAAAAATAACCACTTTATATATTTACAAACTTTTTTAACTCATTTAACGAAAAAGTGATTGAAAAGTGATTGAAAAGTGATTGAAGAAAGAAGCAGTTATTATCATTATTTTTAAATATAATTTAAAAAAAAATTTTTTATTTTCTGATAAATTCAAATCATCTGAACATGTAGCACATATGTGGAACACAATTCTTGTTAAATGAATAAATTTTTACAAAAATCTTAATTTTAGCTAATTTTACAGATCGGCGGATATGTTGAGTCTAATGAAAATATACAATTAATGGATAAAGAATTTGATGCTTATAGTAGTTCTGATTATAATCACGTAATATAATATAATATTTATATTGTATCTTTTCTAATATATACTAATAATAATTAAATAATCAAAAAATAAAATTACAGTATATAGTAAAATTTTTTTTATTGATACAATGTCTGATATATGAATCTTTTTACACTGGCCTATAAGTAAGAATAAAATGGTCAATATTGATGCTATTAATATAATTTACTTTTATTATTAAATTTCAATAATTGTAAATAATCATTCAATATTTAATTCAACTATTTCAACTTTTAAGAAGTTAAAATCAAATTAAGTTTGACTATTTTAATTATTTTAAGGGTTAAAATAGGACCTGTCTACTATTAAGATAGGTCACCTTATGACTTAAAGTAAGGTTTACATATAACTTTTTAAAGATCCCACTATAAAAGAAAATTTTATGTTACATTATTATGATTTTTTTTCTTTTTAGTTAATTAAACAAATCATATAATGAATCCATAATTTGATAAATAAATGCCATTACCAGTTGGACCAATGATTATAGAATTATGAGATAATTTGCTACCTAAATTTGAAAGTTGAAACATTACATATAGTGCTCAAGAATAAAAGAAAAATCCAATTGAGAATAGCCCACACAATGCTAATCTGGTCACATTTCAGATTTTGAATGGTTTGCATAAGTCAAGAGAGTACAAGTATTGTAAGATCATAAGGAGTATACTTCTAAGACATGTGGGCATTGCAGACAAATCAATGGCAAACTGGATGGTTCTAAAAATTTTTTGGTGCAATTCATGCAAGGTGGAGATGGATCGGGGCAAGGAACATCTTACCCAAATTGTTAATGGAAAGTCAAGTTTTGGTGTATGGGATATGATATGACTAACTCTGTTTATTCATGTTAAATTCAATTTCAAGGGTATTTTACAATGATTACAATATTGGCTAGCAAATTTTTTATACATAAACATTAAAAGTAATAAGTAAAAGCATCAAGTTTATTTATGATTTGATTTAATGAATTTAATGAATTTAATAACACACAATTAGTTCTGCTAAATCAAGGTTCTTTAAAAGTCAGGTCCAAATGTCGTTTTAAAGTTTTAAAATTATAACATAGAATATCAAGTATTAATATATAAAGTAATTATTCAATTATTCAAGATGTCATTACGTCTTTTCCAATGAAATTACCAAATTAAAATTAAATAATGTTTTTAAGGTACGACCACGGACCATTCATGTGGAATTTCTCCGTATTGTATTCCCACTAGTACATCAGCAAATCTTTTAGTAGCAGGTCCTGCGTTACTAGAGGGGTCGTTTGGATCTAATGGGATACTAAAATCACGTCCATGATAATGGATCTCTTTAATGGGACTTACTATACATGCAGTTCCCGCACCAAACATCTCTAATAAACGACCTTCTTCTTGAGCTTTCACAACTTCAAGCATTGTTATCTTACGCTCAGAAACTTTAAATTCATTCCATGAACGTGCAAGGCTCAATATAGAATCGCGAGTCACTCCTGCAAGTATAGTTCCGTTTAACGGGGGCGTAACAAGTTCGGTTTCTACATTTAAGTTGAAATTCATAATGAAACATAAATTATATTAGAGAACTAGATAATCAATTAACGTGAAAAGGAACAAGAATTATACTTTACCACCCTGTTCATTTTTTAAAAGAACAAAACAATTCATTGTGCCAACCTCAGTTATTTCATCTTCAGCGCCAAATAACCACAAATTTTGATGATATCCTCTCTTAGCAGCTTCAATTTGTGTTTGAACACAAGGTGCATAATTCCCGCCAATCTTCGCGTCTCCAGTACCGCCAGGCCAAGCTCTAACCTTATCAGTTGTAGCTAGTAACCGAACGGCATCGAAACCTGTCTTATAATATGGGCCTACAGGGGAACAAATAATGAAAAGAAGAGCACGAGTAGTTGCACCAACCCCTAATGATTCTTGAGTTCCAATAATAGCTGGACGAATGTATAGTGAGTAGCCCCTTTCAGCAGGGATCCAACGTTCATCAAGACGAATAAGTTTTTTTAGGCATTTTAATAATTCATCTCCATTGAAATCCTGAAATATTTAAAAGAGTGAGAAATCAAAGAGATAAAGATTTTAAAACGTTCATTATTTAAACTCACGGGTAATGTGAGTCTTGTGGCTGACTTTTTAAATCTCTTCATATTCATATCTGGTCTAAATAATCTTATGTTACCGTCCTTGTCCTTGTAAGCCTTTAAACCTTCAAAGCATTCGAAAGAATAATGGAACACCATGGCACTAGGTTCTAAAGAAATTTTTCCATAAGGTTTAATGATTGGATCAAGCCATCCTTGATTTGCATTCCATTCGATTTCTAACATATGATCCGCAAATGTTCTTCCGAATATGAGGTCCTTAATAGGAACAAGAGATTTTAGGTTTTCGGAACGTTGAATTCGAATTTTACCGTGCTATTTATAACAGGGATAAGTTACTTCTTATTTTATTTTTTTTAAAAAAAAATCAAATCATTGTGCATATTTTGTTTAGTTACGTTACAAAGATTTGTTGTAACACTTTTCAACAGTGTGTAAGAACAAACCAACAACGCCGCGTTGCGAACTAAGGACTTACGTCAATGTCAGCAAGCTGCTTTGCATTATTGGTTAACGTGGACTGAAATAATGTCTGTTGAAAGATAGCAGGATAAATTGTCGCTGCACGTGGTAATAATATTCGGCTGCGTATTGATAAACAAATTCGTTTCGAAGCGGAAGAAAGCATTTTTTCGACAGGAATATTTCAAAACAATGCTTCGTAAAAAATTTTTTTTCTTATTTATCATGTGACTCATTCATTTCTATTTACAAGGCATCTTAAATTTCATCCTGATTATATACAGTTATGAACCAATCAGAAATTAGCAGCTTAATAATGTGATCATCAGCCATTCAGCTAGGCGGGAAATTCTATGCATGATGTACTGGGGTGTGCGATATCGGCCTAATCACAAACATAGTGAAACCAGCATAGCGGACATCCTTATATCACCTTGCCAATCATTTGTCAATCACATAATCCAAATTTTAAAACTTCTTGCAAAAGTGCAGATTTTTATTAAAAAATAGCATGATAAAATACAATGAAATTCAAGCTAAAACATAATGTTTATTGTAAATTTTGAATTATATAATTATTAGTATAATTTTTTTATTTGTTACAGTACAATATTCATATGTGATAATTTAGGATCATCAGACAAAAATTGGTTGGCAAAGATGAATATGCACTGGCAAAACTTAAAATTTTGCACAAATATTCCTTATATTATATACAAACTATGGCTAAAATAAGACAGTAACCAGACCCATAAGACAGGTTTTGTATTAATAGAGTTTTCAATAAAATAATGTTACGAAATTTAATAAATAAAATGCCATGAAACTTCATAAACAAACGCTTTTATAAAATTTAATATACAGCAAATCAAAACTATAATTAAGTTGTTTGTAAAGTTTGAACATATATTATTATGTAGAATCTTTCAATAATTATAAATAACGACATTTATATTATATAATATAAACTTAAATGATCATTAAATGATCGTCAAAATTGTGATAAAATAGAAATGTCCGCTATGCTAGTGAAACCATTATATTGTAGGCCCTATTGAGGAATTTTTTTTGTTGATCATTTTATTGATCATTAAATTGAAAGAAGTTTACTAAGCTTTGAATTATTTTAAATGATTTACAACATTTAAATAGTATCAATAGGCTATACTGCTATAGTACATTATTTTAAGAAAGTTTCAGCTAAAAATTCACTCTGTATTATGCATTCTTTAAGTAACAGTGTTTTACTCTTTGAGACATGAAATAGGATCTGTTGGCATTGTAGTAAGTAGATATTAGCCTCCAAAAACTACTTTTTTGGAATTTTTAAATGTCGTATTTTAATAAAATAGAGCCAGTTTTTGAACAATAAAATAAAAAAATAAAGTTTACACTGCTGTGAAATATTACAACGTGATTTTTACACTTAAATTTATATGTACTTAAGAAATCTATCTGGCTCTATTAGTTTGTGTATGTTTGATTTTAATATCATAAACAGTTGCCAAAAATGTAGAGTTAAACATGCATATAAAGTTATAGGTAATTTAGTTTTACTAGTAATTTATTATATATTAATAAAAATCTATAGTAATGATCACTCTAGTAATGCATTATATTTGTAAATTAACCAATATTATAATTTTAAATAGAAAAATTTAAATCTAAAATTCTCTTTTAAATGATTTAAATCTAAGATTCTAAAATATTAATAAATTATAAAATGATCGATAGTTGACAAATGATCGACAAAAAAATTCTTAATAATAATGTTTACTATAATAGTTGCACTATATTTGTGATTAGACTGATGTTGCACACCCTAATGATGTACAGTACTTATAATATACTTATACCTTAAAATATACTTCTAATATACTTATATTTTGACGAGATAAATTATACTTACTGTAAATATACTTAAATTAAAATTTATTAAAATATTCTTATCAGCTATAATATACTTAAATATAATATAAGTTTATATACTTAAAATATACTTAAAAAATTTAAATACATTATAAGAATTAAAATTTAAGTATAAAATAAATGTATTTTTTTTATATTTAAGTATAATTTAAGTATCTGATCAAAATACAATTAATAGGTATATTTTGGGTATATAGCAAATTAAAATTGATATTTATTTTAAATAAAAATTTAAATATATTTTAAGTTACAAAAACAAATAAAAAACTTATACTATTGAACAATAATTATTAAAAAAATATTTCACAATATTTTTTCTTAATAGATAATTAAAAAAAAAAAAAAGTATTTATTATTAACTGAACAATAAATCAGTATATATTTTATTATCAATTGATAACTGATATTAAATCCAAATTTACTGATCTGATTTTGCAAAAAATGTAATTAAATTTAAACTTAAATCCAATTATAATTGAATTAATATAAAATTTCAATCTAATTAATTAAAATTATGTTATTTTAAAGAAATTATTATTAGAAAAACAAATTGAAAAAGATATTTTATTAGAGGATAGTGAAAATAATAAAGAATTATTAGTTAATAGTTAACAGATAGTAAACCAAAAAATATTGTAAGGAGTTTGAGAAAATACTTAATGAATTAATATTATTATTATTGATATTTATCATTTTATTAAAATTTGAGTAAAATATTTTGAGTATAATTAAAAATATCATAAAACTTTGATTTTTTAATGTTTTTTATTATAATTTTTTGTAAATAATAATTTTTTTTAAAATAAAGATATATTTACTAAAAATTTGATTATTAAATATTAATGATTTTAAATTAAGTTTAATAAAATCCTAAAAATCTTTAAAGTAAATTATAAATTACATTTTTAGCAATTTGTTTTATTTTTGTAATTCAATTTTAATGAACTTTTTATTTTGTAACTTTAATTGAGCTTTACAATTTAAAAAAAAATTCATATTATTAGATGTTAAAAGGATTGCAAAAGCCAATTTTTTTTGAGTTTTAGTTAAAAAAAGTGATTTTAGCTAAAAGTACTTTATGATACTATATATTAGATTTCTGGGATCCTATTATAACATTTTTTTTAAATTTAAGATTTATTCTAATAATAAAATTTTCTAATGTATTATTAAAAAATTCAGTATATTGAAAAAAAATAAATATTATCTAAAATTTTAAAATTAGTAAAGTAATTAATGAATCAGATTAGGTTACAGGTTACATAATAAATAAATTAAAAAAATCAGTTTTTAGTTTTCTTAAACATTTAAAAATTGAAAAATGATATAATTTAATAAATAGCTTATTGGATTTATCTTGATAAGACAAATTCAAATAAATGTCAACCTAAAATTTTCAAGTATCTCTATATTTGTTGATTTATATAGTAGCTATCACGTTATGAGTAATAGTAATATTATGTAGTTTCAAAATTTTGTAAAGAAAGGGCAACTTAATGCACATTTCTTGGTTTATTTTATAAAATAATGAGATATTATGAGAATTTCAGACTAGTTCCACGGAGTATAGCAAAAAAAAATTTTTTTTTGGCATAATATAGTAAATATACTATAAAAAATAGATTACGCAATATAAATAAAAATTTTTAGACAATGTCGCTATAGGTGGTGATAACCATTTTTTTTATACACTATATTTTACTTGCGGATCAGCTCAAAAGGAGAATCGAAAAAAACTAACATAATGTCTTTTCCCGAACTTGTAAATTTAGATATGTACTGCACAGACCTATCTGATCGGCGATCCATTAGATACTTTTTCGGGTAATCTTTGCGTCAGGGATTAAATAATTCATTTTGCCTTCCAAAATAGGAAAATCGCGCACGGATTGTAAATGCAACTATCGTGGAAAATCCAACCAAACTTAAAAAATGTAGATAACAATCTAAATTCTCAAATTTTTCATTGAAAAATTTTTTTTTATAAGAAACTACTTATTACAGAATGAGTCAAATACCTGTTAGCTTAATTGGAACTTTACGTATTTCTTTTGGTTCTAGGACGTCAATTAATTTCTTGCGCGCTTCAACCAATACAAAGTTTGGTGTTGCAAGAACTTGTCGTGAGTAATATTTATCGATTTTTTTTTTCTTTTTTCTTTCTTTTCTTTTCTAATAAACTCTTTTCCCTTTCTTCTTTAGAAAATTTATCATTCAGAAAAAACTCAACTATAGCTGTAACTTTAGGTCAAAAGCAAAAAATAACTGATTTAGGACATCATCAATATTCTTCAAGTTTTCCAAATAATAAAGGAAGTTCAGTTGTTCCAACTAATTTATCTGGTGGATTTTTGTTATCTATTAGTTTGTCTGCTTCTTATTATCTTGGAAAAGTCATTTATTGTACAGGTAAGAAAATGAATAAACAATACAATATATAATATTTATTTGTTTGTTTATTAAAAAATAATGGATCGATTTTTTATTTTAGAGGAGAAAATCACTCAAACGGTTGAAACGGTTGAATCGGTTGAATCAACTCCTGAAGTAACTTTATTTCCTTCACAATCTTCTATCACTGAATCTCAAACAACTACGACTTCAAAGAAAGAAAATGTTATATCTTCACCTGATGATGATGAACGACCTTTTTCATTAACTGGTTTATTTGATCTTTCACAAATAAGTTTTGGTGCTTCAATGGGATTTGCATCAGGTTATTTTGTTAAAAAAATATCGAAAACTGCGGCATTTTTAGTAGGTGCCGTATTTGTATTATTACAAATATTAGAACATCAAGGTTATATTAAAATTCATTGGAATAAATTTGAAGAAAATTATCAAAAAGTATTAGATTTAGATAAAGATGGTAAAGTTACTGCTAATGATTTTAAATTGATTTTACGTAATATTGTAACATTTCTAAGTAAAAACTTTCAAACCGACGCAAGTTTTATTATTGGATTTGGTATTGGACTTAGATATGATTAAATAATTATTATATATGTATTATTATTTTGTTATATTGTTAACCTTTATATAATAAATTTATCGTGTAAATTTTGATGCATCTTTTTATGTATACTCATAATACTTATTTGATGTCTCATACTCTCATTTTAAAATTATTGTTCATAGATAATTAATAATATAATATTTTCAGGTAAGCCAATTTACTTTAAAACAATTTTCCAAATGTTTTCATTAAAAATGATAATATTATGAAGGGCATGAGTATCGAAAAAAGGAACAATTATAAGTAAACCAGAATCTACGTGTATAACAAATTAGCGCTAGCGCATTTTCTAATTATTCCAAAAGTTCATAAATCCTGTATACCAAAAAAGTTCAGATGTATAACTACTATATAGTGTTATTAAGAAACTTGTTAAATTATAAAATATTTTTTTTTTTTATAAATTACACCAAAATTACAATTAAATAAATTCTATATTCTATAATTGCCCTTTTTAAATAACCCTTAATACCCATTATTATTATTTTTTCCACTTACGTCTGCCTCGTTTGAAGTAAAAGTTGATTTTTCTATTATAATAATACAAAAATTTTGTATATATTATTATTTACGATTAATAAATTAAATAAATTGAATAATTAATTTATCATCAACATACCAGTGCAATTAAACTATTACGTTGTTCAGGTGATAGTGAGTCAATTTGCTGTTGTGGAAGATTAAGCACTTGCAAAAGAAGCTAAACCGAATAAGAAAGTGGTGTTAAATAAATCGATCAATAAATATCTCTTTTATGAATATGATTAGTCTTATTGTATCTTCTAATGTACAAACCTGCTTTTGGCTTGCTTCCTGTATCTGTAAATCGTCTATATAAAAAAAAACTTATCAGCAAAAATTTAAACAAACTTCTAATCTATTTGAATATATAAAGATATAATTTTTACTTAAGTTTACATTTCCACCAACATATGATGTTTGAGTTCCTGTATTGCCCATAACCGATAGCATTCCGGTTGGCATACCCATTGGTGGTTGTATTGCTTGTTGTAAGGGTTGAGGAATTGATTGCTGTATGGGTGGTGGTTGTTGCTGCATTGGTGGTGGTTGTATGGGAGAAGGTTGAATCGGTTGTTGTTGCATGGGTTGCTGCATCATTGGTTGCGGTTGTGGTGGCATTCCATACATTGGTGGTGGTTGCTGCTGTTGTTGCTGATGTTGTTGATGTTGTTGTTGATGTTGTTGTTGATGTTGTTGTTGATGTTGTTGTTGATGTTGTTGTTGATGTTGTTGTTGATGTTGTTGTTGATGTTGTGGTTGAGGTTGATGTTGTGGTTGAGGTTGATGTTGTGGTACTACGGGAGCTGGAGGAACGTTTGGAGTAACGTTTGGAGGTCCAAAATTAACTACTTGATTAGTATTTTGTACCGGTGCGGGTTGATTTTGTTGCTGCGGCGCGGTTTGGGCCAATAAACTCTTAAGAAAGATAAAGCAAGATTAGCATTCTTTTTTAAAACATAAAAGAAAAAAGGCTTATATACGTACCGGTAATATTGATGGATCAATAAGATTTAATTGTACCATTATTTGAAATAATGAATATGATAATTGAGGATTTTGCGTTAATAGTATACGAGCTTGTTCATAATGAGTTTGAATGTATAACTATTTTTTAAGGTACATTTCATTATTAGCTTATTGATTTTTTTTTTTTTTTTAAAAAAAAAAAAGGTCCTTTGAATGAAAATTTTTACCTTCATTGTTGACAAAATCTCAAGAAGTTGAGCTTGATTCATTGAATTTTCAGCTTGTGACATATTTTCTATCGTTTGTTGTTGCTGTTGTGCTGTAGTTGATGGTGGTGAAACAATTTGAGGAGGTGGTGTTTGTCGTGATGGTGGTGGGGGTTGTGGTTGTGGCTGTGGTTGTGGCTGCGGTTGTCGTTGCTGCTGCTGCTGCTGCTGTTGTTGTTGTTGTTGCTGTTGTTGCTGCTGCTGTTGTTGTTGTTCATTATTCGTTCTTTCGCCCTGTGAAGCTGATGAAGAAGAAGCTGCTGGATCACCATCAGCATAATCAACTCTTAATTGTCTCCCGCCAACTTCAACATTATTCAAATTACGTACAGCACTTGCTGCAGTCTCAGTATCTTTCAAAATTAATTATATAATAATATTTATTAATTATAAGAATTATAAAAAATCGATCAAAAAATCGAATTTACATACCATGATATTCACAAAAACCATATCCTCGAGGTCTTCCTGTATCTCGATCGAAAACAAGACTAGATAAATAATTAAGATAAATAACAATTAAAAAAATTTTTTATAATTTTTATTTATTAACTAATATAAAGTAAAAACTTTATGTAAAACAAACCGAAAAGATAATACGGGTCCAACTTCTTTAAAAACTTCCGTTAACTGATCTTCGGTGAGTTCATAAGGAATATTTCCAACTAAAATGAAAAAGAAAAATAACACAATGTTAATCGTTTGAAAAGTCATCACTAACTTTATATATAAAAAATATTTACCAAAGACAATATTTGAGCCCCGTGATCCAGTACTCATATTAAACTTTTATTTATTTTAAAAAAAAAAATTCCAGACAATCTGATCTAAATTACGAAATTGTAATAATAAAAATAAACTTTTTTTAATTTCCACGTATTATGATAAACAGAAACCACCTACAAAAAATTGAAAAAATTGGCATGTGATCTGTAGTAGGCGCGCGAGATTGATCATCAATTCATCAACGTGATAATTTTATAATGGACGTACTAATGACATCTATAATTCAAGTATAGGACGAATTCCAAAGGAAAAATCTTTTAAGAAAGATATTTATTTGTAAGTTGAAATGCTTACATTCAGAATTGAATCAGAATTAATGTTGAACCTAAACTTTAAAAGATATTATTAGTACGAAAGCTGAGGATAGTTCAGGTGGGACAACCAAAAAAAAAACTTTGGCAAAGAATATACTGAAACTTAAATTGATCAAAAAATAGTTTAATCTGTATCATTTAATCGAACAGGTCTTTTACAGAAAATATTTTAGTATCCTAATAAAAATACAAATAAAATATTTATAGTATTTATCCATTATTTGATGCAACAATAACAGCGTATTTACATGTATATAATATTGTTAACAATAAAGCACCATCTTTCTTTGATTGGTTTCCATATTTTAAAAACAAATGCTGTGTAGATCGAACTTTTTTAAGCTATATAGTTTTTGTTTTTAACTCGGATATAGATAAAATCCGATATAGTTTGTCATGTAAAGAACGACGCTATAAATAATGCGCACTATAAATACAAGCTCTTTTAAACCTCTTCCTTATAACCATTTGTCTTTTAAGCTAAATAATAAAAAAATATGCTACAATTGATTCAAAATTGGGGTGATAGGACTATAAAGTACCTTTTGAGTTCTAAATGAAATTAATAAAATTGTTTTTTTTTATAACATTTTTAATATTAAATCAATTTAATTTATTCACTATAGCATTTCAAGAAGATTATTGAGAAATCACCCTTTAATTAAGGTAATTTTTCTTTTTTTCATATCAAATCATCTTTAAATCTAAATCTATTAACAAATTATGTGTATATATATATATATTCTTTTTAGTTTATCATTCGTATCATTGCGATATGTGTTATTTTCGCGATTATGCCCATATTGTGGCTTTTTATCGGATTAATTATTTGGATTTTGTTCATCAGTACGAGTATGTTCGGTGTCGATTTCATTTATTTGATGAAGACAGGAATATTTTACAATTTTTATTGACTCTTCAATAGTTTGCATTGTGGGATTCTTTATTCCAATCGCAATATTTTGTGAATTTTTTAATAGGTTACTGATATGGGTTAATCAAATAAAGTATCTGTAGAAGTTTAATAAAGTTTTTTTTTTAAAAAAAAAACTTTATTTCGTTCGAATCTTCTGAAAGCCGGTTTCTTAGTAGTTCAAATTTTCACTATATCCAAGTATTATTACATAATAGTGAATGGAATCCTGTAATAACAAGAATTTGTTCTAGTAAAATTATTTTTTAACATTAAAAATTTTTTTGAACTGGTTTTTATCATTATTGGAAAATCTGCCAATCTCACTTTTTATTTATATCTGTTAAACATATTAACATAGTATGCAAAGCTTCTGGACTTCCCGGTAAGTAATTCATCTACTTTAGATATTTATGAAGTTATTATTGGTATTATTAGCAGTTGAGGAATAGATTTATAGACAGATTTCAGCAAGGCCGATATCATTAAAAGATTTTCTGTCAGTTGCTGGCACTCCTTTTCAAATCTAGCATCGTTGGTATCATATGACGTATCACATGGCCGCAAGACGACCCTATTAGGAATATTTTCAAATGCCAAGCATAAACCATTCGGAGCCAATAGATTTGGTAACATATATAGGAGAAGCTTATTTTTCAAAGACTTGGATAATGATTGCTAAAAAGTTAAGGAGTGCACAAAAAAACGAACGCTGTAATGCATTTAATTCACTATGGATAAGGGTAAAAAAGGGAAGATAAAAAATATATTTAAATTAAATAAAATAACAGTATTTTTTTTTTTTTATCTTGATATCATTTTTTAAATCCAATATTATTTTTAATCTTAGATTCCCAACAAAGTGCAAATTTATTTATTTATTTTACAGAAAGAGTAACTAATCTAAAAAGTAGTAAACCCTATTAAAACACTCAGTTTCTATAATCCTTTAAGTCCCTTAACTAAAGAGTGCCGCCTTCCCTCGCCTCGTAGGACTACAGAAATTAATATTCTCTTTGATAATCACGTGATATATATATAATTTTTTATGCATGATAAGATTACTGTGCATCAAATCTCGGACTTTTTTCACATATAAAATAGTTTAGATTGTTTAATTACTTTTATATCCATATTTTTCGATGAAAATCCTAAAAAAGTTAGCAAAGAAATTTGATAACGTGTGAATTTCATGTTGTTTTGATTTTATGTGTTTCATAATTAAATTTCCTTTACGTACTTTTACGTATCAGATGTTAATCCAATTACGTAATTAAATAATCGGCATGACACGCAGTGTATATTTTTTTTAAATTCAAATATTGTTTACTTTTTTTGTGATAACCATTTTTCTTTCCCAAGAAAAAAAAAATTGATATTTTATAGACCGTTTTCTTTATTCTATCTTAATGAGCAGTAATATGACACAAGAACATCTAATTAAAAACTTAGGAGATGAGATTAAAGTAAAAACCGGAAGGTAAATAAGAAGATTTTATGAGAATAACGAAAAAATTATATTAATATTTTCCAATTTTATATAGATTTATAAATCACGCGGAACAATGCTTTCATAAATATCAAGCTTTTGCAAAAGACTATCCTTTTATTGGGGTAAGTAATAAAAATATACATATTATAAAATTTCTTATTAAAATAAAGATATTGATAATTCGTTTTTTTTTTTAGCTTTTCATTGCAATATTTTTCATTTTTGCAATTTTACCCGTATTATGTTTCGTTGTATTCTCATTATTCACCACTTTTGTAACATTAGGTGGTGCAATTGGTATTGGATTATTCTTATGGCTTTTATTCCTTAGTATTTATGGTATGTTCTTATTTGATTTTTATTTCAATACTTAATTTTTTTATTAACAAAATTTTATTTATAGGATTCTTTCTTTTAATTTCACTTGTTTGTATTTTCTTTATTACTTGCACTGTGTTTTTTTGGATTGCTCTTGCAGCATTAATTGGTAGAATAATATTTAAATATATTGATGAACATAATCAAACAAGTGAGAGTTTTGATAATCATGAAACTGTGAATGCGATCAAACCTTAATATGATAAAAAACATTTTAGAAAATTTTTTTATTGTTATTATAAATATAAACACACACACATATGTATATTTTATTTATTTACTTGTACATATAATTATTCCTTGATTAAATAAAGTAATATTAAAATATTAAAATTGCAAATAATCCATAAATATTTTTTACTGTCTTGGTGTCTTCTTTTAATAGTTATACTGCGCCACTAAAATCATAAATTTTGAAAAATTCGGCCCATTTACTTTTTACTTTGAATTTAGACTATACTCCCGTAGCGTATTCCCGATTTTAGACCATTATCCCGATTCCCGACAATCGTGACTCAGGGGGACCTGCAACAGAAGATTAGAATATATCCTTCATTCTGGAAATATTTTCAATGAATTGCTTAAAGAAAATAAAGTAGAAGCCTATAATTGAAGAAATGTCATCAATTTCTTTCGTTGATTATTCAATATTTTCATTCTTTATCCGTGTAGAGGAATTTATGTATCTTTTAAAGCTAAAAAACATGTTTTATCATTTGACACAAATATGAAAATAATAACTTTTGAACTTAAGAATTTTTGCAAAGAAATTGGTTTAAAAACTTTTTAATTTTTAATAGAATTTTCATTTAATATTTTTTATATTTTTTTTTTAAGAGTATATAATGTATTATTGTATGTATGTATATATTATTATAATATTCGGTCGGTAATCTTTAAATAATCTAATGATTAATTTGTATGTTGAACTTTCCCCTATTCAAATCTTTTAATAATTATGGAATATTTGATTGGTATTTTTGGTATATCAGAAATCAGAATATCATTTCATCATATAGAATTTTATATAAATTAAGGATCGACTTTTTTACTTAAATATATAGTATAAACAAAGAGCATGTCAAAAAAAAAAAATCGGCAACAATTTTAACCGATATATTATATATACTAAAGAAATCGATTTTTACTTGTCAAAAAGTTATCTTTTCACAGATCTAAGAATTAAAGGAGGTAACATATTTAATTGGTAATTATATCCGTTCATTTTAATTATTTAATATTAGACGTACAGTATATCAGATGATATCGAATTTTAAGTTTCTATTTATTTATGAGTATCTTAAGGATCTTTAAATGTTAAAATTTACATTTTTTTAACCCTTGTTTTTGAAACATCATCCCAACAACAACAATCCATTTTTAATATATTTTTTCTTTGTTTTTGTAATAGTTAACCAAGCTTTAAAAAGTTAATCTAGCTTTAAAAATAAATATCAGATTTTTAGACCCCGACTTTAAAATCCCGAATTAAAAATTATTTTGATTCTTTACCATAATTTATTTCATCACAATACTTTTTATAGAGTAGATTAATTGATGATTGTTAAATTCTTTTATATAGAAAACAAGTTTATAATAAACGCCACATTTTCACAATTATTCAAAATTAATAGAGTCAACAAAACGAATATAAGGGGTAAATTCTCACATTAGATATCAGACTCTCGCATATCAATCATGTGATTTTAAGTTTTTTAAACTCTTATTTGTAGTATTTATAATTAATTTATTACTTAATTTGTACAATTCTATATTTTATCTAATATGTAAATCGGTTAAACAAAAAAAAAAATTATATCAATTTATCCATTATGTATACATATCCACAATTTTATTTAACCATGTGAAAGACGAGTCGATCGTCATTAAGTAATTAAATTAAAAATTTACTATAAATATTTCCAATTTTTTTCTTTACTTACTCCAATCTTTAAATTAATATTATTATTAATTAATCAATCTTTTTTTAAAAAAAAAAAAAAAAAAAAATTTATTGACATATTAACATATTTTTTTCTCATTGATTGAAAAAAAAAATGTCGTCTAATTCTAATTCTGTTAATGTGATTGAAGAATGGACCTCTAGACCAGATGGTGTTGAAATCTATACAAAAAAATGGATGGTAAAATATCATACATATGATTCATAATTATTAACTTTCGAATCTTTTTCTCATCTCTTTCTTTTTTTGATTATCGAATTAGTCTGTCATTGACCCTCCGATCGCAACTGTTGTATTTTTACATGGTTTCGGTGACCACGTTAATCGTTTCAATCATGTATTTGAGAGATTCGCTTTAAAAGGTGTTGAAGTTCTCGGCTTTGATCAACGTGGATTTGGTAAAACTGCCGTTCGTAATAAGAATCCTGGTCATACTGGTGGTTGGAAGATTGTTACTGGAGATATTACAGGATTTCTTCTTGCTAATAGGCGTCAAAATATTCCTCAATTTTTATTTGGTCATAGTATGGGTGGTGGTCTTGCTGCTAATTATGCTTCTGATGGCCCGGAAAAAGATAATCTAGCTGGTATCGTTTTATCTTCTCCTTTAATTGCATTGGCTCCTCAAGCAAGAGTACCGAAATCTGCTGTAACTTTAGCAAATGCTTTATCAAAAGTTATACCTAATTTGACTGTTCCCGTGATGTCCTTGGATAAAAAATATATTTCTAGAAATCCAAAAGAAATTGAAAGATATCAAAACGATGAATTAATTCATCGTATTGGTTCTTTACGTGGTCTTGCAGATATTAACTACGGTATTAGATCAGTTTTAAGGGAAAAATATAAAAATATTACATTACCTACCTATATTTGCTTTGGTACTAGTGATGGAATTAATGATATTAATGCTGCAAAAGAATTCTTTGATAAAATTCCTTCTCAAGAAAAAACTTGGCGAGAATGGTCTGGTTTTTATCATGAAAGTATGTAAAAAAAAAAGTTCATAAAATGTTGGTTAACATAAGTAACTGCTTTTCTAAACTAAATTTCTATTTTGTAGTGCATCATGAAGACGAAAGATATTCGGTCATTGATGATTATCTTGATTGGATCTTAAATAGAGCTGTTTCTAATTCTAAAAAAAAGAATATTCAGATTTCTACTTCAAATAGTAGTGGTGCTATCTCTTCTTCTCCTTTAGCTCTCGCTTCTGCATGATTTAGTAGATTTTATTTATTTATTGATTAATTATTTTTTTCGATTTTTTCCCTTGTATATTATTTCTTACTCTTTAGAAAGACAAAATAATTTAAATAATTTAAACAAATTACCCCCAATCAAATACGTATAATTACTATTAAGAATATGTAATCCATTAAATTAATTTATTTAATAATGTTTCTACTTCTAAATATTACTGTTTCTAGTTAAATAATAAAGTTATTTATTAAAATAATACTTTTTTTTAATTATTTTCATTTGTATCTTATATTTAATTTACAACTAATTATTTTACTAAAATCTTTTTTCTTCGCTATAATTGTGAATTAGAATATTATCTATACAATATATCTTACCTTGAACATTTTTTCCAATTTTACCTTCCTTTTCGTCCCTATTTTGCAAAATAGATGGAAAAAAATTGGTATTTATTTATTTTATCAAAAAAAAAAGCATTCTAAAATAGCCTACATGATAAAGTCCAGTATAATATCCAGAATAATACCATGCCATTATTAAGTTAGTAAGTGCTTCATCGTCTAAAACATTTAGTATATATAATAATTTTTTTTTAGAAAAAAGGTGAAATGATTTCTAAAAACAGTTTCTATTAATATTTATATTAATACTTTACCAAACCCAGACATTGGAGGGGCCATATTTGATGACTATAAAAAATTAACATATTTGAGCACCCGAATCAAATACATAAATAAGAACATTAATTTAATATATTAACCTTTGGCCTCAACCCGGGAAACGCGTGATTAGGATCCTAATTAAAAAAGAAACTTTAATATTTCTAATAAAAATAATTTAAATAAAATAATACATACTTACACTATGCATCGATGGATAAAAATGTGGAGGTGGTTGTGGACCCGGACCCGGAGCAGGAGGTGGGGGTGGGGGTGGAGGTGGATAATAATTGGAGAACCCGTAAGCAGAATAATGTTCTCCATTGTAATATGAATCATGAGCATTTGCATTAGAATAGCTTGTTGTGTCTTCTTCTGTTGGAGGTAGCTGACTTTCTCCTTGATCTTCTTGGGTGTCCATAGTTCCCTTAAACTGTTCACCAAAAGGATGTGGTGGTATAGGCGCAGTTGAGGATGTTGCTGATGGAGGTGGATATGAATAATATCCTGGAAAATTATGAGCGTAAGAAGAGTATGCTGCAGTCGTTCTCATGGGTCGAGATTGATAAGAGGTGTCTTGACCGCTTGAAGTTGAACCGGTAGCAGTTTGAGGTTTGATCTTTATTAAAATTAAGAGTTATTCCTTTTTAAGTGATAAAAAAAATAAATAAATTTTACCTGTCCCGTTTCTTTGATTTTTTGTTCAGGTGGTTTTTGTACATTTTGTTTTTGTTCTTTGACTGAAGTTTTCATGGATGTGGAAGCACCTTCATTTATATCGAACGTAGAAGAATTATCTTCCTTGCCTACATTGACTGATTCTTCTGTTCTAAAATTGAAATAATAAGGTAATAAGATATACTGTTAGTTAGTTATTTAATATCCAGTTTATATTCGAAACATTGATATTTTTTATTCTTATTCTTACTCTATCACTTTGTTAATTGAAGAAGAAGTGGGTATTGTATTGGAAAGTTTATTGCCTTTCGTATTAGTTTTATTTACTTTGATACTATGAAAATCCTACAATGATAAATGAAAACATTATTTACTAATATCATAAGAGTTCTGTAAGCCGTAAATGCGAAATTAGGAATGAGATAATTCAAGTTCAATTCGATTAGTTACCTGATATTCTTTCACAGCGATATCCCAAGCAGCTATCAACGCACTATCATCCCAAGCATCCCCTTCCTATTAATGAAAGATAAAACATTAATTATAAAGAATATAAGTATGAAACCCTAAAAAAAAAATTTACCTCTTCTTCGTCTCCTCCGTCTAAAATTGCCGAGTCCTCTATCTCGTCTTCGTAATACTCATTATCTTCAGAAATATCCATAAGTTTATGCTGACTTGGAACTCTAGAGTCTTGTGAAATATCTTGAGAAGAAGGTTCTGAAAATTCGAAATAAGTACTCATAATTGTGTTATATTTGTATAAAAATCTATAACAGGCTTATCAGAACTTTTTTTTTTAAAGTACAATTTGAATTCTGATTGGTTGATTTTATCTGATGATGGGCAACAAAAGTTTAATCCATAATGATAATAAATTTGGCAACCTCTGTTCTTTGGTAAGGTCTCACAAGTCTCACAAGTCTCACAAGTCTCACATTGAGAAATAATAACGACTATTTCAAGTTTTTTTTTTTTACTTTCACGTAAAATGAGTTCACACGCCATTAAAACATGATTTACACAGTTGATAAGATTAATTTTACCAATCAAAACAATAAAAAATCGTTGTCATTGGAACAAATAACTTTAAAAAATTCCCAAATTCTCTTTTTTCCCCCTCAAATTATACCTTTTTTATTCTACCTCTTTTATTTTTTATTTTTTTAGTTTAAAGAGATTAGTGAATATTATTTAGGTTATAAAAAAGAATAAAGAATTACTTGTGTTTTTATTATTAATACCAAATTCACTTTCTATGGACAATTTTTTAAGAATTACAAATAACTATAAGAAAGTTTTTTCAGGAATTACATATTATTGTGAGAAAGTTATTCAATAATTAAAAATAATGTCTTCTTATAGTTTTCAACCCACGACTACAAGACGTCTTCCAACATATCATTCAACGCATCCTGGATTTCACACTCGAAAACAACAAATTCTATCCTCTTTAAATTCTTCAGATACTAATTCTAGGATAGATAAATCTCCAAAAGGATCTGTTGATGAAGCAATTATACCTTTAATTGAATTATTAAATAGGCATGATGATTATGTTACAACTAGTAGTTGTTCTGGAAGAGTTTCAATTTATTGTGCTGGTAAAGGAATAAAGAGATTCCTTAATAGTTCTAATAAGAATAAAACTGAAAATGCTAATAATTATCATAATGACGTTAATGAAGAAATTGATAATGTTAAAGATGAAGATGAATTAGAAGTAAATGAGAATGATGTCAGACATTCGATGAAAGGTGGTGGAAGATGGTTATATGTTACTCATTCACACATTGATTTACCAAAAGAGAACAACAAGGAAAAATTGAATGAATTCTTATTGAAAAATATTTTTGGTGCCGATTGTGATAACGTAATATTGTTAACAGACCAAGATAGTGACCCTTATAACGCGTTACAAGATGATAATAGAATCGTTTATTTCAAATTTGAACCTATGGTTAGTAAATTAATTTTCTATCAGTTTATTGTTTAACTTGTTATATTTTTTTTTATTTAACTTGTAAATTGTTATTTATTCAGATCCTACATGTAGAAGCAAGAACATTGGATGCTGCCAAGAATTTGCTCACTTCGGCCATTGATACTGGTTATCGTGAATCTGGTCTTTTGACAACTGCAAAAAGACACATGGTTGTAATTCGAAGCTCTCTTAAATTAGATACCCCTATCGCACGTTTGGATTCCACAAATCATAAATTATATCTTTTTGTAGATTTGTCTTATTTGTATTTACTAGTCACGTTGAGTAACCAGAAATTTGATGAAAATTCGAGGAGGATGAAGGAATTATATAAAAAATTGGAGGATCATCTCTTCACTGGAATTGGAAGTGGCGAAGATGGAATTACAAAATGCACTAAAGAGATTGGAAAAACGTGGGAAAATAAGGAAGAAAGAAGAGAAAGAAAACGAAGAGAAGGATTAGCAAGACAAATTGGATTGAGAAAAAGTGGAACTCTGAGTGATGGAAATGATGGCGATGTATCAACTGTAGACGATGAGAGTCAAGGTTTGGATAATGCTTAAGTTAACAATGCAGGAATCAAAGAATTATTTATTGAAAAAGGAATTTTCGGTCTAGAATAAATAAAAGCGTATTATTATAATAATATTCATATAAATAAATAAATAAATAAATTTAATTATCCTCTAGTATTATCCTAAATTATTAACGCATGTTATCTAAGTGGACTAAATGGAAGAGGAACCAAAACGTTTGATTCCATTTTTCGGACCAATCGCACTGTCAGAAAAGATAAATAAGTCAATGAATATACAAGAACATTAAATTTAGCAATTTAATATATCTAAATACCCGTTTTAAAAACAGTGTCGGCCCATCCGTCTACATTCCATGCTTGTTCACGAGTTATCTTACGACTTTCAAGGTCGCTAAAAATAGATATTATATTTATAAATATTCTTTGAAAAGATTCGTGTATTGCTTTGTTAAACTTACGGATATTGCCACATATGATGTACAAAATTTAATTCCCCCTATTAGTTAAGTTAGTTGGTGTACAGTATATATGTTCGTAATAAATTTAAAAAATTTGAATATAGTTGTTAGTACTAATTAAAGCATACCAGCGTTCATTCACAAAAAAAGTATTTTAATAGCACACCAATTGACAAAACCATGCCCCGACGGGTTCACAAAATTGTTTACGACACTCAAGTCCTCTTTTCCTGTAATAATACGCAACAACATTAGACACTAATTCACGTGACTTTGAAGCGGTCTAGATTTTAATTACCAGTGATTTTCCCATTCCAATAATCTGCCGGGCTGGTATATAATAAATGTGTGAATATTTCAAGTTTATAAGAGAATTTATAAAATAAGGGAGTCTATTAGTCGTACCTTGAGTCTGTAAGACCTTAATTCGTAGATTCCTCCAAGAGCAGCTGGGGGACTTGTTGCCCAGAAGGCAAATTCCAGGCAAATTTGGCTTTTCCGATTTTGAAGCATGGGACGCAATTTTTTAACAAAATTTTGATAATACTAGGAATGTAAGACATTAAAGTTAAAATACATTCCGATTATTTTTTATAATTAAATAATAAATAACAAAAGCACAAACTTGATCATTCTTTAATTGGTTGAGAGTTTCATGATAGCCAGTATATCCTTGATATTCCCAGATATGAACTGTGATCGATAAAATATTAATTTATACTCATTAAAGAGTCTTCAATAATAATAATAAATCACCAAAACTCACAAAAACTATCAAGGTCCCCAATTTCTGTTTGCCAACTACCGCACAAATGGACCGAATTTTTCGGATTATTGGCAATGCGAGGATAATGCTCGGAGCTTTATATTAAACAATAAATAAGTGATTATTTAAAGTTTAAAAAATAAGTGATCTGATTTTAACTTACATAAGTTTAATATAATCTTCTACGCAATCAGGTTTTATTTTATGTTCTATTCCATAAGAAAAGACAGAGCTAGGTTAAATTTATTTTTATGCAAATCTTTATTTTGAAGATAAATATATACTTTGTATTTCGTGAACATATTTTCCGCGCGCTATTAACTTTGAATGAGCTTGACTATCTTCTTCCTTGATTTGTGGGTTTCCATAAAGTATTTCTTGAAATATTGAACTCTTTTTATCCTTATTGTCTGTTTCCGACTTATTTTCAGAAATAGAACTTAATAGTCGAATCGAACCATGAGCACTTTTATTTTTTGCAAGCGTAGCTAAGGTTAAATTAAAAAAGTTTTTAAAAACACTTGATTTTTGCAAAATCATGGCGGAAGTTCGTTTAACTATGCATCGAGCATAAGCTTTATATATCGTAGATCTAATGTCGATCATCTGTAAAGCAAGTTGTGGAGAAACAGCATTTTTCATTACGTAAATTTATTAAATTTATGCCAGATCGACCAATTAGGATTCATTGTATTTACCTGTATTACCTAGCAATTAACAATTTTCCGTTAGATATATATTTGGAGAAGCATTCTTAATATAAGCCCATAACACGTAATAAATGGCTGAACAATCGTTTACTACTCTTACACGTACAAAGGAAATGGACGATATTTCCACTTTTCAAAATAATGATTTTAATGTAAATTCAAATCCTCAATTTAATAACGGACTTTCTAACGCTATTACTAATCATAATAGTGTACACAATTCACAACATATTGAACACCAACCGTTTACCACAACGCAACAAATGTCAAGTTCTTTTTATAACTCTCATATTTCTTCAACAATAGCTCCAGAGAAGAATGATGTTGATAGTAGTAATGGTTCAAGTGGAGAATATGGATTAGAGCTATGGAATAAAAGACGGGAACTGTGGATTAGAGGAAACAATAGCAATCCAGAATCTTCGTCCAACCGTGATAACCCTGCATTAGCTAATATTACACCAAATAATTATCATTCAATATACGATTCGTTGATTCATGAAAAGAAAAAGTTGGCAAAGCCAGTTCCATTGCCTTATGTGGTATGTTGTAAATAGTTATTATGCGCATTTGACGTATATATTTTCTATTTATGTATTTATCTATTTATTGATTTCCTAACAGATAAAGATATTGGTAAGTGGATGGCAAAGAGATGGAGTTTGGCCTAAAGATCAGCCGTCTGATCTTCCGTCAAATTCAAATGATCAAGCTTCCCCGCATTAGAATTATTTGTCGTCGAAGGCGAATGAAATTTTGGAAAAATAAAAGACTTTTTAGGGAATTAATAATCAAATTTTTTATTATAACCATTTTTATAACAGTTAAATATTAATTTGACATCTGATTTTCAGATCAATTTTATTATTATATAAATAATTTCAGGTAATGTAAAAAATTTAATTCTAAAAATTATTTATTTAATTTTAAATATTTTATTCGTTAGAAAATAATTATTAATCTATGAATTATTAAATTCATGTCAATATATTATATATTTACTGATTTAACACACAGTTTTTTACATTAATTTCCACATCAAACTCTTAACCCTTTATATTTTAGTTAAGGATTATTTAATAACTAATGAAAAAAAGTGTATTTAACTAAAAGTTTTATCTCAATTAATAAATTATGAAAAAGTAGTTAATAATAAAGTCGAACAATGCATTCAATTGCAACGTACTTTACATTCGAGATTCGTTGTGAATTCTATTTAAATGCAATGTATAATAATTTGATTTACTTTTTTTTTTACATTCGAGATTCCTCGTCAAGAAAATTATTTTCAACATCACTTTAAAACGGTAAATCCCATGTGATAATTAGATTGCATCTTTTATGGAAATCATTCATTTTTTTTTTTAGAAAAGCCTATTATTTATTTGTTTGTTAAAGGACTAGTAATATTACAAAGCAATAAATAAAATTCTCCGAAATTTGTATTATGTATCAAGACAGATTACAATCACGGGTTACGTTAAGTTGGGACGTGATTAAATATAGAAACAACCCCTAACAAAAATGAATACCATTAGTCCTCTCTAAGTAATTTGACATTCTATGATAGTCTTGATATAGACTACTTATCTTTTATCTAAGCCACTTTATGAAACTCGTGCTTATGTGCAAAGTATGAGTGACGGATTTCCTTTATGAATTGTGTAATTATTCGCGTTAACCTTTCAAGCAGTCGCGTAAGTTTGTGGAAGGTTAATGTACATAAATAATTACTATTATAAAAGGAGTTCATAACGAAACTTTAAAAAAAATCCTCCTTTAACTCGAGCAATTATTATATTTTGTAAAAAAAAAAAGTTGTTTCTTTGATTATATATACGATTATTTCTTAATAAGAAATTTATCTTAATGGATCGTCTCAAAGAACGTCATAATCCTTACCCTGAACGAAAACCCCTTAGTAACGTTAATGTCATTAAATGTAAAGGACGTGGTCGCGGGAAAAGTTTAAGAGTTCCGAGTGGAAATATACCCTTTGATAGAAATCCACAATTTCGCGGTCTTCAACCTCCAAGTCCTTTTTGGGACGAGACTAAAACTTTCGAGCCACCTCCAGCTCCAAATATGTTTGACCTTCTTATAAACGGTAAATTTTTATTTTAAATTTTTTCATCCAAATTTTTAAATATTATAGGCCAAAGAATAAGTCGATTGGTCCAATAATATGTTATCAGCCACATATTTAATTTCATCTCGCGCGTTTTTTTGAACTTCAACCTTTTTTTTTTATTGTATGAATTGTTAATTTATTTGTGATATACTTGATATTTGTATTATATTTCATTTAATAAAATGAGATTTTTTTTTATTTAAAGAAAGATAATTCCTTTTTAATTTTAATTTTTTAAGTTTGCAGAATTATTTTACAAATTCATTATATCTTCGTAAATAATTAAATTGAACTATTATTATTTTTTTTTTTTTCTCTCTTATCTTTATCATTAATTATTTATTGTTAGGTAATGAACATGGTGGCCAAGACACTAATGTTAAAATTAATAAAAATGATCCCGCTTTTCTTGAAGCGCGTCTTGCGCTTGAACGTCCTTGTCGAACCTTGTTCATTAGAAATATTCAGGTATAGTCATTAACTAAATGATCATTAAAAAAAAGATAAAACGTAAATTTAATTTCTGAACATCTGGTTAAACAAGATGATACGTAATTTATCCTAATTACTCGCTATTTGTTCATTGGGATTTACATAATGTTCTTTGCTTTTTGTTTCAAATTATATAGTATGGTACTAAAACTGAACTTGTTCGGTCGAAATTTGAAGAGTATGGAGAGATAAGAGATATCTTTGATATAATTGAGAAGAGAGGAATGTTATTTCTTAGTTTTGTAAGCCATCAGCATTTGCTACTATCTTTTATTTTATTAAATTTCTTTTGCTTTTTCTTTTCCTTTTTTGATTGATAATTACTAAAATGAGTAAACGAGAATTTATGTAGCTTGATCAATTTGACGCGTTTAATTTACATAAGTTACATGATTAAGACTTAAAAAGCATTTTTTTGATATCTAATTTCGATTCTCCCATCATTATATTATTTGAGACGCGTCAATCATTTTATTTTTACAATTATCATTTTATTTTCTTATACTTGTCAGTATGATATTCGAGCTGCCGAGAAAGCAAAGGTAGAGATGCAGAACTATGAATTTGGAGGTCGCAAGGTAAATCAAATCAATATATTAACTTAATCACTATTTTAACACATTTATTAACCTTCGCTGATCGAATTTTCAGATTGATGTACATTATTCATTACCAAAAGAGAATGAAGAATTAATTTATTGTGATAGGGATAAGAATCAGGTAATTACTAGATTAATTATAAATTTTTTTTTTTTGAACTTAAAATTTAGTAATTCCTGTTCTATAAACGTTTTAGGGTACACTTTTTATAACACTAAAAGAGGGAAAAGTTCCACTTGATAATGATGCATTAATAAGTCATTTTTCTCAATTTGGTGAAGTCAAAATTGTTAGAGAATATCGTACTCATCCAAAGTAAATGTTTTATTATTATACATATATTTATTTATATCTATTTGGGATAATTATTAATTGATGCGAATATGTAGTCAAAGGTTTGTAGAATTCTGGGATAGTCGAGCATGTATACGCGCTCATGATGCAACTTTAAATGCAGAATATAATGGAGGATATTTTGATTGTAAATTTGCTTGGGATGTATCCGCGAAGTAAGTATTTCCTAATAACTAATTTATTTCAAAGCCAAAAAAAAGTTATATTTACATAATTTTTATTCTCAAGACAAAGAGCGGGAAATATAATAAATCGTCTCTCAATAAGAGGAAACGAATTGGCAATTAATCGCCCTACAGATGTTAATAAATTCGAAAGAATTCCGTTTCACGAACATGCCGATGAAAATTTTATCAATAGACCAACTGAAGTTGAAGATTTTCTTAATCGATTGAGTCCACAACTTTTAAGTAAGTAGTGAAATTATAAATTTGTGATCAGTATCAAAAATTCATGTATATATTTATATATTATTTATTAGCTGGTGAAATGAATCAATGTTACCCTGAAAATGGATACCCATGTGGTAAATAAAAAATTGAATTATTTTTAATTTTCTAATTTTTTTGTTGTTGAAATGCTTTGCTTCTAATTGAAATAGCCCGAGATGTTAACGAATATTCGCCTGAAAATGGATATAATGGAGGTAAATTTGAGTAAATATTCAAACAATATTAGTTTGAAATTAATTCATAATGTTTTTTTAGCGGCATTTCCTTCACCACAATCCTCACAAAATTCTTCGCCACCAAATCAACGGGTTATATCTCAAACTCAATTCGCTCACATGAAGGCCGAAAACAAAAATATGATCGATTTTGGACCATTGGTAAATATTTAAAATATTTAAACCAGCCTTTTATAATAATTTTTATATTCGTTTATTTTTTAATTATTAATCGTGTAATTAAGTCGGAAACGGAACGTTTGGAACAAGCTAATAAGGTTCAACAGGTTTGTAGAATAGATTTTTTTTTTTTGCGAATCTTAAATTATGTAAATTATATTTATTTTTGCATCTACACGTTAGATGATTTCTATGATCGCGGCTACACAATTAGCTCAAGTTACCGCACAAGCACAGGCACAGGCACAGGCTCAAATACAAGTTCAGACTCAAGCTCCACAGTCAAATGGGCCGTTGTTTCCAGGACTTGTTGGAATATCACAAATGCATAATCACGCAACGTTTACACCTTCAATCAATTGTAATACAGTGAATCCTGTATTAGGTAATACGGTTTATAATAATAATGCGTTGGGAATTACTCCAGGTGTTAATCCTGTTGTGAATCCCGCATTTTTAAATGCGATTGTTAATGAGATTAGTGCTGGTCAAAACCTTCAAACTTCACAAGCTATTACTTCAGATAAGAATAATAATAATAACATTCAAAAATCTAACTCGATTCGCGTTAATGAATTGTTGGCTTTATTGGTACGTAAATTTATGATACATTTTAATACTAATAAATTTCATAATGAATAATAATAAACATACTCATTATCTTTTTTTTAAATAGGTTCAAAAACAACAAATTGAAGCGAATTCTGCTTTGTTACAACAGCAGCAACAATATGTTGGCACTAATCAATACACTCCTTATAATAACATTAATAACCAACAACACGTTGGTTTTCAATATCCTTTAATTTCTCAGCAACAACCTTTTCAACAAGTTACATCTTATTCAAATCCCTATGAATCATTACCAACACAACAGCAACCAATTCAATCTCAACAACAATTAACATCATTTATAAATCATTATGTTTCTTCACCTCAGTCATCAAATCAAACATCACCCCAACAACCCCAACAATCTCAACAACCCCAACAATCTCAACAACCGTAAACAACAAAAATTTGTCAAATGTCATTATAGCATTGAATTTTATTTTTTTTTTTATCCCCCTCAGGTTTATTCTAGCTAATTCATATAAAATTTCTTTTATATAATGTAAATAGCTTTTTTTTTCATTTGCTTTTTTTCTGAAAAGGAAAGGCATAAGAGGTTTTTTTTCATTTTTAAGAGGTTTAAATTTTATGTAGGTATAATAAGAAAGGAAGTGAAATGGGTTTAGTTTAAATTTGTTAGAATACTACAAAGGTAATAAAATAAAAACAATATCTATAAAATATCTTAATGTTTAAATGCATTGCTTTATAATTTACAATTAAAATGTAAATGCGAAAATTTTTTATCCTACTTAAATTCTGGAATTTACTGATATCATAGTTAAAGAGTATAACATACGTATATACGTTTTCATAAGATATTTTACAGAAAAAAATAAAAAAATAATAAATAAAAATATAATAATATCCTTAGTTGTACTTTGGAACTATACCGAAAGATAATAAAAAAGCAGCTGCTATTAGAAAAGTTACACCATACCAAATTAAATGAGGAGAAGTTACAACCAATATAGAATATAAAGCATTAAATACAACAGGGGAAATTATACGACCGATTGAATCTAATACACATAATGCGCCTAATAATTGACCTATTTGAGATGGAGCTACTAAATTTGTTTGTAGTGATTTTATTACCGAACCAGAAACACTACCTAATGAAGCTATTACTGACGCTATATAAAGAAAAAAAAAAGAAATTTAGAAAGATGAAATTTAAAACTATAAAAAAAAATGTATAGAAAAAAAAATCTTAAAGTTACTTACCTACGACGAACATAGAACTGGAAGTTGCTAAACCATACCCGGCATAAGCAAGCACATCAATAAATAATGCAAATCTAAGAATCCAAACTTCATATTTTCTTAAATGTTTTTCTTCATTATCCTCAATAGGAATTGGTTCATCATCATTATTATTATCAATATTAATTTGAACATTATTTTTTATATTATTTAAAAAAATATTCTTTTTGATATTTGATATTAATAAAGGGAATAAGATAAATAAAACTATTACTCTTGAAACACCAAGTATAATAAAATAATAACCTTGATCAACTAATGACCATTTAAATACCAAAGTTACATATAATAAAAATATAGCCTGTATACCCATTATAGCAGTTGTTAATAAAGTATTAATAGAAGCTAATATTAATAATGAATATTTTGTAAAAAAATCATCATTATTATTATTATTTCTATTATTTTTTTCAAATAATATAGTTAAAGGTTTTATAATACTATAAATTATCCATGATTTAAATAATTGATTCCTATCAAATGTTGAATTTGATTCTTGTTGACGTTTTAAATTTTCCGATAATTTTTCTTTTGTTAAAGATTCAGGTAAAATAAAAAGAAAATAAAAAAATGTCATAATATATACCGCGATCATTACATAAAATACTGAAAGTAAATTATCTGTTAATTCTATTATCCATCCTCCTATCGTTGGTCCTATAAATCCTGCAAAAAATGCTCCTTGCATCCATCCAAATATCACACTCCTATTGACAATAAAAAACGAAAGATTAAAATTTTTCTTGCCGCAGCAAATAACGTGATGACAAAAATAAAAAAAAAATACCTTTGTGTTGGAGAGGTACAATCAGTCGCATATGCGTAACTTGCCGAGATTAATGATAATAATCCGCCAGTAATTCCATCAAATAATGCACCTACTAATAAAAAGTATATTCCAAACGTATCTATATAGTTTCCGACCAATAATATATTTAATGTGGTCAATATTGATCCTGCGACTGCTATTAATAAACATATTTTACGTCCTTTTATGTCTGATAATAATCCAAGAGGTGCAAGAACAAATATCGCTAAACAAGTAAAAAAAAAAAAAAAAAAATTTAGTTAAAATTAATTTATTTCCATTTTTGGAAAAAAATTAAAATTATTTGATTATTTACCTGGAACAGCAGAACATAAATCCAAAATCAAGAGAAATCGAGAAGTCATGGCTTGCACATCAGCATTATTACACCATTCATCAGGGTAATCATTAATTGGGTTAAGTAAAAAAGAAGTAGAAATGAATTGACTTTTGTTTGAATAATAATCATAACATACAGCCCTTAAATAAAATTGTATTTTTACGGTTATGCCTAATCCATTTATTATAGCTATTAGCATAAATGATGGTAATAGCCAATAAGCTGAAGCTGTTTTATACCATACTTTTTGGGTTTCTTTTTTTCTAAGAGTTGGAGGAGTTGGGGAAGTTGGGGAAGTTGGGGAAGTTGGTGATAAAAGTGGTTCAAGTTCATCAGACTTTGAATGCGTAGCCATAATTTTTTTTTTTTTTTGTAATGAAAAAATAATTATGAAAAACGGGGGGAAAAGAAAAAATAGAGTGATTTTATAGACGGTGATCTTTCTTTTTCTTTTACTCTTGCTTATAAATTATTTTTCGGTTAAACTGAGCTTATCCTACCCAGTAATACTAAATATTTTGTGTAAACTGTTTAAAAGTGAGAGGGATTTTAAAGAAACTTTGATTGGTAATGTATGTAATACTTCCGGATCGATTTTACCCGGTACGCGTTTACAAATTATTAAAAAAAAAATTATGTAAATTTTTTTCTCATAATATATATTTTAAGGATTTTGTATTAAATTAAAAAAAAAAGACGACTTTTTTTTTCTCACAAAATGATTTAAAATTATTTAATTTTTTTTAAAAAAATTTGTAAGGATTTCATCATTCTTTAATACTTTTTATAAGTAAAATTGCCGAATTTGTGTAAATTATTCTAATTTTGTGGCGCCAATCAAATTAACGCGTAACAGAAGTTTATCAAGATATGAGAAAGTTTTACTTTAGAATTGGGATCGACGATTTTGACGAATACATTCTTTAAGTAAAAGGTTAAGTGCTTAAAATTTTTAAAGATACGAATCAAAGTTATGCTACATAGCCCGGAAAGTTCTTTTTTATATATATTCTTCATATGAAAAAAACCTATTTTGAGAATAGATTATCTTGCACTATTTCCTTTTGAAAGCTTTCCTCCATTAAAAATTGATCGATTTTTCATTTCAAAGATTTCTCAAGATTACATGATATTTTGAATGATTTCTAAAGCAGTTAAAAGTCAATGTTAAAAATGATTACTTTAGATAAGGCACATTTACAATGTAAGTTGATTTAAACCGAAGAGGAAAGATATCGGGAACACAATAGCATTTATGTCCTCACAATGTCAATCTCGTGTCGATATTTGGGAAAGTTGTGTTTCAAAATTGTTTAGACCTTAAATAGTATGTAATTTTATTATTGTATTCCACGTGAACAACTTAATAAATTTTATTTTAAAAAAAATAATATGTATTATTAATCAAGTGAAAGGGAGAACGTTGATCCGATTATATTCTTTTTTATTGGATGGAATATCGGTTTTCGACTGATATTTTTACCGTTATTTCCGGTAGATAAAAATCCGAGCAAGCAAAAATGCTAAAAAGAATAAATTTAGAAAACAATACAGGATATAAATAAATGTAAATAAATGCAATAATTAAAGAATATATATTTAAAAAAGACATAATAAAGTTTAAATAATAGTTTAAAAAAATCTACACATAAAATTAGTTAATTTTTATATATAAAATATATAAGATGCGTTTCAAATTGTTTGAAAAATTATAATACTCAAAAATAATAAAAAAGCATCTACTGTAAATTTTAGTTTGATTTAACAATTTAAACAGTGTTGGTTTATTGCTTTAATTATTAATGGCTATCAATGAATAATTGAAATATTCACCGGTGTATATATTAGATACCCAGCCCTCATTGTGTACGACGTAAACACCGATGGACTTTATACTTTTTTATACCGCCCTATGCACAGTACCCAACTCTATTTTCTACCGATTTTATTATTCAATAATACCCAGGTATTACGCATGCATGATAAATACCCAATTATTATAAGTTTTATACATACATGTATCTACTAATAATAAAAACTCACGCAATGGTGGGAGGTATAAGGTCAAAACTTCTGAAATCTTTATCATACCCGGGGTACTGTGGCCCCCGTTATACGGTACTTTTTTTATACCGGTGGAGTAATTTACAAAAAAATCCATCGGTGTATACATAATACCGATGGGATAAATCGGTAATTCGGAATCACTAAGTAAAACGCATTCAAAACGCATTCTATTATTTAGTAATAAATGCCGATAGGTTCCTATAATAAAAATTAAAAGAAAGAGTCCTATAAAAAAAATTCGTCTAATTGACAACTTTTTTTTTTTTTTAAAAAAAAAAAAGAATTGAGAAATAAACTCTACAATATGAAAAGGGGATTTCCGAATTTGTCTTGAAATTGTCCTCATTTTCCAGATATGTCTGGATTCTGGATATGTCGTCTGGATATTGAAATGTCCAAAATCTTTCACATTTTGGTACATTTTCCGGCATTTTAGACATTTTTCCGGACGTATTATAGGACATCCTCGCTGCAATTTCCGAACATCTCTTTTTATAGGGAAACTAACAAATCAAGACAAATATTGTACACAATAACAACAATAACAATAGGTTATTGGTAAAAAAAAATAAATCTATTGTTCGAATTAGAAGCTGATTTCAAATGAAATCCAAAAAACTAGGTTTATATAAATATTAGTGCATTTCTTTATTTAGAAGTTACATTCTAATTTTGTATCTTATAACCCTTTTGTTTTTGTTTTAAATAATAACAGATAACAAGTGGCGTTTTTAACAATGATAAACTTGTATTTAAACTATATCGGATCAGACATCAGATATACCATACCGTAATTCATTATAATGACATTTAAAGAAAAGCGAGCGTAAATCCTTTTTATCCATCTTTGATTAATCAATTTATTAAAAATTTTGATTTACAAATTTTTTTATACTGAATATAGTTTAATAAATATTATATCAATACATTTGTAAATGCATTCCTAATTTCTTAATATAAATTTGTTCAATAAACTTTTCAAATAACCATCTGGCAAAGAAAATCGATGAAATGGTTCCTACGATCGAGGTTCCTAAAATTATGACTCCTATAATTGCGATACCCACAATTGAGGTTGTTATTACTATTGAAGAGACTCCTAAAATGGTTCCTACGATTGAGATTCCTAAAATTAAGGCGCCTATACCTGTTATTACTAGTGTAATGACTCCTACGATTGCCGCTCCTACGATTGAGGTTCCTAAAATTAAGGATCCTATACCTACTAGTGAAAAGACTCCTAACGCTAAGATTTTTATAAGAAAATAAACTGTCAGTAAAGATTTTTTTTATAAAAAAAAATAAATAAATAAAAACATACCACTAATACCACCAACAGCTAAAACAACGGGAAGCACCATACTTTTATGTAGAAATGTTATCAAATTTACTCTTTAAAAACAAAAACAACGGGAGTTTAACAGACAATTTTGCATTTATATTAAAATATCTGCACACGCAATTTTACACAAGAATATCCATCCTGATTTAGATTTAAAAATCTTTATTCACATGGTAATTATCTTCTCAATTGTTCCCACACATCTAAAACTTGGCTGATCTTTTTCTAAAAGGATGACTTAGTCCTAGGTAGCACGTAATGAAAATTCTTTATAAATAAAGTAGTTATAAAAGTTCGACTTGTAAAGCTTTAATTATCAGCTTTTGATCTATAGGTAAAAATTCAATAAAATTTACCCAAACAATATTAACCTAATACGTTCTAAAATAGTAGAGGAAAAATCAGGTGCGACGATAATGAGAATTGCATATATTGTATTGTATGATATGATTACACCGTACTAACTATACTTTTACAAATATAATATGCGATCGTATCAGCCTGTACATTCTATACAAATTACGTCAATTTTAATGATACTTCAACTGAATACGAATATGTAATTATTTGCTCACTTTTTTACTTTTTTTGTAACCACATGATATGATGCAATTACATTATGATGTCAATACTAAATATAAATTCTAAATTAAGTTAGTTTTAATAAATATGATCGATCCTACGAATTTCATATTATGTGATCATTCTGAGGTAATTTAAAGTAATTAGCTCGAGAAAAAAAATTTATAAAGGGAACGCGAAATGTAAAAATTCAACAATTTAACATAAACAATAAATCAATACATTTAAACAACAAAAAATTTAAACATACAAAAACGAGAAAAAGATGTCATCACAAGTTGAAGAATTCATTCCCGGTGGTATGTAAATATTTAACAAACTGCGTCACACTTCCTTTATTTATTATCAGCTTACATTTTTACATCCTCTTTTTTAGGTTATCCAGTCACCCCACAACATGAGAATACATTAGGAGACTTGGAAAATAGCAACATAGAAAACAATGCAGAAAATGATACCACAGTAGATAAGGCAGAAAACAAAGACGTCGTAAACGCAGAAAATAAGGATGTAGAAAACAAGACCGCAAAAAACGACATAGAAAACAAGACAGATGATGATATAGAAAACAAGGCAAAAAACGTCGTAAAAACCAACACAGAAAATGACGTAGAGAAAAAGGCAGAAAATAAAGTCTCAGAAAATAAAGAAAGTAAAGAAAGTAAAGACAATAAAGAGTTAGAAAATAAAGAAAAAATCGCAAAATCCTTCCCACTTAAATTTGAGCCTAATTCTTCAGTGGAGCCAACTGATGATAATAATTTCACAAAAGCAACAACAAATAAAGGCTCATCTGCTTTAGGTGGTATTGGTATAAACCCTACTATTTGTAAGTATATCAAAGAAATAATTTATAATGAGAATTATACATTAATTTTTTATCTTTAATTCCTTTTTTTAGTGTTAGGAATTGGACCTGATTCCCCACCTCACCCATTTTATCAAGAATCTGGCGAACTTAAAGACACTTCACAAAAATCTGATGACCAAAAAACATTTGATTTTAATGGAGATTATAATGAACAAAAAGGAAAAGAACAAATAGCTGATAAACAGGAACAACAAAAACCCAAAGATGAACGAGTGGATTTAGGTATTAAACCTCTTGGTAATCAACCACTTCCTTCACCATATAAGCCTGAAGCTGAAGGTGCTGATCGTTCTGTTCATAAACAATCTGAGGGAGCTAAAGGAGAGATGACCCCTCCAGGCAAAACTACCGCTGTACATCCTGAAAGTCAAAATTCTGGTCCTAGAATAACTAAGAGAGATAGAATTAATGCTACTATAAGTAAAGCTGTTGGTATCTTTAAACAGAAACTTGGTAAATTGATTAAAAATGATGACTTAGTCGCAAGAGGTACAGAAGAGAAAGATGAAGCTGACAAAACAAAAGAAAATGCAGAAGTTCAGAAGAAAATGAATGAATTCTAATTCAAAATTATGTTTTTCAGAACACGTATAACATATTGTTTATTCTTGTAATAATACGTTTGTAGTTTAAAAGTTGGGACATTTAATATTCTTTCTTGCATTATTTTTACATTTAATTATTTAATTTATTGCTTTCATTTAATAAATACTGTATTCGTATAATCTTTTACATTATATTTTTAAATAAAAATTTCCACTAAGCATGGGTCAATTTATTTATTTAAAAAAGTATGTATCCCTTTGTCGGTAACAGAATCACTCAAAATTCTGAATAAATACTGCCTGCGTGTGATACAAAAGGACATCTCGCTTTCTTTTAATATTCGCTTCATAATACGTGGAATGATAACTTTAATCAATTCCACACCTGTTAGAAGCGGTTCAAATTTTATTTTAATGATCTAAGTAACGCAAACAGAGATCGAAAGAAATATAAAAAGAATTAAATAAATATTTTATATATTCATAAAAAAAAAAAATTATATACAAATTAGTAATAGAAACTAAGATTGGATTTCAAGTTAAAATTTTTTGTTTTATCTGAATATGAATTTCTGTTGTATTTGCTGCATGCTTTTTTCCTTCTTTTTCTTTTCCTCCCAATGTATATTTTTTTTCTAATTTCTCGCTGGCCCCTTTAATGATTGAATTGTTAACAAAATTAATTTTAGGCTGATCCGATAAAGTTAGTAATATAGTGTGTTTCTTCTTTGTTTTCTTAATAGGTGTGACTTTATCATCAATAACACATTCTTCGACAAAATCATCTTCTTCTTCATTCGATTCAAATATATTCAGTTGTTCTTCCGTATTTTTTGGATCAGATTTAAATATATTTAATATGCCCGATTTATCAAAAACATTAACTGGGTAGCACAATATAGCAAACCCAATTAATTTTCCAACAATTTCACAAATTTTTCTTCCGTCTTTTCCACCCGGAATCAATTTTTTCACGCTATCAAATATAATAGGTGCCATCATGCTTACATCTTTTTCAACACCACCACTTTTAGAACCACTTCCATCTTCATGATACCGATACATTAAACACCAAGCTATAATGGCTCTATCAGTATGCGTAAGGCCAGGCGCATTAGCAAGTGGACCCCCGGCAAGTGATAACTGAAATGCTGTGATAGGTCGAGCTTCTTTTCCAAAATGCATTGACCAATATGCGAGATAAATTAAATTAGGTAAAAGACGTTCAAGTCTCTTCGGCTTATTACACATTGTAATATCCGAATCAAGAATTTCGTAAGCAACAGGTGGGATGGCTTTTTTAATATTTTTTAATAATTGTTCGTGGTGCGTTGCTTTCAAATTTTTAGGTTGAAGTGGATGAGATTTTATAAAAGATCCAAGAGGATCAACAGACCATTCTGACTTTGGCAGAATATTGAAACAATATCCATGTCGAACACCACCTTCACAAAAATAAACATATCGAGCTTTGAATACTTCCATAATTGCTTCAAAAAGAAAAGCACTTGCGGGAAGAAGTTTTGCACGTCTTTTACTAACACGGAAAGGATTGCCATTTGGGAAAGGATCCTTAACTTCTGAAGGTTCAGCAACGTTAGCATCATGACTTGGAGCGATTCTTTTAGCAATTTTAAGAAGTTCTTCTGCAGATGTACTATAACCATTGATTATGGGAATAGGATAACCAGATTTTTGATTTGTGTGTTTGTTTGTAAATTCGGTTTCTGACATGCTTAGATATCCCAAAGATTTAAATCCACCTCCATTCATATAAATAGTAAAAGAACCGTCTTTTCCCTTAAGATTATCCGGTGCGTTTAACTTTTTGAAGTCTTCTTTCAAATTCTCTACAATTTCTGTGAATAAACCTTCTCGTTCCTTAGGAGTACCAAGTTTTTCCAATCGTCTTGTTAAAGCCGCGGCTCCATAAGGAAGATTAATTGGTTTCATTGACATTGAAATTTCTTGTTTTGCCTCACGAGGTCGGTGAATCACATAATTCAATTCAACAGATCCTCCACCCATATCCATTACTAATCCTTCAACACCATAATAAGTAGCAACAACACCCATTCCAGATATTTTAGCTTCCATCTCTTTTTCTAACTTTTCAACTCCCCATCCTGTAGACTTTTTTATTCTTTCGATAAAGTCATCAGAGTTAGGCGCAGTACGGGTCGCTTCTGTAGCAGTTACATGTACATCAGACAGATTGATTTGATAACTTTGAGATATTTGCTTAAATCGATTCAAAGTATTTTCAACGTCGACAATAACTTCTTCAGAAATGTTTGTACGTTCATCAGATTCTGAATTAGTATGTTGTGCCTTGAATAATGATATTGGAGAACGTTCTTCGTAAGCAACTGGTAAGTGTCGAGTCAAACTTGATACTAAACCAAATCTGATACCGTTACTTCCAATATCTATGACTCCAATTCCTCCCTATATAAAGGAGGAAAAAAAAAAATAAAAAATGAAGATCAATCAGATGTTGAAGATGTAAGGATTAACATGTACACGTAAATAATTACCATTTTTCAATGTGTGTTTGATGATGATTATTGAAAATCGAGCGTATTTATAAATGATCAATACTTTGTAACACTTCACGAAATATGCGTCATGTGAACGGGCTAAAATCAGCCATACTGCATAAACTTGGCGTGAGAACGATTTAATTGATTTTTTTGTTACGGAGAAAATTTAAATTGATAATCTATACGTCACAGATCTTGTAAGGTACACAATCAAATTTAATATATAGAAATGTGGCAAGCTTTTCTCACGATACTACAGAAATGGAGCTTCAAGGATCTTGTCATTGCGAAAAAGTCAAGTTTACGGTAATATAATAAATACAAAAATCTACGCGATGCGGAAAAAATCTAACAATTTAATTAATAAATAGGTCAAATCACACACTCCAGTACCTTTTATGCGATGCTATTGGTTTGTTATGTTTCATATTTAAAAATGTTTTTTATTACGTTCTTAATAATGAAAAAAAAAAAATTTTTTATTTTAAATAGCTCAATTTGTCGTAAAATTGGTGGTGGTGGTGGATACGTTATTAATATAATGGGACAGGCACGTGTTGAATTGAGATTATCATCATTATTTCTTTATTTTAAAAATTTACTAAAATAATTTTATTATATAAATTTATAAAAAAGTATGATACATTGAAAGTTGAGGGTATGGAACATACGAAGTAAGTTTACTTATCATTAATATTTTTTTTTTTTAACAAAAAGACCCTAATGGCGTTCTTACAATTGCATTTTAGATTCTATCAAGCAATTAAGGATAAATCATTACCTAAGAATCAACAGGAATTATGGCAAGATATCTTTTATATCTAAAATTTAATCAATTAATCTATTTTTTAAAATATATTATTTGCATAAATTTAATAGTGGAAACAAGAGATATTTCTGCGGTGAATGCGGATGTATGTTATGGTGTTATGATTTAGAATGGTCTGAATGGGTGAATAAAATTTCATTCCAATTATTGTTTTTTTGTAAATTTTTCTTAATTTTTTTTTTTTTTTAAAAAAAAAAAGAATTTATTATTTTACAATTATTACATTTTATCACGTAATTTAAATTTTTTTTTATTTTTTTTTTTTTTTAAAAAAAAAAAATGGTAGTGTTATCCATTCGCTTCAGCGATTGATACTCCACTTCCTGAACCAAAACGGCCCAATTGTATCATGTTGAATTATAAAGCTAATTGGGCTCATGTTCCTAGCTCTGAGGAAGCTGATTTATTTGATGAATATCCTAATAATTCAATTGAATCTTGGCATAAAAAGAATAAGGCTTTCATTGAAAAAGAATAATTATAAAAAATTTCTCAGAAAAAAATTTTATTGTATGTAAAACAAATAAAAATAAAAGAAATTACTCTAGATCGATGTGGGTGATGCGATTAAAGTTAATGTTAAACATTTGACGTTCTACAGCCACGTGCCGATATTTATGATAATCTGAAGGAAATTTGAAATTTCCGAAAGTGCTAAAATAATGGCGTGACCGCGTGACATATTGCGGATCAATGATTTACATATCTGTTTTAATCAAATAAGGAGAGTTATAGACTTGTTTTATATATTATTTGTCACGCAAAGGTTTCGGAAATTTCCTTTCAGAAAAAATACACGCTTTTTATTGGGTAAATGTTATCCGAATTAGTAACAATGATTGTGAAAAAATTCGTGGCTAATTTATTTCATTGATAATGGATATAATCATATAAATAAGTGAATCGAAATGAGATTGTTTTTGTTTTTAGTTTAAACATTTCTCTTTCAAATATGTTTTTCAGTGAGACGCTTTTACCGGAACCTTCTCAATCAGAACAAAGACCTTCAAATAATTGGTCAGAGTCTTCGTCGTCTACCAAATTTAATAAGTCACGAAGAAATAAACATCCGCGTAAAAAACAACGAACAAACTCTCAAGATTATACAGACTTATTGGTATTCGGTTATGAAGCGAAAACTTTTCGTGATAACGAAATGTCTCAAAAAGTTAATAAAGGGGAGCTATTAATACCTTGGAGGGGGGAAAATGAGAATAAAATATTATTAGACAGGTGAGCTTTCTTCATATCATTACGAGAGTCGGTTTCATTATTGCCTTTATAACTTAAAAATTTCTCATATTTGGGCTTCTTTTGCCGACTACGATATCTATCTATGTTGTTTATTGTACTTTTTATAACTAACTATTTTTAGAGTTAAAGGTATTAATTAAATAAGTTTCTCTTCAAATAAATTACTGCTGATGTAACGAAGTATATTTAATTAAGTATACAAATTAGAAAAGTGTTTTTCCAACACAAAACATCAACGGAGGAATTAGAGACGGTTTCTCTCATAGCATATTTTTATGGTATATACGAACAACGAGGAAACCCAAGGAAAAATAATATATATATCTCTTTGGCCTATCAAAGGTCAAATAGTTATCAAAAACTATTAGCTAATCTTAAGATTTTATCCTCAAACGCATATATTACGCGTTTGTTCACAGATACGATGTAAGAAACCTGCTTGATGAACGTGATCAATTCAAAAAAGTTGCTTATAAAATGATAAGAAGGCCAGAAGATGTTGAACAAGAGAAACTCTGTGATGAAGAAAGATGGGTTGATTTAGATTCAGAGTTTGAAGATTTGTATAGCATGTCCGAAGAAGAGAGAGACAGCTATATTGGTATGAATATATAATTAATTTAATTATAAAGATTTATTTAGTAATTCTTTATTAATTTATTATTTGCAGAAAACAAAAGGAAACGTAAAAAAATGCAGGAAGAAGATAGGCTGTATAGTTATGACTATTCGGATGAAAACTTACCTTATGGTATAATTAGAATTTTTTAGTTATATTACGTAAAGACATATATTAATAGATATAAATATATTTATAGAAGAGGAAGAGACTATACTAGTGACAAAACCCGACTATGCACCAAAATTTTCTGCACCTAATGGAATGATCACGGTAAAGAAAATATTTTGCAGGATGTGACCAGTATTTATTTTAAGTAATCTTATTGTGTATGAACTTCATTTATATCAGCCTTCTGATAATCGGATTGATGAGATCATTGAACGTACTGCCAAATTTATTAATTCCAGTACGGATCCTCAAATGGAGATCATTATTCAAGCTAAGCAATCCAACAATCCAAGCTTCTCTTTTTTAAACAAAGACGATCCATTATATCCATATTATAAACATGTACGTTTATTGCTACAAACTGGACTCTTTGCTTATGGAGGAAATGATGATGGAGAGGATTCGTCTAGCAATGAAGAAAATGGTGAAAACGAAAATGACTCTGCTAATGGTAGGTCTGAAGGAAATAAGTCAACAGATGATTTTACTGAAGATGAGAAAAAAATAAAATTAGAAGGAACCAAAGTAGAAACTTTTAAATCGAATGCGAACAGCTCAACACATAATACAGCTTCCAGACCTTCACGACCGCCTCAGCCTTTTGGCCCCGTTGTGTGAGTAATATGAATATTATTGAAAGATAAATTATTTATTTTTATTAAAACTATAAATTGTTTTTATAATGATAGAGTGCCGCCTCCAGATCTCAAAGTTATTATTGACAAAATGTCCGCATACGTTGCAAAGAATGGACAATCACTTGAAGCTAAAGTTCGTGAAAAGCATATAGATGATCCTCGTTTCAGCTTTTTGTTACCTTGGAATGAATTTCATCCTTATTATAAGCATAAGATTCAGGAAGAAAGGGCTACAATTGAACCAATTGAAAAAGAGACTGCAGGTGATGATGATGCAACAGGAGAAGAATAAAAATGTCGGTTCTGTGTTTTTTTTTTATTTTTCGTTTCTTTAAAAAAATAAAGGGTATATATAATAAAGGGTTTTTTTAGTAAAGGGTTTTAGTAAATAACTAGGGTCTTAGTAAATAACCTTTAGAATACTTTATTATTATTACTATTTTATTATTTTATTATTTTATTCAAATTCATATATAGTTTGTTAGGATATTATTTATGCTAGTTGTAAAGTTTTCTTAATTTATTTACTTGGTCACTCTACATCTGTATAAGTATATTTAAAAAAATGGATTAGTTATTATTTATAAATAAGAAAGAAAATAAACGAAATTTTTATATGTAATCAGAAACGAGGAATCCCTATATATCGTTTTTACGTTAAATCCGCATGATAATAATTCAGAATACGTAAAAACTCTCATCATTAAATAAAAATATATTCAAAAATTCTAAAAGTAATTCTTTTTACTTACCAATAATAATAAATAGAAATAGAAATATCTATCTAATACATGGCCGCTTTAATATTTGGCAATATTACAATTTTCTAAATCTTCTAATTCCTTTTATTTCGTTTAGATTTTGAACGAATAATTTTTTTTGTTTTGGAGCGACGCGTTTTATTTCTTGGTTGATATTTTTTCTTACTCCCTTTTTTAGAGTTCTTATTTACACTAAAATAATTATAAAATTTAGGGGATGTTGGGTTGGGTAGTATATTAATGCTTTGTATAGAAATTCACTAATCTTAGTTTAAAAACAAAAAAGAATATAACGAATATTAAATTTACCTTGTAGATTTCTGTTCTAAATTTTTGGCTAGAACCGGTGAAGTTTCTTTATTATGATCCTAGAATAAAAAAAAAATTAAATTTTCATTCAAGATATTTACAACCACCATTTTTTTTTAATAATATATATGTATTTTACTATTTCTTCAATTCTCGGTTTTTTCGAAACATTTTCGAAAATATTCGAGGTATCAAGATCTTCTATTATTGTAACTGTAGTCTTTGTATTATCATCAGACCTAAATTCTTTTTGTATAACATTAGATTCTTGATTATTTTTTTCGTCATCATTGTCATTAGTTTCTTCTTCTTCTTCCTTTTCACTTTCTTTATCATCAGTTTGTTCAATTATTGTTCCATTTCTTCCTTTTTAAATATAAAAGATTAAATATTTTTTTAAACATGTATTAAGATAGATATTTTTTAAAAATTCAATTTTACTACATACTGTTAATAGCTTCTTGAAGTTTAGCTAATCTCTCAGTTACTTGCGCTTTTAGAGATTCTTTTGCCTAAAAAAATCAGATATTAAAATTAATTAGATAAATAGATCAAAAAATTTTAGCAATTATAAATATATATTAATTTACGTACAGCTTTTCTTGCTTTTGCCTTTTCCTGTTTAGAAAATTGTAAAGCATTTTCTTTTGCTTTTGCCTTTCTTTCTAACTTTCGTTTATGAAAACCGGTTAAGAAATCTCTATAAATAAAAAAAAAAAAAAGTAATTAATTGTTAAAATAAATAAATATATATATATATATTTTTAAGAAAAAAAAAGTGTAATATAAAATTTTACCGTCTAGCTGTTTCGTCAAATACAATTTCTGGTACTTGTTCAATTCTATGTTTCCGTTTTTTTGCATATATTTTGCTTCCTCCTGTTAATCTTGTTAAATTATCCATTTATTTTAATTAATTATTTTATTTTATTTTATTTTATTTTTTGATAATGATTATGAATTATATGAATTAGTAATTAAGTAATAGAGGTAATAAAAGATACTTTTTAAATTGGTTGGTTCATAACCAAATAGTTTCTTGTTTAGTTTGAATTGAACTTTTTTTTTTATATTTCAAATAAAATTTTTAAAAGATGTGAAAATTAAATCTAATTTAAGATCAGAACAATTTTTTTCGATCTGATAACTGCCAATCTGCGCAAATCATGTGACACATTTTAAACGACCTACTACTAATAAAACCACAATTTACGAAAATATTCAGAGTTAACCAAATGATAATATATTCATCTATTCATCTATTCATCTGTTCTCTGGCTCAGATCACTGATGCTCGCGTCTACTGCATCTACTGCATCTTTATAATCTTTCCACCGTGAATCGATTACTTGTGCAATTGGATTTCTAAGGCAAGGCACTGAAAAATTACCGTTTCATCTACATACGACCCTAGGTGGTAATGACATACTATTCCGACAGAATAAGAGGAATGTTTACACATTCATCGATTTGTAACGTGCAAAGGCTCTCGTAATACCAAGAATGAGAAATCATCGCGTTCTTTTCATGAGGGATTATCATCAATACCAATTAAATTTTAAGATCAAGAAATGAACTACATGAAAAATTTTAAATAATGTATTTTAAATATATAAATATAATATAATTCCTTTTTTTTTTTATTTTATTATTTTTTTTTAAAAAAAAATAATTTTTGTTTTTTTTTTATAACCTAGTTTACATAATATTTTTTTTTTTTAAATAAAACAAACTAAAATACAAAATAAATATTTTTATGATTTAATACATGATCCCGGTATTGAAGCTTCAGATGTACATGATGAAGTTATCGTTGATAATGATGATGATGTTGTTGTTGTGTTATGATTCTCGTTATTATTATGAATCTCATTATTATTATGATCCTCATTATTATTATGATTCTCATTATTATTATGATTTTTATGATGATTATGAAGATGATGATTATTATGACTACTATGACTACTATGACTATGATTATGTGAATGATGACCATTAATATTATGATGAGGCATTTGTACGGGATGAAATTGGCTATGTTGATTTACTCGATGTTCTTTATGATTTGCTCTATTATGTTGCATATGAGATTTAACCAAATGACCCGCAGCTAAAGCGGCACATAAACTTAATTCTCCTGCCATAACAGCTGCACAAATTATTCTAGCTAATTTTTGTGCATTTGTTCCAGGAGTTTTTGGGTGAGCTCCACGTACTCCTAACATTTCTAACATTGAACCTTGTGCATCTAATATTGTTCCTCCTCCTATTGTTCCTACTTCAATTGATGGCATAGTACATGTTAAATGTAAATCTTTTCCATCATTAACACTAAAAAAAAATAAATAAATAAATAAAAAGTTTTAGTATTAAATGTCTGATAAAAATTTCATATAAAGATTTTGATATATATACTTTATATACTTACGCTTTCATTATAGTTATACAACTTGAACTTTCAACATTTTGAGCGGGATCTTGACCAGTAGCTATATAAATAGCGGTTAAAATATTAGCAGCATGAGCATTAAAACCACCAAGGGAACCTGCCATAGCAGAACCTATGAAATTTTTCGAAATATTTAATTCAACTAATGATTCAACACTTGTTTTAAGAACTTTTTGTACAACATCACCGGGTATAATTGATTCTGCTACAACGGATTTACCACGACCTTCAATCCAATTTATAGCAGCAGATTTTTTATCAGTACAATAATTTCCTGATAATGATATGATTTGCATATCATGAAAATATTCTGACATAATGGATAATGATTTTTCACATCCTTTTGATATCATATTCATTCCCATAGCATCACCTGTAGTTGTTGAAAATCTAATAAAAAGTAATTTTCCTGCTAAAGTAGCTTTAATATTTTTTAATTTTGCAAATCTTGAAGTTGAATCAAATGCTTGTTTAATAATAGAATTTCCTTCATTATCTAACCAAGTTTTAGCTTCATTTGCTCTCTTAATATTTGGAAATTCAACACAAGGACCACGTGTCATTCCATCTTTTGTAATAACAGTAGTTGCACCACCACCTGCATTAATTGCTTTACATCCACGTGCTGTAGAAGCCACCAAACAACCTTCAGTTGTAGCCATTGGAATATGAATTAATTCACCATCAATATTTAAAGGACCTGCAACACCAACTGGAATCTGCATATATCCAATAACATTTTCACAACAAGTTCCCATTACTTTTGAATAATCATAATTTTCCATTGGTAATGCTGAGGTTTCCAAAGTTTTTGTGATGGAAGCACGTGATATCAAAGCCCTTCTTATTTTTACGGCTCTTTCCATATTTCCAAGAACTTTTTCCAATGCATAAGGAGCAATTTTTCCATTATTAACCAAAAGAATGATTTCTTCATCTGTTAAAGCTGAAGGACCTTCATCTGATTTGGTTGATTTAAGTATTTCAGAACATGTTTCAATGGATCTAATTTCTTTCTCATCCTTAATAATAATATTCTTAATTTCTTTCTCATTAATAGTCTTAATTGGGGTAATTTTTTCAGTTATTGATTCAGTTATTGATTCAGTTATTGATTCAGTTGATTCTTTATTATTAATTGATTGTTTTTCAATTTCAACTTCTTTTATGATATCAGAAGATTCTTTTTGAGGTAGAACATTATTATTAATTTTTGGGACAAGAGTTTCATCTTCATTAGATAATATTTTTGATTCTATACCAACACGTTCCAAAATAGATTTTGGTTGTTTATGAGCATTTAAAAGGTAAACGTTCAAGAATATAGAAACTATCAAACCTAAAGATATCCATTTTGAAAGAACAGGATCTTGAACATAAAAAGACCATAAATTAAATAAAATATCAAAACTCTTATAAAAAGCTTGTACAAGGATAGGATTTGTATTAATACTTTTAACTACTCTAAAGATTATTGGTGAAGATATATCAACAATAAGTGGTAAATTAGATTGAGATCCATTATGATGATTATCAAGTAAATTATTTAATATTTGAGTAATTTCAGTATTATGAACATTTACTTTGGAAGTAGTTGTTGAAACAGCATGATCACTTGTGTGTAAAGTTGTACAAAAATTCATCACATGCATGATAAGGAAACCGGCAATCTAGATAAAAAAAAAAAAGAATCGATAATTTTTTTTAAAAAAAAAATTTGAAAAAAAAAATAAGAGGATATAATTTAAAAAAAACTTACGATTAAAAGTTTAAGTCTCGCGATCATTGGATTATCTTTTTTTGCATCTTCAATTTCAACAGGATTATCACGAAGTGCATTAAAAATATTATGAATATCATTATTAGGATTATTTTTTAATTCATCCAACTAAGGTAAGATTATATAAGATTATATTAGTATAGATACGCGTTAAAAAAAACATAAATTAAATAAATTAAATATTTTTTTTTTACCTCAAGTTTGAGTGTTAAAATGGCAGTATAAAAAGTGAAAAGGAATAAACAATCATAAAGTAATATGAAAGCTGCCAAGAAACAAAATTCTTGTAATCCATTCACACCAGACATAGCACCAATAAATAAGACACCAATTTCAATAAAATAATTTCGTACTATTAAAGGAGCTTTCTGTGTAACACCCATAATAATGACACCTTCAGATGATTTCTTTTCATTCTTATCAACAGGAAAATTTTTTGCTTTAAAAATAGCTTTTGTTAAAACAAAAGGTTTTTCAAATCCGACAGTTATTATCAAGAAAGGGATCGCTTCACTAAAAAAAAAAATAATAGGGAATAAATAATGAGGATACAGTTATACATGAGGGTGAATTAGGTTATTAGGTTCTAGCCATTCCGAAATATTACGGCACATTACACCAATACCAATTCGGCATTACACCGCCCCCATATATAGGATATAGTGTAAATGATATCTTACCTTAATAAGATTGGACTTACAGTTACACCGAATAAATTAATTGTTAATAAAGCCGACATGAAAGCAAAGAAACCATTTGCCAAAACACACATTGCAAGGAATCGAGAACCAATTTTTTGCATATTAATGAAATGAGCCACGAATGTAAGATGCATCAATATCCAACCTGCCAATATAACCAAAATATCGATTGTTTCCGCATTCTAAAAGATAATGGTAAAAAAAAAAATCATAATGGTATAATAATATAACAATGATAAAAATATAAAAAACAAACCTGAATCAATTCACGAATTTTAAGAACCAAACTACCAGCAGCAAAAGCCAACCAAACAAAAGAACCTTTTTCAGCAGGAGCGGGATTTTTTTGACCAGTAGAAACGAATTGATCAAAATTTAATCCAGAAACTTTATCATCCCAAGAACTTGAAGTAAAAGGATAATTATTAAATTCCAAAGCATAATTTAAAATCAAATGAGAAGAAGAAGAATTATTATTATTAAGTCCATAATTTAAAAATTCCAATGAAGTATTATTATTATTTTCAAAACATTTTGAATGATTATCATCATGATCTTTTAAACATAAAATATTATTATTATAATAATAATAATTATTATTATTATCATTTTTTTTATCTAAAATAATAATTTCATTTATTTCTTTTTCAATAAATTCTTTAAAATTTTGAACTTTATCAATTAATTGATTATTATCTTTTAATGAAATATTATCCAATTGAATAATAATTTGTTTTAATTGAATTTTAGGATAATCAGATATTAAATCATTCTCAGTTAATAAAATAAAATCTTTTGAACCTGGATATAATATAACTTTTGTTAGATCACTATTAATAGTAGGAGTTTCATTAAAATAATCTGATTCAATTAACGAACGAAACAATGAAGCATAAGCAAATGATGCTATTATTAGGAAAAAAACGATCATTTCTATAGGATTTCGAGATGATCGACGAACCGACACATCTAAAAGTTTTTCTATTATTACAAACATATTGAACCCGAAGAAAACTTATCGAAATGTTGAAATATTATATGGAGGATTAAAAAAAATGTCTCCTTTTTTTTTGATATTTTTGTTGAAAAGAATAAATATTGTTCTATTTTTTATTTGACAATATAATAAATAAATTTTTTTTTTTTTTTGTCAAAAATATAATTTACATAAAAGATAGGGGGAGAGTTGAAATGTTTAAAAATAAAAGAAGTTAGGGAAAGAAAAAAAAAAGGGATAATAAAAAAAGCACGTATTTATACTTGTACCCTAAAAAAAAAAAAAAATTTTTTTTTTTTTTTTTATAGATTGTTTGATTTGGAATTTATAAACACGTACATAATTTACTATGAACAAAGCTAATCTTAATTTAGTAATATCCGAGCATACAATGCTTAATTTAATTAATTAATAAGATATATTATTTATTATTTATTTATTTAGTAAGCACGTTACAAACTCTTACAATCATTAGTTTGTACATTTTTAAACATTTTTAAACTAACTAAACTTACACACATAAGATAATTATCATATTATATCACCAATATGTCAAATGTGTCATCATATTTTAAGAGAAAGAATAAACAAAAAAATTTCATAATGAAATGAAAAAAAATAATGTAGATTCTATTTTATCACATTAAGGGATTTACCTCTTTTTCTTTATTTCAATAAAAAAACAAAAAGAAAAAAAGAAAAAAAGAAAAAGAAAATATATATTTTAAAGAAATCATTTACCTTTTTAAAATAATTGATGAATCACCAATGAAATAATCTAAATCATAATATTACAATAATTAATTAAATTATTTTGAAATGTCCATTTTCGTCTTTAATTTCATATTATTATTCGTACTTCTTTTTTACCTAAAAAATTTAAATTATTCTATAAATGTCGAATAATACCAAAAAAAAATAAAGGTTTTTTTTTCTTGAATGTGGCTTTGAATTTGTGGCATGGTTTCCAAGATTTGAATTTATGGGTGATAATAATAAATAATATCTGTTATATGTAATTAAAGTTTTATGAAAGTTTACTTGTAATTGATGTAAATTGATGAAAGTTTACTTTGTAAATGTCCATTGTTTTCTCTTTCATTTTCATTAAAGAACAATATTAAAGATATTTTTCCTATAAATGTCGTCATTCAATATAAAAAAAGAATAATTCGATTTCGAATGTTTCTATTTTTCAATGAAACTTTCTTGAGAAATCAAAACGGAAAGATCATGCGAAAAAAAGTTTAAACTAATTTAGGAAAATTGAATAAAAAAAAACTTACTTAAATCGTTATAGAAAAACAGGAATCCATTCCGTCTTTACCAAATCAGAGGTAACACAAAAAACTGATCCTTATTGATCCGCGAAGACTAATTAAACGTTTTAAACCATTATGACCCAATAAAATATTAAAATGTTATGAACCAATAAATGTTATGAACCAATTAAAATAATAAATGAAAGAAAAATAAAAATTTTTGATTTGATATCGAATTATATCGAATTATAATCAATTATTCTATTTCATATAATTATTTTATTTTATTTTATTTTATTTTTTCATATAAAAAAATTGACCTAACGAATTAAAGTTGAGATTAAATTAAAACTTTATTTAATATTTTTAATATTGTTTTCCTTTTTTTTATTCTAGAAAAATAAATAAATGATCATAAGATTTAATACATTATGATTTTAAGACTTAAAGTTTTATAATCGAACCTTGTTATTTACATTGTTTGAACAACCCCTGAAAAATAAAAATTGTAAATGCTTTTATAAAGTTTGATTGAGATCTTTTTTGCAATCCCACAAAATTCCCAATCTTTCCATGACATGATTTTTAATTAAAAATTCAGTACAACGTATAACAGATAGTAAAGCATGTGAATCTTGCATATATCAACCAATTACTTTTTTTTTGTATGATATATATGCTAATTTCATTTTTATAGGTTATTATGAATTCTTAATTTGGTATGTTTTTTTGTAAGAAATAGAGAATTTTATATAATGATATTCTATTAAATTATTAATGGATTTTTAATCGCGAATCAATCAAATATTCATGATCATTTATTATGTACATTAAAAAGTACTCCCCCTAGAAAAAACAATCTAAACTATATTTATATGTACTGGGGTATTTTTAATTGGTACACCTTTCTTTTATTAATCTAACTTTTTATAAATTAGTTTGAAATTATAAAAACAAAGTTTCTCAAGTTTCGGAACGTTCTTGGCTCTTGGATTTAAAGTTTAAAAATTATAATATACGAAACTTAAAGATGTTAAAATTTCAGGTTATCCAGAAATTCGTTTATCCGTTACTTTATTGGCAAAAATGGCGTAAAAATTTACGCGGAAACAAAGTACAATATTTATGCATTATGTAACATTGATTGAAACGATTATATCATATTCAAAAAAGGCTTTTTTTTAAAGTGTTTCAATAGTAAAACCAGTTGAAAATAGGAGTTATTTATAATTTCCTAAATTAATATAACAAAAAAAAAAACGAATAAATTTATTCTTAATTTACAATAATATTAATATTATCTCATTACAATCTAAAATAGAAAAAAAAAATGGTTAAAAAAAAGTGTACATTGTACACATACCGGCTAACTTGGCTAAACTTGGCTAATTTTAATTTTATTAAATAATATTGATTAGTTTCATAATAAGTATCCTGATATAGCAATTAACCTGATCGTTACCAGGTTTGCCAAGATACACGTGATTATTTCTGTTATTTCGATTACTTCGAAAGTTTACTTTAATAGCAAATAGAATTAGTGACCACCCCAAAAAAATTAATTTTATTAAAATCAAAATAATAAAGTTTAAAGAAAAAAAAAATAGAATAGGATAGAAAAACATTAATAAAAAAAAAGTAATCAAAATATAATAGTTAGAAGTTAAATGATATGATCAATTCCAAAAGAGACGATAATTTTTGCTGATCTCAAAAAATGAGCCATTGGGCATTAAATTGGCTATATATAAAATATTATGCTGATTCATGATTATAAAGAAAATTAATCATAATATAATCAATCATTTAAAGCCTTTCCCAAGCAACAAAATATATGAGGGGTTAACAAGGACTTTTCATCTTAAATACCATTCAAGGAGCACTTCATCTTAACAAATGGCCGAATCCAAAACCAATTTTTTTTGGGGGGTTGTTTTTTTTCGCTAACAAATATTCGTTTAATCCGTTCCCAATTATCTAAAATAATAATAATAATTATAAATATGATTTATTCCGAATGATTTATTATAAATAAAGAATATAAAGGAATAGTACCTTATTTGCAAACGACAGCATCTCCATGTATCACACCCCCCACGGCCGGGACGCAGCCGACCGCTGTCCCCTCTACGCCTCTTTTTGGATGATCAAGAGTATATTGTCAATCTAATAATAGAAATCAAATTAATAAGTAAAGGTTAAATTTAATATAAATTTCTTCTAATAATTTTCATAACTTACCAGAATAAAAACCGTCTTCTTCACTGTCGTAGTTTAATGTATCAAAATCGACCTTATAACGGAGTAAACCGCCAATGCCACCAAAGCCCTTAACAAATTGAGAACCTTCTTGAGAACGATTAGTAACAAATTCCAAATTGGCACCAAAATCTTTGTAATGATCTGCGAACCACTCCAAAAGTGGCGTCCTGTCAACTACTTCCATTTCCGAGCCTGTTTCTTTATCGGTGTAAAGAGCTCGATCCTTTTCTTGTTCTTTAGTCATGTGGACAACGACTTCAGCTGTCAAAAAATTAAAAATGTTAACATAAATTCAGAATTAACCCTTAAGATAATAAACTATTAATACTTACAACCAGCAGAATTCTTTAAAACATAACGAGTAGTATCCAAATTTTCCCAAACGATCAGAGTTTCTACAGCACCCAATTCCAAGCCTTTTAAAGTATCATCAACACCAAAGCAATATTTACCAGTATCTTGAGAAATCTCATCAAAATATTTTTGGATGAGTTTTTTTTCTTGAATGAATTTGACATTAGCTAAACTCTCAGCAGCAAGTTCAATGGCCTATAATAATGATAAAAATTAGAAACCTAACAAAAAATAAATAAATAAATCATTCGAAAGTTTATACATACCTGATTAAAACCATTTTCACCTCCATAAGAAACATCCACTAGTTTGATAACCTTGGTTTGGAGACGATTATCAAACATGTCTGATTGAGATAATTCAGTCTTAAAATCAGCAGAACCGGCAAGAATCAGACCGGTGACGTTAACCTAAAAACATTATATGATTAAAATTACTGGACAGCTTCGTACAGATCATTTGAAAGGATCACCTATATACCTTATCATTAGTGATATAGAACTGAACTGCTAATTCTGCGACTTTTCGAACATAGTTGTGTCGCTTTTCTTCACGGAGACGTGCAAAACGTAAAGCGGATTGACCACCTCTACCTGTTATATGAGATATTTATGAAGTTAATTCAATCATATAAATTAAAGTTTTTGGCGACTCCAACTTTCCTTTTTAAGGAATCGTGATATAGAATAAAGAAAAAGTGATATTAATCGTACCGTGTTTCTTTGGTAGTTCGACAGCAAATTTATGAATGACTTCTCTCGTGTTACCACTCAAGGTACCAAACAAGGCCCCATTACCATCCATAACAATAAATCCAAATTTGTTATCCGATTCGAGCAATTCGGATAAAGCTTCCGTGTGAAACTTATTATCACATAGATACAAAGAAGTATTGATAGGTTTAAAAGGTTCAAAATCAATGTTAACCTTTTTTTCCTTTCCTTCTTCAGTAACAATTGTACCGCAGTAAACTACGAGACCATTGGTCGGAACTTTTTGAATCATAAAGAAATTTAATTAATTTAACGTTATAATAAACTCAAAGGTTCATTTATGCGTGACTGCATGTTTACCTTTTGTGTATAATTTCAATCTCTGTTGTGTTGAGGTGATCGCAGCCAACACAGATAAACGATTTACACGAGATTTAATGTTGGAAGCTGTACCGTATTCATCTGCCAACATTTTAGCAATTCGGGAAATTTGATCTTTGGGTGCTATAAAAAATTAATTGAAAACAAAAAGTAATTATTATTAAGAAATTAAATCGTGAAAATCACAAAAAATATTATCAGAATATATATTATAAATAACATACGAATGATGAGAGAGATCATAGAAGTACCATTCCTAGGAAATGGTTATAAAAACATTTTAGTTGAATTTGAAAATAATTTATAAAGACTATTTTAAGTATAACTTTATAGTATACCCTCTAGCAGCTTCCAAACTTTTGATCAATTTTTTAACTTTCCATATTTCTACGTTCCTATCAGTTGCGTCCGCTGCTGCTGCCGCTTGACTCATTTCTACTCTATAGTGAAGTGTTGTAGCCTAAAAATTCTCTCAGAAGCAAGAAAAATTTTTCTTGTTGTACTGGATGGGGGCTTTCCAAATAAGAATCCTCGGCTAAAACGAAAAAAAAAAATTTTTATTGTTATGGGGATCTTCTAATCTAGATATTTATAGAATATTTGGAATTACGTGACTCGGTGACTCAGTTAACTGCGGCGTTCCTAATACGGCCAATCATGATGTAAATATGACATATTTGACATATATGACATATGTCCTCCGTTAGCTGCGGTATGAGTCTTCCTATATATGCTATATATTCGCGGCGTGAACTCTGCTGGAGCAAAAATTTACCAATTCGAAAAAAAAACAAGGGAAAAAAAAACAAACTTGCTTAAAATTAAGTAACTCGTTTAATCACGTGATTTTCAATGCTATGAGAATATGAATCGAAGGTTTTCGGCCCGCATTAAAGAATTACTCGAGTTAGATTCAAAAAAAAAAATGGATGTAGTTTCAGAAGTCAGAAATAATTGAAGAATGTCCAATCCAATTTTGGTAATGCTGACTCCGGAACAAAACCATTACTTCTTTTTGGTGATTATATTCTTTATTTTTATTTCCCCAAATTCAGCGTAATGAAACGGTTCATTATTTCATCTAGCAGCTAAGATAGTATCGGATAGCGTAGATGTTGATTTAATCAAAATTTATGTTTGTGGGTTCATAAGATTCTAAATTTATCGTTGCTATTATGATCAGCTTTCTCTCGACCCGGATAAAAACGAATATTTTCACGTGATGATTTTGACCGAAAAAGATTATGAAACTCAGCTTTAAACAAACTTTGATTTCAGCCAACATTAAGATATCATTGTAGTTCACCCTTCTATAGCGAATTTTATGTCCCATATAGAAATTCTAATTCGTGCCAGCACTAATTAAAATACCCTTTATAGCGAATTTATAATTAAAAAATTCAAAATTTGTAGAACTGTATTCCAGGAATTTATAAGAATTATGCCCAACTTGTAGCCCTAGTGAAATTCACACCGGATGAAAACCGCCACAACCACTTTTAACTTCACGTAATTGCAATTTTCCGCTTCTCCTTTAACATAAATTGCGGCACATAAAATCAACTAAGACCTTTTAACATATATTGCGTCACATAAAATCAACTTACACTTTTAACATAAATTGCGTCACATAAAATCAACTTACACCTTTTTGCATCATTAAAAAGGCCGATTTTATTTTATTAATGTTAAAACATGTCAATAGCGTGGGGAATAATGCACGAATCAATATTAAACATCGACTAAAAACACCAATATTTCAACGAAAATTGAATCAACCTAAAAGATATCGATCCGAAAAATAGAAACCCAGCAGTAGCAGCTGCTGCTGCAACGACAGCAACAACGACAGCAACAACGACAGCAACAACAGCACCAACAGCAACAGCAACAACAGCAACGGGCAAACAACAGCAGCTGTTATAGAAACAACAATAACAGCATATCGCCCGTAGAATTATATCTCAATTTGTTTAGAAATTATCTTAATAAGGTACAGTGTATTATCATTTGGATTGTTTACGATTGTGAAAATGTTTATATTAAACATTAATAATGTAAAATAACAATATGTGTTTTATTTTGGATGATAATAAGTTTTCTTTTTTGTTTAAAAAATAACGTTAGAATTAATTTTTTCATATAACCTTATTAGTTATTACTAAAAAAACGACGTACGCATATCTAAAAGGTATAAATCAGCCGGAATTATATAAATTCCTCCTACAGTATAGTATGTCTAATTTCTTTATGGTTACTGTTTTAAAGGTTCACGTGCAATTCATCTTCGGGCAATTCAAGATTCAAAATAACCAAACGGAAGATATATCAAAATGAGTAGGGAAAGAAAGAAATAAAAGTTCAATTTATGATAATTATAATCCGAGAAATTGTTGGAATTTAGAAAGAATTATGCAGAGTATTGCACATGATAACTCTTTATTAATAGTTAAAGCATGCGAATGCATATTATGACAAATCTTTATAACGCCAAACCCGCAATAAGATCTATTCAATCTTGCATACTGTGATCACACTTGTGTCAAAATCATGAAACGTGAAAGTTTTAAGGAGATATTTCGAACTTTTTCTTATCGCGAGGATTAGAATGAGAAGTTTCATAATGAAATGCCATTATTCTATATTGGAAAGGTTTGTACACCAAATAATTAGGGTCACAATATGAAAAAATTCATGTGATCTATCATAGAATAGAACAAACATGGATTTATTATTTTAATTCCATACATAGAATTTATCATAGTCTCATGTTATTGATGTTCGGGTTTTTCATAAATCCGTGAGCAAAAATGATTTATTCTTTTTTCAGCTACCCAACTGGAAAGACTGTGTAAGTATCAAAAAAAAATTATTGTAAATGTTAATAATGGAAAAATTTGAAATGTGCAATCGTGCGTTTTACCGAGTGGTTAATATAAATAATATTACAATTAGGTTCTTTAATGGTTTCATATAAAGCGAATAATAACGCAAGGCTTTTTATAACTCCGAACTATAATTAAATATATTTTTCTTAGAACTTTGAATTCTTGCTGCATCATGCATTAATATTTCATTGTTAATAACCTGAATAATAACTCGTTTTTGTTTGATCTTCTTGGTGCATCATTTTCTTTATGCTAACCAGGTAAATAATTACACAGAAAAATTAATTTTAGCAATCATTTATTCGTGTTTGACTTGGCAAAAAAAAATTTTCTTGGCCGGAATTAAACATAATTCTTTTGAAATGGATTTTTTTTCCCTTATTTAGAATTGGATTATCAATATCATAATTTTGTTTTTTTTAGCTGCAAAAGTACATATTTACAATATTTATAACAATATGTTATCAAAAATAGAATTTATTGTATATATGTATATAATATAGAAAATGATCAACAATCAAATAAACAGATTTTAGAATCAAGTATTTTTTAAAAATAAATATTTCGTAATCAAGTCCTAGTTTGAGTAAATGATTTTTTTTTCAGTTCATTTCATTGTATGCACGATTCCGTCAAAAATGTATTATTTTTTTTTCTTCAAATGATGAATATAAAAAGAACAATAATCTGTTTCAATAGTTGTCTTCTATTTCACACGTTCGTGAGATTTTATAATATTTCATCATATTTTATTTTATAATATTTCTTTTTTGTTGAATTAATTAATTAGTTATTCGGAAAGATGGAGGAGAACGTTGAAAATTATTTTATAGTATTTTTACTTGGTCTTGGCTCTATGGTAGGTCATTAATTAAATTATATTATTCATACTTTTCTTTGTTTCCCTTTTACGAATTTTTATAAATTCCTCAAATTCTCTCTCCAAATTTCTTCCTTCTTTAGATAGCATTCCACAACTTAATCATTTCCATAAGAAAATATTTCACGCGAAATTATGGAAAAGTATCAGACATGCTTCGAATTATTTGCAACTACGGAAATCTTTGGAGATTTTTACTTTCTCTTGGATATTTTATGACTCCGTCGGACGTAACACCTGGTCCTTGTAAAGCATTAGGGTATTTGTACTTAATTGGATACCATTTATTTCATATATCTTTATTCTCTTTTTTGTTATGGAGTATTTATCGACTGTCATCCGAAAAAAAAGATCTTTGGTTGGGTATTGCGTTTCTCTTAATACAAACTTCACTTGTTGTAAGTATTACAAGATGATTACATCATTTTAATACGGCTGCGCCGCTGCGGCAAATAATTTAATTAACACGTGACTTAATTGTTTAGGTTCCGGAATTGGTACTCGCTATACCTCAAATGAACTTGAGACCGACCAACCTTAATAAATTTCTTCCATCAAGATATTGTGATTTGATATTTGGCACAAATTACTATAGAATATGGACGACGATTATTTTTGGATTCGTGATAATGTTTTACTTAGTAGCACGTATTTCATACCTAGCAAAGAATCGAAGACGTTGCACAATTGCTAACGTTCCATCGAGTAAATCAGCTATTAGCGATGAGAACAATACAACTACGACAACGACGACAACGACGACTATTGTAGCAGCGAAACGTCCAATAAATTTATCTACAATATATTGGTCATTAGCTTTAACGTTTTTAACATTTATGTTAATGTGGCTTTCATCTTCATTGGATGAGAAACCAGATAAAATTTTATTACTAAGTAGGGATCATAGTATTATTGGATTGACTTATAAAAATTTATTATACATTTTGATTTCTTATGTAATTACTCATTTGGATATTGAAAAAAGAAAGGATATTATATTTTATAATTGTGGTGGAAATGGAAGAGATGGCGGTGAAAATGTGAGAAATAGTTCTAATAAATTGGATGGCGAAGCTTGGGTTATTTGTTCAAAGAAGGAAAAGAAGAAAGACAATACCGGCGAAGCGGAAAATAATGAAACTCAAGTTTAAAGTTTAACCGTTAACCTAAAAAAACCAAAGATAATTAGATATTATCTTTTTTTTTTTTTGAAAATTTCCATAATGTATTTTTATTTTATTTATTTTTTTTTTTTTATTATAAAAATATTGTATAATATATATTCATTTTTAAAAATTATAAATATTTATTAGGTTTTAGTTTAAATAAATTCCATTTATATATATTTTATTGAACGTATTTTTTAAAAAATGTATATAAAAAAGAATTTATTATTATTTTATTTTTATTAGTCTTGACTTAAAAAAATCCATGAACAATGTAATAATAATAGTAGTTAGAATATTCTTAAAATTTTTATACTGTACTGCGATCTTTTGACATACTGTAATGTACTTCGTTGGAACAATTAATTATTATATAACGATAACTTTTGAACTTTAAATAATTTGTAGTCTAATTCAAATACGAAATTTCATTCAAAAAATTTATTGTGTCAAATAAACAGTTTCTTTAACCATATATTTCTGTACAGTATTACAGTAATATAAAGTGTATGATTTGTTTATATTATAATAAACAAATTTAATAAATAGAAATTAATTTAAAAATGAATGATATAAATTTCAAACTAAGAAATTTGATATATATATTTAAATACTAGAATATTATAACAATTTTTAATTTAATAAGTAATTAAGGTCCATCTTATTTAAAACAAAATAAATTATTAATAATAAAGTTAACATTAAATTAAATTCTAATAATTAAAATCTTACCATCAGAAATTTTCAATTCATCTTGTTTTTGTATTAAGATTTTCATCGTCACCTAAATATTTTAAGATATTATTTTTTTGCATATATTAAATATTCAACTTATAAAATTTTAAAATAATTATTACCTTTATTATTAAACTTAACTTTTTTATAATTAAAAGCTAATTCTTTTTCATCATCTAGTTTATACAAAAAAAAATTTTATTATTTATTGGGTTTTCACGGACAATTAATTTTTACAATAGCGACTTATCTATACCAACCATTAAAATAATTTCTTTTAGGTTTGCTATCAACTTTTTTATACGTTAAATTAAACATGAGTTATTTATTATATACAGTATATAAATTTCAAAGAAATTCAAATTGTTAATCTTACCAGTAATCAATCCATCTTGTAAATCAAAGTTAAATTGTATACTATAATATAAAGCTATAAAAAAAAAGTAATTTAAATCAATTTAATTTTTTAATAATTGAGAAATTTCAGAGTAATTAATTACCTTCTTGTTCTTCTATTAGATAATAAATAAAACAAGTTAAATTAAAATAATGTTTTAAAATTAAGATTTATAATAATCAATACTTAATTTCTTACCTTTTGTTGCATTTCTTGGTTCTGGCAAATCTTTAAAACTATATACTCTACTACTAATATTTTCAAAAAAAGAATTAATAGAACTGGAAGTTATATTAAACCTTGTATTTGATTGTAAATCATTACTTATTATCTGTTGTTCTTCATTGTTTAGATAATAAGAATGAATCTTACGAATTTCTTTCCTAAGAGTGGTAATATCAGGTCTTTTTGTTGGATCAGCATCCCAACATCTTTCCATTAATTCTTTATATTCTAAAGGAGTTCCTTGTATTATTTTTGTCATTCCATTTATTATCTTTATTGCAAGATCATAATTATGTTTACAAATAAAAGGTGGTTGTCCGGATGAAATTTCCCACATAAGCATACCAATACTATATATGTCAGACGCAAAAGAATATTCCATTTTAGACACAACTTCAGGTGCTATATAAGGAAGATTTCCATATATACTATTTGGCTGTTTATTAGAAGGCCCACAAAATCCAAAGTCACTGACTAGGACTAATTGACTAGAATGACTAAATAATACATTTCCAGAATGCAAGTCTCTATGAATTGCATTTTCTTCGTGGATAATATAAATTGCATCGATAATAGCTTTAATAATGTAAATTTTTTCTTTCCAGGTAAGTTTATTATAACTTTGTTGCAAATAACTTTTTAAATCCATATCCAAACGATGTATTACAAGCATATAATTTCCGTCTGATGGATCTTTTGTTAAAACAATATTCTCAGATTTGTTATTTATAGATAAGTGAAATTTACCCTAAAAAGTTAATGAATATTATTAAAAATAATTTTAACCATCTTTTTGCATACTTATAAATTACATACCTCCTCAAACCAAGTTCTATTAGCACTTTCAATATTTTTTAACTTTTTAAGTACTACTTTCTGTTTTCCCCGTCTTTTTATTCGCTTTTCTTTTGAAACCCATTCATCATACTGTCCATCAATCCAATATGCTGTATAAATTTCAGAGAAACCACCTTTAGTTAAATATTTAATATCTTGTAAATTATTATGTGGGATCCATTCTACTATCCCATTTGGTGTAGGTGTTTCCATTTGACATTGTTGTATTAAATTATCAATATCATTATTTCCAGATGTCCAGTTTGAAAAATTGGTTTTTAAATAATTTCGAATACAATGTTCACAATATGACATAGCTAAACATTCATCATAACAATTTTCACAAATTCTTTTTGTTCCTATATTATTAAGAACTTTACAACAATCATAATATTTTTTTATCAAATTTATTGCGACTGATTTTTCTTTTTTTGTGAGGGATTTATCAGCAAGAATAGTTTTTTGTAAAAAGTGATTTTGTTTTTCAATAGTATTGTGAGTATTAAAATCTATTAATTTGTGTGCTCTAATACATGCGGCAAGAGCCATAATAAAAGTTTGAAAATAACTGGAAAATAAGTATCTTTTTTTTAGAAATTTCTATCCTGTATAAAGAGAACACTTAGTTCTTTGAAATTCGGGGAATTATAAAGAAATCTTTTATTGCAGATGATTAGCACTATGATTCTGTATCATAGTTTGCCCATCGGTTATAGTGTTCCAATCCGTTAAACCGCCATCCGTCGGATTACGGATATCCGCCAAAAAAATCGGATTTTTTGGATAACGGATAATACTGGATTGGATTTCTCAGATAATTGAATAATAATGGACGATAACGCATCATTCAGACGTTGTCCATCAATAATACATAAATTTGTTTTTATCCGATCCGATTATCCTTCGGATATCCGGAATCCGGAATAAACGGATGAACTAAAGCGAAATACGATGATAAAGAAGAAATTATTTAAACTTAAATACTTGAAACACTTTTTTTTTCAAATAACAAAATATGACTTTTATTGGAATTGAAACTTTCCAATCAATATACAGTATACCAATAATTTTCTACACAAATGCATGTATGCAAATACACGCAGTACATTTCACTGTATAACGGTATACAAATTTGACAAATTTTATTTTCTAAACGTTGTCTATTGTTTCAGTAGATTCCAATAAACACAAAATAAAAAACCAATATTCTTCAAAAATGATAAAAAAATAAATAATAAATGGCGTATGTTTTCTTTTCGAAAGGAAAGTAGATTTTTTTTGTATGAATTTTGATTTTTAGGTTCATTTTTAATTGAAGCAACCCATTTTTTAGATTTTTTTTTATTAAACGTATTTGATTATTTTTGATATCCTTTGAAGTTATAAACACTTACATTATCTTTTGCAATAATTATTTATTTCAGAGCTAAAAATATAACAGAAAATTAAATTACGTTTATGAAATATTGGTGGATTAGATTTAATTTAAAATACTCAAATATTTATTGTTAAGAATAATGCCGAAACATAAATATCAAAAAATTTGTGGTAAAGAAACATTTATGATACACAATTTCGGCATATAGTAAAAAGGTATCCGATCAAAATCTCGACAGCCACTTGCACGACTAACTAACACAAGATCGACAACAAAATCTCGACAATTCAAAATCTCGACAATCAAAATCTCGACAATCCAAACTCCCGACAAGTCATTATATCGTTCAAATGATTTTCGAGATTTCGTAAAAAAAAATAGTTATAATAAAATAATTTGTTGCAATATGTAATATTTAGTTTAAATGTGGTAAATTTTATAATTTGTTCTAAAATTGCCGGGATAATCAACTTGTCGGTGTAATGATTTGTCGGGATTTTGACTTATCGGGATTTTGGATTGTCGAGATTTTGTTGTCGGTCTTGTGTTAGTCGTGCAAATGATTTTCGAGATTTCGTACCAAAACCAATTTTATCATTTAATATATAAAATAAACTTGAATATTGAGGCTACATTTTAACATCATTTAGGACTCTAGTGCTTTTTACTTTTTGAGAAAATTAACTACAAACGTTGATTTTAAAGAAAAATTTGACATGAAATTCATAAATTAAAATGATGCAAATTCACTAGAAATTTCTTGAATTTAATTAATTAAGATAAATGGGGGAAATGCGAATAAAAAAAAGTTCTTTAACAATATAAAGCATTTTATGCAAAAAAATATAAATTTGCTCTAAAATAGTTATAAAAAATATTTAAATAAAAAAAATATAATTAATTATAAGCTTAATTATAGAAAAATTACTGAAATAAATTCCATATTAATTTATTACTATGAAATCTATGAGTTTCCATCTTTCAAATAAGCTATTTCACATATTTTCACATATAATTTGGTGAGATCGTCATGGTGTTATGGTCAATTTTTTAATTCCGGTTACTGTATCAATGTATCATGTATGGTAAAAGACAGTCCCATAATCAAATCTGTGCGACAAATTCTTATAGCGCCAAAGATGGCCGTAGATTGTGTTCGTAAAACATATTTAAGTTCCATCTCTTCATTTGTTCTGCAGATTTTATTCGAGTTATCATATTACTATGACTTCCCGCAACTCAAATCCAAGCAATTCGAGCAATTCGAGCAATTCAAGAAATCCAAGAAATCCAAGAAATCCGAGAAGACCAAGCAATCCAAGCAATCCAAGCAATCTTACCCGACAACTACGTGCGGAAAATGCGGCAAATTCCGCAGCAGAAAAAATTAAAAAGAAGCAGGATTATTATAAAGATACTCAATTTCACATGTAAGTATGCCGTTAATCGCTTTTTTTTGCATAGATAATGGGTTATTCATCTTTTTGCTTATTTTAGGGAGCTAAGCACCCAGCCTCCGAGTAATCCGAGTAATAGGTAGAAGGAGATGCTCTACTCTAAGAAATTATTAAACTGCGTCCCAGACCATATGGCGTTTGTTATCTCGAATCGAATTATATTTTTACTCTAGCTTCGAAGAGGCTGGTTTTTTTGTATCTGTACTCTGCATACATAAATATCAATAAAGTTTCGCCCATAGTTCGGGCATTTATTTTTTTTACATATATGGGTGTAGGAGTGCAAAGTTGTGTGTAATAGCATTGGAATAAATAATGGTTACCGCGCATAGTCTGTCTCTGGGTCAAAAATAAATTTATTGCGCCCACTACTAACCCACAGATTACTTTCCTTTTACAAAAGCCGACCAGCACTCTGGGAATGTTGCAAATTTTATACTTCGCTCAAAAACTGATAGTATCACCTGTGATCACGAGGAAGAAAACAATCGCCGGGTTATGAACGTACTTAAAGTATTGTATCAGCATCTGCTGAAAAACTTTCCCTATAAAAAATTTTTATCCGAATATTTCCATTATTTCTCTGTGTCTTCCGTAAAAATTCCGTGAAAATGATACATTCACGGATATCTGTGTTAGCGAGATGAAAATTTCCATGATTTGAGGTTATTAATTCCATGAAAATGATACATTCACAGAAAAGCATGGAAAGATAAAACACGGATCAGATTTTTTACAGGGTTTTGAAAAATTCATGCGAGATATAGAAAATCATAATAGGCGGATTGGTGCAAATAATAAATTGCGCAATGAGATCGAGAATCTGAAGGCGCAAGTGCAAGAGATGGGAAAAAATCCTTGCTTCCATAAAAGGTAACATAATTTTCTAAGAATAATCTTGGTAATTTTTCCCAGAACCTAGGCTTCGGCAAATTTTTAGCCAATTATAGGCGGAAAGTTTTACCGGAAAACATATGGAATACCCAAACTTCTGGGACAATATGAACTTCCCGGGCTTCTTAGAATATTTTTTTCCAGGAATTTTCAAGTCTATATTACTTACCTATAATCGAACATATGGTCAGCCAATCAAGGACTCCACATTTCAATGAACACTATGAGGACTTGTTTAAGCAACTACCCAATCCATGAAAAAGGATGTATGTTTGCGTCTTACAACCCGCAAAAACAAGCCACTGTCTGAAGAACAAGCTAGGGGAATTCGTCCAGATATCGAGGAGTTGCTTACTAGAGAGGTTAATAGATACTATAATAAAAAAAAATTGCCAGTAGATTAAGATTGAAGCAAATACCGCCTCCGATGGTTCTAGCGATTAGATGGATTTGAGAAGCGATTGGAGGAGCGTGAGGCTTTGCTAAAACAAAAGGAGAATAATATTAAGATTACTATTGAGGCTCAGATTGGTGAGAAACGTAAGCGTCTAAAAGATGAATATGATGCACTTAAGCTTCGCCTAGAGAGTGAATATAATAAATGTATGATAGATATTGATAGATATAAAACAGACGACATTCATTTAAGCATCAGCTAGAAGACCTCGCTCTGCCGAGTTAGAGAAGCAATACAAATCTCGCATCTCTACATTAGAAAAAGCTATGGTTGAGAAAGATAGAGAAGTTGGAAAATTATCCTCAGCTGTTTTTCAGGCCAAGAAGGATAAGAATGATTTGAAAAAAAGTCTCTCATCCGCTAAAAAAACTATTAAGTTATTGGATGATATTATTTTTGCCAAGGACCAAACAATAATTGCCTATAATAGATGATACTATTGAACCAACTAGCTTTTATGAAAAGGATGCGCGTGATTTGTGGATATGATGCCAAAGATGATCCAAACATCCGAAAAAAATGTCATGTGTACATAGTTCGATCATTCCAGTTTGATCTTAGATATTTTAGTCGTACACTGTTCGTCCATTGGTCGTACAGTACATTGGTCATACACTGTTCAATCTGTTCATCCACTGGTCGTACACTGGACATATACTGTTCTTCCACTGGTCGAACATTGGCTGGACATTGGCCATTTTTTTGATGACGTTTTAACCTACAAGGGTACTGGAATTCTTTAGAGCAATATTGACATGTCCGGTCAGTTAGTTTTTTTTTAGTAGTATATCAGACGACTTGCAGTTGACTTCCGGCTTAAATATTTCTCTCTGGGACTTATGAACCGAAAGAGGTACAGTAATTACCTTTCCTTTGTGCAATAACTTAAATTCCCGCTTTAGCAATAAGTTCCAATCCAGCACGATCAAGCCAAGGCGTTCCCAACAATATTCAGGGTTTATCATCGTCCATTACTGGAAAATCCTCAGAAATTATACAACTATTATCATCCTTCGCCACTTAACAGGAGGCTTCTTATTTTTATCGATTTCTGCACCCAGTAATTTTATAAGGCCTTTTGAGATGACTGAGCAATTGGCGTGGCTACATCATTCGGTATAATTTTTTGGATGAAATTGATTTCCATAGGATTTGGCCATGAAATATCTGGTCCCATCAACTGGTTCATTTGTATAGGTTGCTGTTCTACTTGGGGAGGTAGTTGCGGAGCAACTGGTTGCTGGACATTTTGTGGTGAACTTGATTGTTGAGGAACAATTCGAACTAGATCTGTCATCGGTTGCAAAATTTGAGAAAATACTATAGTAATCCCATTCCAGAACTTTTCGCGTTCCTTTTCTGAGAAATTTGAAACATAATGGCTTAAGATATGATCTTTCAAGCCTATAAATTCTGCACTGACCATATTCCATGTATTAATTGTAGAGGTTAGAACCGACCAAAAAAACCTTAACCGATTAATAATCGATTAACCAAGAGCCCTAATCGATTAATAATCGATTAATCAAAAATATTAAAATTTTTTTTTTTTTTGACCGCAGATTGCACCAAATTGTTTTTGATTATACATTTAGCTATAGGAAATCTTATTTATTATTATTATTATTAAAAAATTAATATATTGAAAAAAAATGATATTATATTAAAAATAGCAAAATAGTCTTTTGATTAGTGTTAATAAAAGAAATAAAATAAAAAAATAATTAAAAAATTAGAAAAAATACTACGTCAGTTTAAAGTTTAACCTAAAAGAAACAAAGGTAATTTATATTAGATATTATATTTTTATAAAGATTTTCGTAATGTATTTTTATTTTATTTTTTTTTATTATAAAAATATTGTATAATTTTTTAAAAAAATTATAATACTTATTAGGTTTAATTTAAATAAATTCCATTAATATATATTTTATTGAACGTATTTTTTAAATTATTTATTTATTTATTTTTATTAGTAAAAATCCATGAACAATGTAATAGTAATAGTAGTTAGAATATTCCTAAAGTTTTTATACTGTACTTCGTTGTGAACAATACTGGAACAATTATTTATTATATAACGATAACTTTTGAACTTTAAATATTTGTAGTCTAATAATTCATTAAATAAATTTATTGCGTCAAATAAACCATATATTCCGTAGTAATATAATCTAATTGGCCAAATAAAATGTATGTTTATTATTTTCCAAACTAAGAAATTTTATATATACTTAAATAGAATGTTATAATAATTTTTAATTTAATAAGTAGTTAAGATCCATCTTATCTAAAACAAAATAAATTATTAACAATAAAGTTAACATTAAATTCTAATAAAATTAAAATCTTTACCATCAGAAATTTTCAATTCACCCTGTTCTGAATTAAGATTATCATCGCCTAGATTTTTTTAAGATATTATTTTTTGCATATACTAAATATTCGACTTATAAATTTTAAAAATAATTATTACCTTTATGATTCAACTTAACTTTTTTATAATTAACAACTAATTCTTTTTCATCATCTAATTTATACAAAAAAAAAATTTTATTATTTATTGATTATTCATAGATTAAACGACCTATTACCAACCATTAAAGTAATTTCTTTTAGATTTGCTATCAACTTTTTATACGTTAAATTAAACATAAGTTATTTATTATATACAATATATAAATTCTAAAAAAATTCAAAATTGTTATTCTTATCAGTAATCAATCCATCTCGTAAGTCAAAGTCAATTTGTATACTATGATAAGCTATAGAAAAAAAAAGTAACTTAAATTAATTTAGATTTAATACTTGAAAAATTTCAGAATAATTAATTACCTTCTTGTTCTTCTGTTGAATTAATAATGATACAGATTGAATTAAAACAATGTTTTAAAATTAATAAGATTTAAATTAATTTCTTACCTTTTGTTGCATTTCTTGATTCTGGCAAATCTTTAAAACTATAAACTCTACTACTTAAAAAAAGGGAATTAATAGAACTAGAATTTATATCAAAATTTCTATCCGGTTGTAAATCATAACTTATTAGCTGTTGTTCTTCATTGTTTAGATAATAATTAATATTATTTATTTCTTTCACAAGAGTTTTAATATCAGGCCTTTTTGTTGGATCAGCATCCCAACATTTTTCCATTAACTCTTTATATTTTAAAGGAGTTCCTGGTACTATTTTTGGCCTTATTCCATTTACTATCTCTATTGCAAGATCGTAATTATGTTTACAAATAAAAGGTGGTTGTCCGGATGAAATTTCCCACATAAGCATACCAACACTGTATATGTCAGACGCAAAAGTAGTTTCTTTTCCACACAAGAGTTCAGGTGCAATATAAGGAAGATTTCCATATATACTATTTAAAGGTTTATTAGGAGGTCCACAAAATGCAAGATCGCTAATTCGGAACTTTTGAATCAATTGATCAAATAATATATTTCTAGAATGCAAGTCTCTATGAATTACATTCTCCTTATGGAGATCACAAACTGCATGAATAATATCAAAAATAATTTGAATTTTTTCTTTCCATGTAAGTTTATTATAATTTTGTTGCAAGTAATCTTTTAAATCCATATCCAAATGACGCATTACAAGCATATAATTTCCGTCTATTGGATCTTGTGTTAAACCAAAACATAGAACAACTTTCATAACTTTGTTACTTATAGATAAATGAGATTTACACTATAAATATTAATAAATATTATTATATAATTATTTTTGAATCACCTTTTTTTCAATATTTCCTAATTACATACCTCTTCAAACCAACTTCTATTGGCGCTTTCAATATTCTCTAACTTTTTGAGTACCACTTTTTGGTCTCCAAATCTTTTTAATTGTTTTCCTTTTGAATCCCATGTATCATAACGTCCATCTATCAAACCTGCTGTATAAATTTTAGAGTATCCACCTTTAGTTAAAAAATTAATATTTTTTAATTTATTATATGGGATCCATTCTATTATACTATCTGGTTTAATTGTTTCCATTTGACATTGTTGTATTAAATCATCAATATCATTATTTCCAGATGTCCAATTTGAGAAATTGGCTTTTAAATAATTTCTAACACAATGTTCACAATATAATGTAGCTAAACATTCATCAGAACAATTTTCACAAATTCTTCTTGTTCCTTCATTTAAAAGAATTTTATAATAGTCATAATCTACTTTTATCAAATTTATTGCGGCTAATTTTTCTTTTTTTGTGAGAGATTTATCAGCAAGAATAGTTTTTTGTAAAAATTGATTTTGTTTGTCAATAGTATTGTGAATATTAAGGTCTGTTAATTTGTATGCTCTAGCACATGCAGCAAGAGCCATAATAAAAGTTGAAATGTTTTTTTTTTTTGAAATTTCTTCCTGTATAAATAGGAACTTAATTCATGAATGATGTTATTATCACGATGTTCGTTCTTTGAATAATTCTATAAACATATTACCCATTTACCGACACCTGTTTCACTGACATAAGATAAATCGGCTTCACTTTACCGATTTACCATTTCACCGACAAACATCACGCCCGATTTGTTTAGCACAAACAACACAGAAACTCAATTAGACATCAAGATACGGATGGATGAGAATAAAAATTCCGATTCTAATACTTCAAGGTAATTCACACAAGCCATTACATTCTTCCGAAACCATTTTCACTATTTTGCCGATATCCATTTACTGACATGATCGACATAGTAATGACATTATGATAGTTTTTTGAAAGTATCCTATCGTTTACTAATCAATAAAAAACAAAAAAGGGTAATTATTTATCATATGAAACAACTATTATTGAATAAGAATTTTTTTTATTATTATTACAATTGAAAGTAAATAAGCCTACCATTTTTTTAAAAACAGTAAATTGTAAATGGTACGAGAAATTTCCTTAAAAAATCAAGAGAATAATTATCACACGAATAAATAATTTGTAATCAAGGCGCAGCAAGGAGTGAGACTGATGAATTATAAATATTCGGTGAAACGACAAACCGGGTAATTTAGTTCATTGGCCATTTTAGTGACATGTGCGAAGAGTTCATTAGAAAATTGGGTTTTAATAATATATAATAAGAAACAGGTGCTACCGAAGAATAAGGGAATAAAAAATGTAAAATTGGTATGCTATATCATTTTGGTGAAACGAAGTTAGGTAATTTTGGGTGTTACGATAAAACATGAGTGTATGGATTTATATCTTGTAGTGTTATGGCGCGTACCATTGTTTATTACCAAACGAGGAAAGGCCTAGACCGATCTATTGTGTACCACGTAGTATCACGTGACTTGTTTATATGTGATGTTTAACCATACACTACATGTTTACTATATACTCGGTAATTTGTAAAAAGGAAGTCGGGAAAATGATTTCATGACAGTAAAATGGCTGTCTGTAAATTGTACCGTACCGTAACCATCTTTTATTAACTTGTATAAACTAATTACGAAATACGATGAAATAATTAATGATAAACTAAATACTGTATTCAACCTTTTATAACAACTGGATAGTGACAGTAATGTGTATTAGAAGCTTCTAATGACTATTGGAATTGAAACCTTTCAATACTTCCTATTCCAATCTATATCAATAATTTTTTATCCAATTCTATATAATATGTATATATACAAATCTATGGTATTGGAAATTCTATTGGAATTGGAAGAATAGAAGTTTCCAAGTAGCTTCCAATCTTACAATACACTACTGTATAACGATACACAAATTCTCGAATTTGGAGTTTCAATAGATTCCAATGAACACATAAATAGCCTGTAAATAAAAAAACCACTATTCCAAAATGATATAAATAATGATTTATAAATTGCCGTATTAATATAATAATTAAAAATGGATTCATCTCATTGAGACGAATCCAATGAACTAAATTTTATTTTCCTGCGACCATTAGATCATAGGATACTATTGATTTTGGACATTAAAAAATAACATCTACACTTTACAAGTACAGCACTTAATTTTGATGTAATGATTTTTTTCAGATGATCAAAAATTGAGATCCGTTCCGACTTCCAACCAGAATTATGAAATTAGTAGCAATAGAAGAACTTAATCAATATTAATAATGAACTCTTTTAAATTAAAATTAAGAAATTTATAACTAATCATAATATTAAATGATTCAATAAAATAGAAATATATTAAATGTAATAATAAACATTATCTTTAAGATGCTTAAAAAGAATTCTTTCATGCTTTCAATTGTATAACTTATTATATGGACTGCTATGGTTATATGTTTGAATGGGAAGACTTATTGAGTATTTTATGGTCGCTAAGGGATTATTGGAGTGAGGAGACAAAGGGATTTCTGACAAAAAAGAACTTGAAAAGAAACAACATTGATTTTGGTTTCTTTATATTTTTTACTTTTATATGAACTTTCGTTTCTTAGTATCTTTATTTAACTATTTCACTTCATATAATAATTTTTAAATCAATAATATAAAACACACTGTACTTTAACATTCCTATTCGACAGTAATACGTTTAGATAATAACATTTAAATTTTAAGCAATGTTACCACCCATAGTTAATAAGTTATTATGGTTTGTCTAACGTTGATCTAATATAAAATTAGAAAATGTATACTTTTTAAAATCAGTATTAAAAATTGCTAAATTAAGGTACCAATGTTCTCCAATTTTACAACTATCCATCATAAAGGCGGGAAGTATTACGTACGATAATAATTAAAAGTAGAAATTGATTACCCTTGGAACTATCCCACGTTTATCTTACGATATATTGTGGAGGCCATCCGCGTCACAATACGTTCAAGATAACACTAGCGACAAAATTTCATTCGTGGACATATCGGTATTCTTTCTCTAATTTATTGGTTTCCATTGTCCTCCTTATTATCTCTAGTTTCTCAACTTCAAACTTTTTTACAAGAACTTCTGGGTTATCAATGAGTTCAATCAAATCGACACAATTATTTCTTGATTGTAATCTAAGAGATATTTTCATTCTTGCTATCGTTTACGTTGAGTACTGCTGATTCCAATTAGTTTTAACGTCAAGTTCAGATTGGGAACTAGAAAAATTTTAAATGAATAATAATAACAATAACTACACGATGAGACATACCGTCAATTTATATTGCACGAGGTGATTTGTACTATACAAATTAACGGTGCTAGCGTCAAAATAAGGTTAAATCCGTTATTATTTTTCGCATTAAGAAATGTAAAAAATCAATTTGAATAAAAAATTATTCAAAAATTTATTGGAAACTCAACTCCTCAATCCAATCAAATATACATAAAAATAATTTTTTGGTGTAATCTTTTATAAATGAAATTAAATAACAAAACAAACAATGAATTACAAAATACGTTGTTACGAATGCCTTTTTTTAAAAAATTATAGAATAAAGAATATAAAGAATCAAATATTTAGTTTAAGGTATCGCGGACATGTATCCATGAAGATTTTATCAGATATATACATATGTACAGTATGTATAAATATATCATTATTATTTATTTCGTCACTTAGACTTTTTTTTTACTATTATTTTCGTTCTTTCACCTTTTTAGGTTTAGATCAATCTTTAGTAATATAACTGTTTAATTTATCTTCCCATAATTTATTCTTTAATAAGTCATACAAAGTCACTGAGACTGACAGAATTAACTTAATGATATTCCCCTTTCCCACTTTATTCAAAAATTCTAAATTAATATATTCTACTTTTTAAATTTTTAGCAACAAAAATAAATGTATGAACCAAATATATAACATAAAAAATAAACAAATCACAGTAAAAATACAACATACGAAAATAAAAAAAAATCGAATAAGAAATAACAAACTCTATATCTATTATATTATCTTCTATTTTTATTAAGTGTATATTTATCCCCACACACATGATACCTTATAGAATCCTTACTATAAAACGCCGCACCACAATATCTTAGGTTATGACAAAAATAATTCTTCCCATGTGAGACCCCAAAACTAGCCCTCCATTCTATATCCTTTATGGTCTGCTCTATATATGTAGGCGGAAAACTGAAAGAGAAAAAATGGTTAACCTATGTACACTTGGTTAAGCAAGTAAGCATTATTATCAAAATCAGATTCGAATCTTATCCGATTCGAATCATCCGAATAGCCAACAATTATTAGGATAAAGCACGTGGAGATAATATCCTCAGCATAGGGGTGTTCGGCGAAATTAATGGTAAAAGGCGTTCGAAAATAATGGTAATCCCTATTTCTCCTCACTAAACGCTGTAGGCCTCACCGGATACTATCATGTTTGTGATTGACCTCAGAGGTACTACCCGTGTATTCTATAATTGAAGGCATCCAGTGAACAGATAAAAATAACAGACACTCACTTGTGAATTTAAGACCTCAGATTCTTTACTTTTGTTCTACTTGACTTTCTATTTTGGTTAAGATCTTATTTCATTACTTCTTTTTTTCGCCAACTAATCCTGTGGCTTGACCAGAGAAGATAGACCTAAAAAAAAGAGACAAAAAAAATAAGATAAAACACAAACCCACAACCCACACTTCCACACTCCCAAACCCACACACTCTCAACCCACACTCACACTCACAACCCACATACCTAAGGGAAGACGTAAAGAAAAGGGGCTTAAAAGAAGACCTAAAAAAGAGAAGAACTAGACAGAGAGAAAATAGACTTAAAAAAAAGATGACGAAAAAAAGATAAAACACCAAACACTCTCAAACCCACACACTTCCGCACTCCCAACCCATACAGTATGGATCGTCCCCGTCATCTTTTTTTTTGTTAGGAGAGTTTAGAACTCGGAAACAACATTATTATTAGCCTTTTGTTCATATTGTTCATATGGACTATCAAAGGACACTATACTGGAGAGTGGGTTTTAAGTTCGTGTATAAGTATAATATCTGATTTCGCAAGAATTTTTAGTATATTTTCTTTGATGGTTTTTGTGTTTATTGTGTTGTAAAATTTTTCTTGAAAAAAAAGGAAATAAGGTCATTTTATATGTTTTATTGTTGTACAATTTTTATAAATTATGTAACCTGGACGCGATTTATTATTTTACATTTTTACTATGATGTAGTGTTACGGCTGTTATGTCAATATTGCATAATCATTTATATTTTTACTATTGATATATTCTGATTATTCTGATTATTAATCAAAATAGTAAGGTAAATATAAATAATATCAGACCGTTTATGCAATTTTTAAAATCCGTTACTAATTGTTATTATACCAGCATATCGGAATCTGAATAAAATCTGTTCATAGCGCAGTACGATAATTACTGAGCCATTTTTTAGCCACTTTTGGAAATGAATATCGAACGGCTTTTCCCTTTCATCCGTCCTTGTCAGATTTTTCAGGAGTAGGCGTCCTTCAGATACTGCGAGACATCAGGGTAGAGAGTGACGGACAGAGAAATTTTTTACCGACACATAAAAATTGTCTACACGACCTGTATAAAGATAACTAATCCGAAATTCTTAAAATGTTACGCGACGTGATGACAAATATAGATAAGATTGATCAGTAACATCAGTAACTTATGTTACTATGTTGACATTAAAGGCGCAGTGCTGTAGTGCTGTTATGAGTCATTGTAAAATTTTCAATACAAAATATACAAATATACTATCGCATAATCATTTGATTATTTCATATTAGTACTATTGCAATAGTCAGACTATGAAAATTTATTTATTTTTATATTATATAAATCATTTATATTTTCGTTTTCATACTAATAAATTAATACCTATAAAAATGATAATATAATTTTTCTAATTATTATTATTATTGTTAAATAAATTTAGTTAAGCCTGGGATATAATCCCATATTGCTGCTACTATATTTCTCAAATATTATGTCAGTCATTATTTTTAACGTGTACAAATCTCTTTAAGCTATACTACACGACTACACGACCAAACTTTAAACAACAAACAATGAGATAAAATCTATAAATCTACTATGTTTCTATTGGCTCAAGACCACTTCTAAACAAGCTAAGATTGTTCTGCCATATCATATATTATTTAGATTATTGATTTGTAACTCCAATTTTCCCTACACGGATAAATAATCATTATTATCCACGTTTTTCTTAATCTCTTTCTGTAAATTCTTTTTGCATGGGATGAAATTGGAAATTCTTTTCCATATTATAAATTATAATAAAGAATCATCTAAATATGAAAAGACTGATACTCTTATAGCCACAGTTAATTGCTTAAGTTGAACCTAACAACAAGACAGTTAATTCCCGTTATTGAAATTGTTATCTGCCTATAATTGGCGCCTTGCCATTTTTGAAGGTCTTTCAATCACACACTACACACATTTTCTGCCAACACATAATATCCCATAAATGAAATAAATGAAATACTAACAACTAAGGTTACTTCAGTTTAGCAGGAAAACTCCTTGAGAATATACAATATGTCCTTTTTCATGTCACGGCAGATTCCAAAGAAATCATATATAAAATCTGTTAGGGACTACTTTAGTAGATGCTGAAACTTCACTTCTAGAGGTATTTAATAAAAATAAAATATTTGAAAGAAATTATTTCCTATATACTGTATTTGCCTTTTCATGATTGAGGTTCCAGTGGTCATTGGGAATTGTCCAGAAGTAAATTTTTTCAGAACATGAATTCTGAATTTTTTTCGTATCGATTTATCTTATCGGGAACGGATAACGCCTCGCTTCTAAAAATAGATTCAAATCATCCTAGCACGTGACCGTGGAAAACAACACATAATTAGAACTATATAGTCGTTAATACGAGAATAATAAAAATTTGTCTAATATAAATTTCTAATCGATATATTTAATTTTATTTTAAAATTCTGCGAAAATATTTATTTTTGTTAATAAATTTTACAGATTTTTGATTTATTATATTTACTATATTACATATTTTTTTTTACACACATATATATAACATATTGTTAAAAATTCTTACGTATTTATGATTGCTAGAAACGTAGCTGACTTCGAAATTAATTATTAGTAAGCTTACTAGCTCAAAGGTAACGTCGTGGTCCTATACATAAATAATATCACAATTATTGGTCAATATACTTTACAATCTTTATTTACGTCTTATTTAGAAGTATTTTAACACTAAGAATAAGGTAACAACTAGCAAGTCTCTTAATTTGTAGTTCATTTTTGTCATTACTGAGAAAAATCAAATAGTTATAATTACATCTAAAAATGATCTTTTTTTTAAAAAAAAAATTAAAATCCTTAAATTAATTCTTTATAATCATATTTTACTGTGTATACACTATACACAGTACATACTATATTTGTATAATGCTAAAGTTCATGGTATAATATATATATTTTTAATCATAGCACATTTACGAATTTATTAAAATAATTAAAGTAATACATAATAAAAATTAATAAACTACTAATTAGGCTAATATTATTAATTCATAAACCGCTCGCTCGTAATATTATTAAAATACTCCACGCGTGCACTGTCGAATGATCTATTATGCTAAACAGGTAAACATATGTGTAATAAGTTTTCTTAGCCAAAGCCCCTGTTTTCTTTGCAAGGATGATCATGGGACCTACTAAACTGCGATCGGTTTATCGTTAATTTCATCGGATTCTTTGTTAATAGATATTTTAGGTGCGAGAGAATGTTGTGTTTGCAGCGAGCCATCATTTCTCGTAGGATTCCTTCTTTTCATGAGCGACGGACACATGTTGCGAATTCTGCTGTGTGATATCCGAAAACGGGTGACGCCTAACGGTGATCATCTTATCTTTTTTACTAATGCCTAAGTTTGCCTCGCAAGTATTCAATTCCGTACATCGTGGAATCCATACGTGCTTCTTGAATGCGTTGTGGAAATGCTGTATGATTCGAACGGCGATTTCGTTGGACATTTTCCTAGAAACGTATCGTCTAAGTTTTGTTACAATTGTGTCCGAGATTAGGCCTTGTATGAGTTCTAGACGGTTTCGTTTCTTTAGTTGAGGGAAGGCTTCGTCCTTATATTCAAAGATGATCTTTTCCAATTGCCCATGACGTAATTTTTTCGAAGAGGTGAATTTCTCAATAAATTTCAAAATTTTGCTTGTTATTTCTAGTTCGATCTGTATAAACCCCTATTCATGACCTGGACATTCGACGATGTGTGGTAAATCTTCGTCCACCTGAGAGCACATAGGACATTTTACGAGGTCTTATAGATCGTTACGTATTCTGAGGTTGTTTTCAATGGTAGGTAAGAGGTTATTCGAGCACTTGACAAATGTACAAGTTTTTCGTTAGTAGAGAAAGAAGTGCACCGTTCTTTGTTAATACTATTAAAGTTTTGCCAATGTGAAGACCAATGCCATCCTGTAGATGAAAAGTCCTCCTCAAAGTAAGATCGCCATTGTTTGTTAAACGACCATTGCACTTCTTCTAAAGATTCTGCCACAAATCTAGTAAACGACCTAATATGTCTGTCTATACCTATGTTAAACCAGACCGGGAGAAATTGTGCTAAGACTACATAGAGATCTAATGTCTAAAATTCTATTATTAATACTACCCGCTATTTCCCTCTCATTCTTTGCAATTTCGTCTGCCATGTCGTTCCAATAATCTCCTGAATGTTCACGTACTTTAATTAAATTGAGCTTTAAAGATTTAGTTATAATGAGATCGTAAATCGTAAATAAAATAACATAATTATTAAGTTTCAAAAGCTTTCTTCCTCTTATTAAGAGCGTCGGAGATACGATTAATTCCATCAATTGCTGCTTGACTGTCGGTATATATAGTTAATTCGGTGTTGCTAGGTATCGCTAACAAGGCAGTCATAATAGCCAGAAGTTCCGGACGCGTGGAAGAAGGATGGTATTTGATGCCACAAGAAAAGGAGACATCTTGATCTTTGACTATCTATCCTGCGCCCATCACAACTTCACCTTCTTCATTTCTGCAATTGAGATCTAACGAGCCATCAGTATAAAAGTGAAAACACTCAGTTGCCATCTTTTGCAAAACAATATTAATACGGGATAATTCGTCAACGAGCACTGGGGTTTTGATCAATTTCGCAATTAAACTGTGATCCAATGCAGGAATATCAACCGGGACAAGTCTTTGTTCATCTGGGAATACCGAAGGTATAGTTAAAGTACGCCTTCTAAATAGGTCTATCGGTGTGACAATCCTGTAAGAAGCGCCATCAATTTTCTTCGTAAGTACTTCTACTTTTAATACAGTAGCTTTGCAATGCTGGCCGCGTTTGATGCATGTCTCTGTTAAAATGTCCCTAGATCGGCCGAAAGTATCACAACCCATGCATTTAACGATTAAGTCCGAACTATCTATAGTAATCCAATGTTGGAACAAGAATGATGTGCAGGATGTTTTCTTCAGGATTTTTCCAATAACTGATGTTTGATTTGTGTTTATGATGATCCACTCTTTAATCCGTCCATTAGTAGTAGGGTGAGTTGGTATAATAGAGTGGAAGCTCTTGGGAGGTGAAAAATTCGTTGTTAGTCCGTTATGATGGTCTTGTTGTGCTAAGGCTTCAGTTCACAATTGTTCAATCAAGTAATTAATGAAGTAGGGTAAAGGCCCAACGGTAGATAATCCTAGAGCTATTCTGATTTGGTTGGGACGTAGGGGTAATTGGCCATGTCCTCCTAATAACTGCTTCATGAAAATTAATAATAGGTAACGATTAGGTCTGTTAACATGGTATATATATTTAAAATTATTATATTATATTTCAAGAATAATTTTCACTTCTTATGATTAGATATGAAAAAAAATGATATCGAGATATGACTTAATGACATTTAATTCATTATTGCTATTCGTATTTCGTCTAAATTTAAGATCTTTGTGAATTTGAACGACTTTTAATTTTGGTTCTCAATTTAAGGTATTACTCGTTACTCGCTAATAAATTTTTACGAATAATCAATTGTATAATAATATAATAATTTATTTAAAGTGTTAATAAAATGAAATTATTTAAATTACAAACTAAGAGTCTCTATTCTTAGTGTTTAAATGATTCTAAATCAAAATATATATATAAAATAATAAAAAATCGTCAAAATCGTTATTTTGCCGATCTTTAACACAACAAGTGATGTAGTACAATGATTTTTGATCACTGTATTCCCACACTATTCCCAATAATATCGATAGGCGCGATTAACAAGCACATCATCAATTGCAGAATCACAAATCACATGAGATACGATCATTTTTTACTCACGAGTCGCGTCGCGAGTCGCACTTTTTTACTTTATACCATCAGTTTTCTCTAAAAAAAAAAAAAAATACTCCCTCTTTTCAGAACATTCTTTCCAAAATGTCCTAGAGTCCGAACATGAGTCATGGCTTCCAAGCTACCTAGTTGTAATGTACAATAGGAGTAATAGGAAGCAGATCTCTGTCATGTAATGCTTGAAAAGCTTATTGTCGTCACCTCATTCAAGCTAAGGTAAGACGAAAGTGCCCTCAATTTTTCTTCTTGCACTTCTTAGCGAAGTCCGTGCGGGTCAAGACAAATTTTTAACGATATTTTCAGCAAAGCTAATATTAAATATTTATTATACTATCTTTATCTTAGACGTACTCCAGTTGGGCAACGTTCTCAACCACCTCCCAACTTTTCCTCCAGAAGTAATAGTGATAATAGTCATATCCTTCCATAAAAAAGAAAGGTGTGAAAGATTTTGAATTAGGTAAAACCCTTGGTGAAGGTTCATACTCTAGCATTACTAGTTTTCTAGATGTGTTCAGGAGACTTTAAAAGAGGTGTGTATTTTTTTATTTGCAAAGTGAGTAACTTCCTAAGCCAAAATTAGGGAGTTCACAAATTTTACTTAGGAGGGTACTGGATTTATTTGCTTGGGTTGGGTAAGGGTGAGCAAATTGGGTAACTCCTAGGAAAATCTAGAACGGATTACTCAATTGAGTCGGGGAGTTCACAAGGTTGACTTAGGAGAATTACCTGCTTTTTCTTTTTATTTTATTTTATTTTTATTTTTATTTTTATTTTTATTTTTTTTATTCCTTTTTTTCTTCTTTTTTTTTCTTTCTTTTTTCTTTTTCTTTTTGTTCACTTGATAACCAACTCAAGCAGACAACATCCTACTTTGTTATTAGTAAAGTCTGCTAATTCTAAAGGAGGAATTGGCTATGTCTTCTTTACCATTAAATAAAAATTTAGCACATTATTAATAATTTTTTCTTTCTAATAACAGATAATAGGTAAATGCAGAGATTTACAATCACTGGTAGAATAAAGAAATTTCAACTTTAAAAGGAATAATATTTGGTAAATAACTAATTTGAAAATTATTCTAAGAACATTATATATCACGCATTTATTTTTTTTCTTTTTTCTAATTAATGGTTTACTAGAGATACTAATTACAAATAAACTAGATAATCATTTATCACTGAGATTAAAAATATTATTGCTTTGGGTGGTGATTCCAGTATGTGGTAAAAGTCCTGTCATTATATTAGTATTAAAAATAAAGTTATTAGATAAATCAACTAAAATCAAAAGATAACATTTTAATAAAAAAAATCATTCAATTTTTTTTTAAAAAAAAAACAAATCACTTAAATATTTGATACTATTGTAATGTAGAAATTTTAAATTCGGACTTAATCTATAAATCTCCATTTGAATTTTTATAAATTTTTATGATTCTGTATATAATCTACTACATAAATTCCTATGGTATATATATATATATATTATATATGTATAATATTTAATATCTTGTAATAAATTAAAATCAAAATAATCTTTGATTAATTGTCCATCTCTAATAAGTTTATATTCAACTTCCAACATATCTTTTTCAAATTCATATAATTGTTTTGTCATATAATTGTTTTGTCACCTCGTCTCTTAATGCAAATCATTAGCCGTCACTTCCATAGCTGAAAATGATTTGACTGTTATATAATGAATTTTTTCAAATTCCAATAATAAAGGTTAAAATGATATCGATGTTGTATCAAAGGAAATAGAAAAAAATATATATTAGAGAAAGATATAAATTATGTAAAGAATTAGTAATATATCTATATTACTTACATTCAGTACTAACATCCCAATAATCACATGATAGTTCTAATGTTTTTGCAAATAAGACATCTTCATTCTACAGGATGATTATGTATTTTCAAGTCTTAATTATCTGACTCGTTGAATTTTCCATTTTTTGTACTTTAGCTGCGAATCCAATTTTTCGTCTTTACCATCTTCTTTAGGTAGATTTGTTCTGTCCATAATTCTTCCAAATGTGATGGAATATGTAATGATACTTGTGACCTTTTCTATCGATATACTTGTCATGTAAAGAAGGATTGAAATTCTAACAATTGCTTTGATAATTCATTTCCATGTACTCCGTTCATTAATAACTAGAGTAGATTAAGAATTCAAACAGCGTTGAAGAAGATCAAGATAAAAACTTTGATTGCTTATAGCTACTTCATACATACCGTGACAGCTTTTCTAACTTATAGCTTAATTATCATAAAAGATTCCCAATGATAATCCATAATATGTCTTATTAAAGCATTGATTAAACATCAACTATTCAAGCAAAAGACATAATCAGCAGATGAAAGACATTGAAATTTGTTGGTTGCTTTACTATTGCATCATGTAATACATCAATACCATATAATTTAATCATTGAAGTTGCAGAATTTTTATCCACTGTGGCTAATTTAATAATCATAGCCATGGCAGGTCTGCAAATATTCACTAATATTGCTTTACTAAACTATCATCTAATAAAAAGAAATTTAATTAGATAAAAAATTATTTAAGACGAAAAAAAGACGCATACTTTGATTACTTTGTTTTTCTACTTTATTAAATCAGAACCTGATTATATTCTATAAGAATTTGCATTGGTGTCAATGCATACATAATAATTAAATTATTTATTATATCAATAAGAGATTTTAAGCCATTTCGGTTTAAAAACTTGTCAAAGAATTCTATTTATTATATCAAAAAGAATTTTAAGCCATTTCGGTTTAAAAACTTGTCAAAGAATTCTACTTTATAAAAAAAAAAAAATTGAATATACTGTATGTTATACGTCTTCTTAGAATAATCATATCTGGGCTTGCTTACTTTTATGTACCTAAGAATAAAATGGTCAATTTTAGATCTGTCATTATAGGAGAACCTAATTTTCACAACTTTCAACCAACTTTGATCAATGGAATTTTGACCATTCATTCTCTTTTATTTTCCGTCAGAGATTCGCGAGACTTGATTATTTATTTGATCCATTTATATACAAATAAAATTAATTATCTCATCAGTAATAAAGGGTATATAATTTTAATAATTTTTATATAGATTGAGCAATATAACACATTTTACAGTTTTTGGAATATGGTTTTTTATAATATACTTGTACATTATGGAAAATAATGCTTATGGGAGTTGAACAAATTTTTCTTAAAAAATAAAATTTTAGTTTTTTTTGTCTCATATTTGTACCATAGATCGGCAGATAAAAAAAATAATAAATAATCATTAGATTTTATCTATCTATTTAATTTGCCCTTCGATAATGACATATCAGAATGTCGGTCAGAATAATTTAGTTTATGGTAAAAAAATTAAAAGAAAAATTTTGCTTCAAAGTGGAATGAATGTTACATTAATAATTAATTCAAAATATAAATCACTCATATATGCAAGATTAAATTTATGTTCGCCCTTCGCTCCACTTGGAAAGATAATTAAAGTTCTTCTATTATTTTTTTCTAAAATTTACAATCGAACAATGTAAGTTTTAATGAGTAAAAAAAAATCAATACATACAAAATAATAAAATAATCGTAATATTAAAAAATTGATATAATTTATATCAATTAAACATTTTTTTAAAACATTTTGTGAAACCGTTTAACATCATGTTATTAATTATTATGAGAAATAAACCAATAATCTTAATGTGAAAGTATTTTTATAATGTTGAGCAACGTTAGCTATTTTAATAGGAATACGAAACATTTTTAATTACGGTTTGACCCTGTAAAAAAAGCCAATCCATTCCATCTTTTTTTCGTAAAAGGCTCATATTTCTGGAATTAATAACCTTATATCACGGAATTTATCGAATTATTTACATTTTCCATAAATGGATCTGTGAAAGGCTCAGTTTTTACAGAAATAACGGATAAAATTTTTTATAGGGTGATCGTTATAGCAAACATATCAAGAAGCTTCTGTACGAGATTATTCCTATTTAACAAGTTTTATGTCGATTTATTAATTATTCCATTAAATAAAAGGTTTTCTGTTAAAGCAATAAAGGGAAAAATATTTTTTTATATTTAAAATGATAAATAATTTAGAACTTAAATTATTGAGAGTATAAAATGAATTTCTTAATTCTTATTCGTATAAATTTTTACTGACTATTTTTAAACTACAATAAATCTCCAACCTGTGAGTTAATGATGTAGCCATGAGAGTCAGGCAAATATTTGGTTTACTAAAATATTTATTCTAAAAATAGATAAAGAATATAATTTAAACAGTAAAAAAAAATACTATATACTTTGATTTCCTGTCTTATTTAAATCTTCATGTTATTATGGGTATTTACAAAATAACGAATTAAAAACCTTATTTATTTTAGCTATCGAGGAAAATAAAGTATCAAATTTTAGTATTAAAATCAATTAAAGCTAGGCGTTAAGCATTGTAAGCAATAAACTATTACAGGTCCTCCTTGAATAAGAATTCACATAGTGGAATATTTGGAGTAAATAAAGAGACCAAGTCATTAATTATTAATCATAACTCGTTAATACAGTCATATTATTAAATACCATCTTGTGGGATCTAAGGAAAATAAATACTTGGCAAGACTAAACCGAGCTTCAAGTGTGGGTTTATTAAGGTAGAGATAGGGATAAATAATGATTTTTCAATTTGATTAAATTAGTTTCAACAATTTTTACTTGAAATTTCATATGATCAAAGAATTACTCAGTAGAAAGCTCTTTTAGCTTTCGATATTTGGGGATGGTATTAAGTTGTTGCCTTGCAACTTATGCACCTTGTCCTTTCGCCTTTGTGAATTTACAATTACTCATTGCTTTTAATTCTAGCAACAATTCAAATCTTCAAAGTCATATTGACATATTACAAGAACATTTCCAATTGCGAAATAAATTCCATTTCATCTTTCTTGAACTTATTTTTTAAAACTTCTTCTTCCTACCAATAGCACTCTATCACAACCCAATTTTTTTTCTACTTCAAGAACAAACAAGAAAATAAAATAAATGAAACTATTAAAATTTCTTGTTCAATCATATCAACTGCTTCATCAATCATTCTTTCTAAATTTTTCTACACGGTTCCAGATTATTCTTATCCATATTTTCATTCATTTCTTCTGTAAATTTATTTTGCATAGAGCAATTAAAGCCGAATTTTGCGTTTAAGAAAGTAGAATTCTAGAGAAAGTTGAGTATTGCATTAACAGGTTTATTTGTAATCAATATACATAATGTCGACTAAATTTGATTCAAATGACTCAGACACAAATGACCAGTTATTTCAAACTCAACGAAACATTTTTTTCATAATATTATATTAAAAAATGTTTCACATTAATGCTTTAACAAAAATACTGCAAAAACATTTTTTTCCAAATATTATATTAAAAAAACAAACGTTTTGTAACGTTTTTTCAATATTTTAATAAAAATGTTGTAAAAATGTTTTTATATTAAAAAAAAAATGTTTTACGATGTTTTTTATATTTAATAAAAATATATGAAATAAACCATATTTTTTTTTTTGGTCAACCAAACAGATAATTTGCCGATATAACCTGACTTAACCTGATCTGAAAAAAAAAATTCGCAAATGAATTCATGAACTTTTAAATAAAAATTTTCAAATTTAAGCCACGCAAATCTTGTTTAACCGCCAAAAATATTTCTGTATTTATTGTAGGCCATCTTTATTTTCATAATGGAAATCAAAAATGTATAATAAAAAAAATATCTTGTTGTTACTTTGAGTGATGATATGCTAAATCTTATTATCATAATATATAAATGAATATAATATCATAATTACGCAATGCGAATATAATTTATTAATATTGAATTGTAATGTAAAATTTAAATATGTTATCTGTGACATTAGAGAATATTATTACAAATTTAATAAGTTTAAAAATAACATAGCAATTATTAATTTAATAATAATTTAAAATAAAATGTACTGTTAATATTTATCAAATTCAATAATATAACAAACTAATAAAAATCTTTGGCACAATTCTATGAATAAAAAAAGTAATTAGCAAATAATAATAATAATAATAACTGAAATTGCCAAGTTAGAGAGAAACTTAAATTTTACATTGTATATTTACAATTAAAAGTCTTTTTACGTGTTATTCTGCGAATAATGAGGATAATGAATCAATATAAAATTACTGATATTTTTATTATTTTTAGCAATGAATAAGTATTAAAAATTTCTTGTTGGGGAGAATATACTGTACATTCTTTTTAATGCAAAAGATTAACAGAAGTATATATTGGGAAAGTGTATATCTCATACTATAATAATTAAAGCAGTTTATATTTATTAACAGCCCACTTGGCGGTTCTATTCTCTAATCCTTCATTATATGTGTCCATGTCCTCCATGACTTTTCATGCAAACTTACGGATGGTCATTACAGGATTACAGGAACGACAATATCACAATAAGAACTTCTGGAACCTGTATTAATAAATCGACAAAATTATAACTGTATATCCAGGAATTTTATATATTTTAATGTAATATTTATACGAACCAATTAAATAACATTAATTCATAATAAACAGATATCAATAATAATAAAATAATAATATAATTTATTCAGTGTTAAAAAATGAATTATTCAAATTACAAACTAATAATCTACTCTATTCTTAGTGTTTAAATAATTCTGGATAAGAAAAATATGAATAATAATTGTAAAATATAATTGTTGAAAAAAATTTGTAAAGTAATTTAGAATCCATCTATTTAAAAAAAAAAAAATTAGTTCATTATTCGTAAAAGAGTCTAAACTCTTTAAATATAAAACATATTATAATTACCATCAAGAATTTCCAATTCATCTTGTTCTTCTGAATGAAGATTTGGATTATTATATATTGCATCTTCATCTATAAAAAAATAAAATAATTAGAAATTGATTAAATTGATTACAAGATTTTATTATTTTATAAATCATATACCATCAATATAATCAATGTTGTGCTTATTTACTTGCTGTATAATTTCTATTTTATTATCATTTTGAATATCTATAAAAATTATTGTTATTATTAAAATTACAATATTATTAAAATTACAATTTGTATATTTAATCGTAATTAGTATGATTTTACTTACAATTATTATTTGAATTTATTTGCATATTTTCAAATACTTCAGATAATTTTTTATCGTCATCTAATCATTAATAAAAAGTTAACAATTTTTTTCAAAGAATATAACTTTAAAATTAATAGTAATTGTTCACCTTTAATTATATTACTTGATTTTGATGTATTAGATGTTTTACTAACATCCTTGTCATTAAAATCATCAACTAAATGGATTAATTAATAAACCAAAACGGTTATTAGTATTATCGTTATCGAATTTAAAAATATTTCAATAAAATACTTACTATTATAAGGGATATTATAGCTATAAGGTTTACTATGAAATGCTTTATAATCATTATGTTAGCCAAATACTTTAAATTTAACTCAGTATAAAATAATAATAATATATACCCTCTTGTTCTTCTGTTTATTAGTTCAAATGAGATATTTAAAATTAATGTTAGATTGTTTGTAATATGCAAAACATAATGTATATTTGTGTCTTCTCATACCTTCAGTTGCATTTTTTGGTTCAGGTAGATTTTTAAATTGATAAACTTTACTTGTAAATAATCTGCTACTTGTATTGTTATTTTCAAAATTATTTATTTCATTTATTTTTGAAATAGTATTTGTTTTTGGTTTAGATAATCTAGTTTTTTCAATTAATTTTTTAATTATGCTTTTATTTTTTTTTAATTCATTTTGATAATTTAATCTATTCATTTCATCTATTTTATTATCTAGAGTATTAATATCAGGTCTTTTTGTTGTATCAGCATCCCAACATTGTTCCATTAATTTTTTATATTCTAAAGGAGTTCCTGGTACTATTTTTGGCCTCATTCCATTTATTATATTCATTGCAAGATAATAATCATTTTCAAAATTAATAAAAGGTGGTTGTCCGGATGAGATTTCCCACATAAGCATACCAATACTATAGACATCAGACGCAAAAGAATACTCCATTTTTACAATAACTTCGGGAGCTATATAAGGAAGATTTCCATATATACTATTTAATGGTTTATCAGCTGGTCCACAAAATCCAAAATCACTGATTCGGAACTGTTGAATTAATTGACTAAATAATATGTTTCCGGAATGTAAATCTCTATGAATTGCATTTTCTCGATGGATTTGATTAAGTGCATTATTAATATTTTTAATTATTTGAATTCTTTCTTTCCATTTAAGTTTATTATGATTTTGTTGTAAATATTCTCTTAAATTTATATCTAAACGACTTATTACAAGCATATAATTTTCATTTGATGGATTTTTTGTTAAACCATAACATTCAACAACTTGTGTATATTTGTTACTTATAGATAAATGAGATTTACCCTATTAAATTTAATGCATATTAATATAAAAGAATTTTGAATCATCATTTTCAAATAATTTTAAATTACATACCTCTTCAAACCAACTTCTATTAGCACTTTCAACATTTTCTAACTTTTTGAGTATTACTTTTTGCCTTCCAAATCTTTTTAGTTGTTTTTCTTTTGAATCCCATTCATCATAACTTCCATCAATCCAATCTGCCGTATAAATTTCAGAGCATCCACCTTTAGTTAAATAATTAATATTTTGTAAATTATTATATGGAATCCATTCTACTATTTTATTTAGATTAAGTGTTTCTATTTGACATTGCTGTATTAAATTATCAATATCATTATTTCCAGATGTCCAATTTGAAAAATTCGATTTTAAATAATTTCGAACACAATGTTCACATTATAACGTAGCTAAACATTCATCATGACAATTTTCACAAATTCTTTTTGTTCCTTCATTTTCAAAAAGTTTATAATAATCAAAATCTTTATTTAACTCTTTTATTGCATATGATTTTTCATTTTTTGTAAGAGATTTATCAGCAAGAATAGTTTTTTTCGTAAATTCAAATTGTTTGTCTAAGGTATTTTGGATATTATAATCTATTAATGAATATGCTCTATTGTACGCAGTAAAAACTATGTCGTTTCGAATAGAAGTCATGATGAACAATTTTTTAGAAAATAATAACGTTAGCTTGTAAAATTTAATGAGGAAAAAGAGCGGCGGAAATTTTATAATTCAAACATTCCATTATTTATAAAAACAAATATGTTATGTAACTCACATGAGGATGGATCGTCATTTACTACCCGGTAGGAAAAGATTTAATGGGTGTCAAAAAATATAAATAATATTCATTTTAATGTTTCACGGAGGTAAATTAGTCTAAAAAAATCAAAATTTCTTCGCTGGAACGGCCAACATAATTCTAATTAATTTGTGTCTTTATTTTAGGTAGCGTGTGAACGAAATCAGTACAAGAATGTAAACCGTTCGATAACAATTTCTCAACGTATCGTAGAATTTTTTATGCAATAAAATTATAGCGTATATTTTTATTCATACAAATTATTGATCATTGACTGACTGAATCGCTCACAAAATCAAAAAAAAAAAGTGATTAATAACGTTTTTTATAAGAAAATTCGATTTATAATTTGGTAAGAAATTTATTTCTATTTATTTTTTAATGTAGAAATAAAAAAACTATATAATTTAAGTCTATTCACGTTTTAAAAATAAAATTGTTCTCATAGAAATCACATAAAGTGTTTTTTTTTCACGCTTTAAAATTTACATACTAATACTTTACATACTAATACAACTTTTTTTTAAAATCAAAAAAAAAAAAAAACGTTCAAAATTTTAAAATAATCATTACCACCTATAATCAATAATAAATTATTATAATTCATTAAAATCAATTTTTTGTATAGATAAAACTTCGCCATCATCAAAATTAATTTTGCTTAATTGCCAAAAAATTCTTCTTAAACCAAAATCAAGTACAGCCATACTTATTGTAACCCATCTTAATATCAATAATGGAAATTCTTCCTAAATAAAAAGATAAAAAGTAATATTAAATTTTATTATTTTTAAAGAAATATATGTATAAAAAATTTATATTTATATAAAATAACCTGATTTGTAGTCATTTTGAGTGACGATAAACTATAATGAAACAAAGTGTAGTTAGGGGATGGCCAGAAAGACGTCATTTTCAAAGGGGGAGAGGGGTTAAGACCATGATGTTACACATTTCCATTTTTAGACACTTATAGTTAATATAATTCTGGCCGGAATTTTGCATTTCCTAAAATGGATGATGACATAAATCCTAAAATTTAAATTACGTCATTTCTAGCCGGGAAATATATTATTTTATATAGTTTATATCATATTAGTATAGTCTATTATTTATAATGTAGTTTATAGTATAATGTGGCGTAAATAACAATAATAAAAAAAATCAACAAAATGTTAAAAAAATCAAAAAAAGAAAAAGAAATTATAATAGAAAATATAGTTAGTAATCATAGCTTAGTTATTAATATGCCATATAATGAAACGTGAGGTATACTCATAGACCAGATCTGTATAATTTGTAATATTATTGTTTTTTAAATAGTTTATTTGTTTTTAGTGCTTAGATTAGTTTTTAGTATTAGCTTTTGTTAATACATCCATAATTGATATGGAGTTAGTAGGTAGTATTTTATACTATGATTTGCTTCGAAAGCTTATAAATTGTACTGCGCAATAAATAAATTAAGAATAAAAAAAAAATAGTATAATGTGGCGTATGGCTTAGCGAGAACCAATTATGGCTGTGATGGGCGATTCGTACGATTTGACCGGAAGACGAGTCGTACTTTGGACGAGTCGGACAATGGGCGAGTTGGCCAAAGAACTAATCGTCCCAAATTTCGAGCAATATTTAAGGGAAGAGTTTTCGCAGGGGTTTCAGGGGCAGTGATTTTTCGGTTATTAACACTTAGATAGTACCTTGGGAATATTACAGAGTGCCGGCAGAGGCAGTAATATTGTGAATTCTTTTGTATTTGTTAATAAAGAACCCGCTGATCACTCCAATTTTTATAAATTTCGTTATTGTTTTTATTGTCAATTTATTTTCGATTGTTACACATTCGATAAAAAATACACTGTTTATAGTTTTATTGCTAATTGTTGCCGAACCCTGCCAATTTCTTACGATTTACTCTGATTGTCGTCTATTGTTGACCGAATCCTGTAAATTAACCCTCACAAATTTCCTTTCGACCCGCACAAATCGGTGGTAACGCCATCCCTTTACCACTGAACACCCCATAAATAAATTTCTTATTTAGAATTTCAAAATTATTATCATGTAAGAATTGTTGTTGTTTCTGTTGTTGCTGTAATTGTTATTGATGAAATAAATCTAATAATTCATAAAATCTTTGTCCGATACAATTGTAATTGATGAATTATAAAAATCTTTTAATATTTAGAGTTTGGAATCGATTAAGGTTAATCGATTAATTAATCGACTAAGACGGTTAATCGATTAAAATTATCAACCCATAATTCTGGTCAAATTATCTAATGCGGCCCAGAGCTGTGAATTTTTGGTCACGTGTTCTCCGAACTTGGAAGAATTTGTATTAATTTTTTAATGATAATAATAATAAACAAG